CATTGTGTTTTCGTCGATGAGAATTTTGACGCGGTACTTATGATTCAGTCAGCTCTTCTCAAAACTTTTGAAATATCATAATAACTTTTAATATGATTTAATAATATTTTATTCTTATATTTTTAAAATTTTAATTTTTATAGAATAAAGTTTATAAACGATATTCTAAGTAAGAAAAAAATTAAAATATTTTTTGTTGCTATTTTTATTATAACGTCTCACCTTATATTTTACATGTTTTGTGAAAAATTGAAAGAGTTTATGAAAACAATTTACAAACTATTTTATACTTGTTTTAATATGTTTCTTAGAATAACTTTATTTACCTGAATTCAATATAACATATAGTATAAGCTTTGTAATGACACGTTTAAATATAAAATTTAATTAAGTACATATTTAATATTTTTATATAGTGACTAATGATATAAATTTAACTATAAAATTTATTTAAATAATTTAAAAATCATTGTTTTATCAGTTATACTCAAACAACTTATTAAAATAAATTAAAGAGTTTATTAAAGTTGTAAATTTCTTTCCTAAAATATACCCAATTTAATTTATATATGTAACATTTTTTTTCCTTATACATAATACATTTTATTTTAGTCTTGATATAAAAAGTTCAATTTTAGCAATCTAAATAAAAAAAATAGAAACAACAATGAAAAAAAAAATGTTCTATTGAAACAACATGAAAAACATGTTAATAATAAAGATCATAATGAATCACCACATAAGCAAGTTAGAAAAAAAAATAGTGATTCATAATATAATAAAATGGTGATTTACTTACTTTTAAACGCTATAATTAGGAGTGATCATCGGTCGATTTTGGGTGGATTCAGGTCTAAAATTAGTTAATTATATTTAATAGAGTTGTTTAAAAAAAATCTAATTTTTATCGGTTAGTTCGAATTCAAGTATATCGGATAACTCAATAAATCGGTCGGTTAAGTCTTATGCTAAGCTTAACTCAAAGAATCAGTGAACCCCTCCCTCACCCACAACAACACAAAATCAGAAACCATTGAACCAAATAACAACAACACATAACAATATTAACAAAAAATAAAGAATAAAAACCATAACCCTAACTTCAAAGAAATAAAAAACCAAAAAAATAGTTACCTTAATAAAGAGGAAAGTGGAGTTGATCGGTTGAAATTTGAGAGTAAGACAAATAAAATGAAAGAAAGAAACCGTAATCCATGATAACAAAAATAAAGACATAGAAGAGAAAAATTTTAAATCCTAGCAGAGCTCCAAAATAATAAAGAAAGGAACACAGCACTTCACAGATGAAAGAAATGAGGGAAAGATGTTGCAGTATCAATTTGACCCAATAATGAAACTAGGCTGGACCCAAATTAATGTATATTTAGTAAATTAAACAATGAATTCACGAAACACAGCACCGCACAGATAAAAGAAATAAGGAAAAGACATTGCAGTATCAATTTAACCTAATAACAAAATTGAGCTATACCCAAATTAATGTATATTTAATAAATTAAACAACAGATTTAAGTATATATATGTATATTCGGTCAGTTTTAGGTACCGACAAATTTTTAATTTTTTACCTGTTACTGACCTAATTTATCCATTTTTATTCAAAAAAATATTATACTTATTCAATAGGCGTTATCATCCAAATTTGGTTGGATGTATTAGTCGGATTTATATGAAGCGAAACAGATACTTCAGATTTGTACAGCCCTAATTATAATTGTAACTCAATGTATTGTTTTGAGAAGAGGATATATGTCTAAACGTTACATCTTACATAATTTATAGGAATTGTTTGATAATTAAAACTTACATGTATTTTATATGAAATTTTAATGTTATTTTTTAAATAAAAAATTTACATAAAAATTAACACGTCTTTATTTTTAATATTGACTTTTAATATGTTGACTAAAATAAAACTCTTATTTTAAATAAAAAGTAACACTAAAAGTACTTTAAATACTGTATTTAAGTTTAATCCATAAAGTAAGCAACACACAATAATTATATATAAAAACACGAACAAATTTTATAATTAACTTTTTCCTATAAGATAAAGCTTTAAAACTAAAAATAATTTTTTTACTATTTTTCAAATACAAATTAATTACTTTGATATTTAAAATTTTGTTCATATTTTTTTATTTGTTATAACAAATAAAATTAAAATATTTATCTTATAATTATATTAAATTACAATAACTTAATTTAAAGTCGATAAATAATTTTCTAATATATTATGCATTATTATTTTTTATATTATATTTAGAATATTTTAATTTATGTACATAATAAAAATTATTTTAATTTTCACATCTGATTTTTTAAAATTTTGATCAATAAACACTGAAAAGTGTGCTTGAAGATGTTTAATGTGGTTCTTTCATGGGGGGTACTGTTACTGTAAACCTAACCTCCTTTTTCTGTTTCGCATTTTATCCGAACCTACCGAGTGAATCAGCCATTGAAAAAAATAAAACACAAAGCAAGTTTGCTTGCTCTGCCCGATCTGTTTATTCCTTTTGCTTACGGGAAGCAAAGGTACTTCCATTTAAAGCCATCGCCACTGCTACCAATCAGAGGGAACGATCCAGCTTCAAGGAGAGAGGTCTTGCAAAACACAGACTTCTATTCAAAGTCAAGCATCCGTTTTCTATATTTCAATTCTTCGCATCGATGCACTTGCACTACTATTTGTTAAAATTTATTAAAAACTAAAAAATTTTAATTTAAGAAAGTAAAATAATAGAACTCATTGATGTAATAAATATTAATTTATTGCACTATTATTTCGTGTAATAAATATATTTTTTTTATGTTGAGTTAGTGGTTGATAAGGGTCTTGAACAGTTGGGAATTTTGTGATTCCATATTTTGAAACATGGGGATGGGGACGGTGATGTTTTTCCCTGGTTGGTTTGTGAGAGCCCATCAACCATTCTTGTTGATGCATCATATACTATATATGTATGTCCACGTCAAGGCCATTTCCAGTTCTCAAAGCCACCCTTTGTTTTCAGTTTTTGTTGTATTTGTGTTGGCTATGTTTTTATTGGCCCAGCACATGCCAGCTTCACTTCCCTCATCATTTGGAACATTATTGTAGCACATGATTTGCTTTCTTAGCTCATCTCTTGAATGGTCGAGTGTTAGTCACGTCAAAATATATAGCAAGTCTTGGCACTCTCTTTTCCATATTCGCTTCTGATTAAAAAATAAATAAAACTAAGTAACGGGTCTCTATGATTTGTACAAATAATTAAATAATTTATACCATTCACTAACACCTTATAAATACACCAGTTTATTTCATCATCATCTATCAACTATGAAATATATTCAACTATTTACTTATATTTGATCGCTGATTTAAAATATATTTTTGACAACAATTGTAATTAGTTTCAGGGATTAAGTAATATTTAAACATAGCTAAATTATTGATCAAATAACTTAAATATTGTATCATAAAAGTGATACAAACTAAGTTATGTTTTACTGTACAGGACTAACAATATAATAATAAAAATAACAGAAATACTATTTGCTGCACAAAATGAATAAGTTAAGACCCTAATAACCATACACATGAGAAAGAAAGAAAATAAAAATTACCTTCCAAAATAAAGCTTTAGCACGTAATTAAAGTTCATCTTAATTCTGAAGTTCACAAAATAGGGATAGAAAGATGGTATGAAGTGAAAGAGCCTCTTATAAATAGTATTTGTATCTTCTGATGTTACTTATCAACATGATAGATAAACATCCCAACAAAAAAATTAATGAATTCTACAGAAACATTAGTAGATTCTACTATACAGTTACTTTTATGTTTTTTTCTTCTCACAATGTGACATTATTATGTAATTATTATAAAATTATCCAGATTTATATAAATTTGTTCACATGTCTGGAAATAATTATAAATTAATTAGTTCAAAATATTTTCTTAATTTAATTAACTCGAAACTCATGGTTGTGAATAATATGTAAAATGAAAGGACTAAATTTATTTAATTTATTTTAAAAAGTACATAATTAACTAGAAGAATCAGGAATTAAAATAAGACATAATTCAAATTTAAGGGAAAATTGTAATTAGGTAAAAAAATATTAACTAATCAAAACGCACTCGATTGATCTTAAAAATGAAAATCTTAAACCCCTTCTCTCCGGTATTTGCTCCCCTACATTCCATATTTTCTTATCTAAGTTGGCCCGAATCAGAAGCTTAAATATAATCACCGTAGATTTCCAAGCCCAACGCAAAGCATACCATACCATACTAGTATTGCAACTGTGTTGATTAAAATTTTTTGCAAGCAACGTGGCTGTAAGCCCAAAACGAGGGAAATACTTGAGTACGTAGGAGGATTTAGAATCATTCTATAAATAATGATGTGTAGAAATAGTGCACGAGAAACTCCCAATTAAAAGGGAAAAAGTTAACGGGTGAGAATTGAGAAAAAATATATATATTCAGTATGTGGAAGAAGCAAAAAGGGCCATATAAGTTACTCATGCAGTAACCATTGCAGGTCCAGACTCGTACTAAAGGGAAGGAAGAAGGCAAAAAAGGAATAAACAAATATAGTACTAACCGGTACTGTTCTTAGGCATCAAATGGATCTATCATCGATACGAACCCAATCTTATTCCCAATCTCGTAAAAATTATGAAAAGGGGGAGTTACAATTACGGTTACAATAGTGACGATGACAGACAAAACTATGCCACTAGAAGAGAGAACATTTCATCAATCCCCTCTCCAAAATTGAAACAATCCTATTATTCGACAGTGATAGATGAATGAAACTATCGTGTCTTGTCTTCAACCCATACATATCAACAGTTTGGTTTTGAATAGATGGTTCCTTAATTAGAACCAACGTTTATGGTGGAAATTAAGTTAAAATTTCAAATGCCAACATAATATATACTTAACTACCGTTGGGGCATGAAGTTGACCTTGGCCCAAAAATTCATGACTTGATAATCCCAAGTGCCGCAGCTTGAAGTGACACGGAGTGTATGACATCGCCAATGTGAAGACTGTGTTCCCCCATTGGGATTCTCCTAATCCCAGACCTATCCACTACACTTAGGAGCTTGCAAACATGAATATTCACTCTCACTCTCTGCTCAGCCTTGCCATGCACATGCACCTTCTTAAAAGCCACGAGTTGCTTCTCTAATGCCCAATGCCCAGCACCCGCTGGCGGAGCAGAGAACACTAACAGTGTGTGAGTCCCATCTCTTGATCCCACATTCTTCACGTCCACCTCAAGGGTGATCGAGAGTTTCCCACACCTTGCATGTGTCACTCTAATCGCTTTGTTTGAAAAGTTGGTCACATTTGCATGGCGGTGTCCATTCAAGGGAATTGACACCACTGTGGGGGCACTTGCTATTGTATGAACAAAGTGTGTGTAACTCAATCCATGTCCAAATGGATACACCACTGCCCCATTGTAGAATCTATACGTTCTTCCTGGGTATCCTTTTGATTTGCTTGCTCTCATTCCCATATTTGTCATTGACAAGTTTCTTATGAACTCCTGTGGGTACCATGTCACTGGAAGCTTGCCTCCTGATACCAAAACATGTGTTATATCAACAGGTTTGTTATACTATCTTCTTACTATCTAGTATTAAATAAAAAAAAATTATTATCTTGAAAATATTTAAAAATTTTTATCTAATAATTAAGAGAATTTGTAGGAATAAAGAAATGGAGGATTTAGAATTATTAATGTTATATTAATTTACATTTGATGTAATCTGAAAAATAAGGAGTGTCATTTTGTGATAAACAGACAAACCCGGGTTAGCCGTTCCAAACAGTAAATCTGCAATGGCAGCACCACCAGCTTGGCCCGGATAACCAGCCCACAAGATGCCAACAACTCGAGGGTCATTCTTTGCAAAAGTGATATCCACAGGCCCACCAGACATTATGACCAAAATAGTTGGTCCTTTTGAGGCAGCTGCTACTTTTGAAACAAGGTCTTGTTGGTGCCCAGGTAAAAGCAAGCCAACCCTGTCCCTTGTTTCAGCTTCAATAGACTGGTCCAGGCCCATCACTAGGACGGTCGCATCTGCTTGACGGGCTGCATTTAGCGCAGGCCCAAACTGCTTGTCATTAGCACAAGCAACTTTTTCACAACCGAACTGGTGAATAGTCCGGCTATATCTTCCTATTCCTTGTAAGGGGCTGGTATATCCGCAAGCAATACCTAGGTAGAGACCAATTAGAACCGTTTTAGACAAACTTTTAGGCCATAAAGATAGTTAGAAGTAGAAAGAGCGTACAACTTATTTGGACTTGGGGTTTGGAGCTTCCCTCCCTTTCTTACATGATGGGGTTGGATCAAGTTTTCAAAATCTAAATGACTTGATAACAAAAAAATAAAATAAAATTGGACTTACCCGCATAATTTCCAATCATTGTAACAGTGGCATTGGAATTGGGCCCAATGACGGCCAAGGTACGGTAACGCTGTGGGGAGAGAGGCAAAGTGGGACCATCATTCTTAAGGAGCACAATTCCTTGTCTGGCAGCCTCGAGAGCGAGCTCTTGATGGGTCGGTTTGCACACATCTTTTGGGCCCAAGTTGCCATATGCCTGAGTCGATGGCTCTCCATCAAACATCCCTAACCTCATTTGGACAGTTAGTGTGTTTACCAAAGCACCATTCACATCAGCTTCGCTTAACAAGCCTTTTTTCACCGCTTCCTGCGTGTGCGAACCTAGGAAAGGCCCACAGTCCAAATCCAAACCTGTAACATTATCAAACAAGAAAACTATCTCATGTAAATTGATATCATACATAACACTGTACATTAATAATATTTTTTTGACGAAAAACAATCTAAATTTCAATTCTTTAATCAATGTCCAACCATTGATTAACATTTATTTAAATTTTATCTTTTTAAGGGGTCAATGTATGTAACTAACCGGCTTTAATGGCATCGGCAGCAGCTTCTTCTGGCGTTGATGTATAGTGTTGGTTACCGTAAAACACCCCGACAGAGTCACAGTCTGATACAATGTACCTAAGGAAAGCAAAAGATATATTTAATTAGTTTTTAGGTTGAGATGATTCCTTCACTGAGAAGGTAACCATATCCTATGAATGAGCAATTATGAGTTTACCCATCAAGATGCCACTGCCCACGAACTGTTCTCTTCAGGAGGTTGGGGTCAGCGCAAGTGGGGACTCCATTGACCTGATTATAAGAACACATTACACTCGCTACTTTCCCTTCGTTCACACACATCCTGAATGGCACGTCGAATGTGTCCTCTATGTCCTGTTTACTCACCTGCACATTAGCTTCTAAGTCAGCTCTTACTCAACAAACACCTTGAATTAGCAAAGCCAGTGCACTTCAATTGAAGGCTCAACTGAATTGTCATCCTGCAAAGCTGTGCTATCCATCTTTCTTCCCATTATGTTATGTTTCCCACAATAAAACACTAAAACTGCTTGTACAAGTGAATATAATACACAATTCTCTTCTAAATAAATAATAATAATGCAAATCATACCATGACATTGTAAATTATTGTATGCATCAGTCATGTTTTTCTTTTTTCAATTTTCTTAATCTCAACTCTTGACATTAACTATGCACAAGTTGATGTGGCAAGAATTGAATCACGTGGATCAGGTTATCATTGATAAGTTGACCAATTCTAAGCAAGTAGGGGAAAATAAAGCACTGTTATCTGATGTGCAAATCCAATCATCTGAGTCATACTTAGTCTTTTTATCCATTAAATTTAATAGAAGTATCCAAAGACAGAAAACAGTAAGATAAAAAAGGAATGCACCGAGGACCTTCAAATCAAAGACTATACAAAAGTGCCAAGTTTGAGAAATTTCTTCGAGGAGTGATATGATCTGTGAATGAGTGGTACCGTTAAGAAGATTTCCAATTTTTCTATAACATTAAATTTCAATTATATGGAAATTACATATAGTCATAATAATATGGAAAACTTACACTGCATTTCTTTTATTTTAAAAATGCTAAATTTTAGCATTTATTTTGATATAAAATTTGATAAAAATATTTTTATTACAAAATTTGTCTCATTACACATAAATCTTTCTATTTCTTAAACTTTATATAAATACATTATAATTAAAGAGTATATAAGAATAATATAAAAAAAAAGGTACCTCCGCGTTAAAGTGGAAGCGATCCATGCCATTCCAATTATCGAGGTCGTAAGCCGTAAAGTGTTTGCAACAAGCAGCAACCTTCAACCGGTTACGGTCTGTTCCCTGTAGGCCTCTGACGTAACTAGCAGCATATGTACCGGCTAGCACAGGGTCCTCACCGGGAGTTTCCTGTCCACGGCCCCACCTTGGGTCCCTGAAAATGTTAACGTTTGGGCTCCAATATGTGAGCCCTGCTGTTCCACCGTTGTACATTGCCCTTGCTTCGTCCGAGACTACCTGCGCATTAACACCCTCCAATCCATTATGTATTATTATTATTTACTTCACTAACTTTTCTCTGCTTCAATGTCACTTTTGGAAAATTGTGACTTGGCATGATGTGCAAGTTGTTCAGTAAAAGGAGGACAATAAGCTGCCCCCCCCCCCCCACAGACAATGATATGCAAGTTGAACTGAACCAATCACTGATGAGTAAAACACAAATATTAATATTTTTATAATAATTTTTAGTTACATAACTCATTTTATCATACATTTTTAATCATAAAAAAATTATAAGAATAAAGTTTCTTAAAGGAAAAATATTTCATAATCTCGTTAGAAAAACATGACCTCCATCATTATTTGGTTATAGAGAAAAGGATAATTAAAAGGTAACGTTTTCGTGAACAATTATGTCTTCTGGGGAACAATAATAAAACGCGACTTAGTGTATTTGATAGGATTTTTAATAAAAAAATATATTTTTAAAATATTTGAAATTGACTTAAAAATAAAATTATAAATATTATTATTATTAAATTCTTAAATTCAGTCATTGTATATACAAAGTTACTAAAAGATTCTTCCCACCCCTAGCCCGTGAGCAGAAAAGTCAAGCAACATAATTAAATGAATGGCTACCTCGCCGTGCACAATGCACGGTGTTCCATAAGTATGAGCGGCTACAGGCACAAGTGTGGCCTCACACTCGTACTCCATTCTTATTACTGGTAATCAATAATGTTACAGATATACTTCAAAATGTCACTTGTACCACACTTAATAACTTCTGATTAATAAGTATTAGTTTTTTTTTTTTTTTGAAAAACCAAGGGTGTGATTAACACACACATCTTCTTATAGAATTCTCATATGATTTTTTAAATTTATTTCAAATACATTGGCGGTGTAATTTTTTTTAATACATTTCTATATAAACAAATAATATTTACATATATAAGTTTTGTTGTTAAATAAATACATTATAAATTGGTTAATTATATATATTCACTTCAGTTAATTTCTAGAGAAAATTTTATATGTTTTTTTTCTCAAAAGTAAATGTCTATTTTATTAAAAAAAACTATTCGATATTTACTTTTTAAAGAATTTAAAATTATTTAATTAGATGTTTCTAATATTTTCATACTATTTGTCCATAGAAATACAACTAAAACCCCCCATAATTTAGCCATAAGTAAGTAATAAGTATTCTCATGTATGGTAACTAAATATTAAGTTTTCGGCCCAGGCCACAGAGCAGAAGTAGAGTACTATGATGGTAACACCACTTAAAAGAATCTCAGCAAAAACGAAAAGAAAAAACAAACCTTGACTAAAAGACATCAAAGCAAAAAAGTCAAGGACTTTAACTGAGGAGATAACATACAAAAATGATCGTAATTCATTTTATATTGTTGAGCTTACTTTATAAAAACATAAATAAAAAATTAACCTACATTATACATACTTTATATATATTTCTATAGTTTTTGTCCATTTCAAATTAGCTTTACTAACACAACTACATGTACTAGTATAACAAAAAATCATTAAAAAAATGATAAGAAAATTGTTTGATAATGCAAAGAACAGCATAATTAAATCTCACCCGTCCAATTGCCTCCCACAAAGAAGCATTGAAGGAAGAAGCGGTGGTGATGACTTGAGGGAAGCTAGTAGCACCGGGGAACTTGGCATTAAACTTGGTTCCAGGACCCACATTTGAAACTCCATGGAGTGCTTCAGACCACCACTCATAGCCTTTGATCCCAAGCCTTGGAACCGCCGCGGCATTGTTCACTAGAAGGTTAACCTTCTCTTCCATTGTCAACCTTCCAATGAGGTCATTTACCCTCTCTGGTATCGCCAGTGACACCTTGCAAAATGGCATGTTCTTCGTGGTGCCATCTTTTGGGTAACATGCAAATGGGTCACGTGCCTCCCCATTGTGCCGGAAAAGCCCCAAAAGGAGCAGAAGGAAGAGCGCAATGAGGGGTGAGGACGTTGTAGCCATTTGGGCAAAAAGAGAAAATAATGTTAGCGGCTATCAAAGTAAAGAGTGGAGGGAACATTATATATATAGAATAGGTGAGGTGATGTCCAATTATACAAATGACACTGTACGATGATGATAATGACGACGTAATTGAGAGAGCTATCTAGTTGTTAGTCCCTTTTATGATTGGATATATTTTCCATTACTTTTTTTTTTCTTTAACTGCGTTAAGAAATGAAGCAAGTTGCCTTGGGTTGGTAAGATTTCAATAAAGTGGGTCATTAACTAAAAGAATTCAATCGGTGCTGATCTTATTTAACAAGTTAACAACCTACGAAATAGACCAGCAGGATTTTCATCGCATGTTGTTAAGGAAATTTTCTAATTTCATTCATTTGACTTTATAAAATGTTTCTTTTAATCATTGCCGTGTCCTCTATTATTGTTAAAACATTATTGGTTCGAGTTAAAAATAAAATAAAAATATGTATTATATAAGGGTCATACATAATAAATGTTGTGTTTTTACTTGTTCATAACAACCATTTTTAATTTATTGCTTATTTGGACTATTTAAAAAAAGGTTGTTTGTTATTGCAAATATCTTTTAAGAAGTTGGTATACATAAGTGATTTAAAAAAAAAAACAAATTCAATCAAACATCCACTTATTTTTATTTTAAAATTGATAATCTAAGCACTTTATCTGGGGTCAAGCTTATAGGCAAAAAGTACAATTAAAATCAAGCCTACACAGTACGTACAACTTTTTTACTTACAGATATTCATACACCCCACGCCAAGAGTTCTAAAATATTCTTTTGTAATAATATTCCTGTCGCATTTCATAGGCGGTTATAGAAATTGTGCTCCTTTTACTATATATATATATATATTAGGGTACATTTGTTTCATCCGTTTTCACATATAATTTATCTTATTAAGAATTCGACTCATCGAGAATTCTAAAATATATAATGTTGACTAAAAATAATAATAATTGAGATTATATTTTAAATTAACCATTATAATCTGCATTGTTGTCTCTAAAATTCATTATGCAGCGTAACTAGAGGAGCCTAATTTACTTATCAAACACTAATAATTGTGGCATAAAGGGCTATTTTAATTAGATACACCAAATTGCCTTTTCTGGAGGTAATGTTTTCCATTGCTTTTCTGGGTCTTTCAGTTACACGCCTGCCAAGTACGGAACATTTTGGCTAATGAATTGGTTAGGTGATAGAGTTGGATGAGATATTATGCCTTAAAAGCCAAAAATTGATTCGGCGGAAGGAAAAAAAGAGGAAGAAAAATGCTGAGAAAGCAGCATTTATCACTTAATGGCTAATGTTTATGGAAAGTATTATTAACTTGCTCATTTTTTTTCCTCTGCCAAATATCTCAGATGTGGAAAGAATAATTGACATGCTTGCTGAAATCCATCAAATGTATCAAAGCGTGCGAGTCAAGTCATTGTTAAGCTAGTTACCAAGATTCAGCTAATAGATTTCACCCTTTAAGTCAAGCTGTTAACTTTGTGCAAAGCTTTTGAAAAATGGGTTGAGTATAGCACACATTATTCAAGGAGTAAATAAAGGAAGCATGGGTTGTATTGCAAGAAGTTAATATTAGAGTTCAAGAGTCCAATTTTAGAAGCAAGGCTAGGCATAGAGCTTTTCTGGCTCAGATATTCAAACCCAGAACTATGCATGGTGGATGATTGGAAAACTTACATCAAGACAGCGAAAACTTAACATAATTTATATAATGGCATCAACGAAATAGAAAAAGGAAAACATTACTTTACGAAAACAAAAAGATAAGCATTAGAATGAATGAACCTCGTTTTTTCTATCTTCCTTTTATGAATAAATATTGGCCTGGTAAGCTAAGCTAAGAGCTTAAGAAAGTTGTTACAAAGGACCTTACATTAGTCACATAAATAATATCACCTTTCGCGGCGACGAACAAGAATTTCCCTTGCAGGTAGAGGCCAATTTTATGAAAATACTAGATCTCTAGTTGTTGCTTTTAGCCACCTAGCTCGAGTTGATTCCTACAACTTTTTAGGTGAACGTATAAAAATTACTGAGAAGGTTAATAAATTGGTTATCAACGTAGTGTTTAGGAGATCTAATCACTTATCTTTTTGGGTCAATTTTGTGGCTTCCTATAATTTTCTAGACATATAGGAGGAGAAGTGTAGCGGTACTATGTCCGCACGTGTTTTGATGGATGGACACAAAGAATGGGAAGAAATTAAGAAAATAACCACTTGTATGTGGGTGGTCATTTTCTGACAAAAGAACATTAATGAAAAGCATTGTTAGGTTTTCTTGGGAAGGCGTCCATAATGTATTGCAGAAGTTTTGTCTGCTTTCTTCCGCCACCGGACCCATTTCTCATTCATGCTTCTAATCTTTGTTCCGAATCTTACTATTCTTTCCTGTAAGATCGATTTCTCTTTTGGGTTATTAAACCTAACACAACAACAGAAAGAAATAGTTAATAAAGCCTTTTCCATATTCTGAAGGAAAGATCCCTCATTATATTATAATACAAGGAATATTTTGTTTTGGTTCAAGTGGTCCACACTATAACACATTTTTATATTGATTGCATTTGGGTTGCCTCTGCCCCAGTTCACTGTATTTGTTTTATAAGTGACACAAGTTGCTGTGTCTCAATGGATTACAACACAACCCCACACGATAAGCTCCTCCTGAGCGTACTGATTACTGATTCGTTCACTCACTGCAGATATCTGGCGTTTCAAACCCAAACAAGACCAGTTAAAGAGAAATAGAAAATAATACAAAAAGAGAAGCACCGGAAATTCACAACCACTATCACTATACTATCATCTTTCAGGCTCAAAAGGGCTAATTACTGCCCTGGTAGACCCACACCTTGAGAATAGGCTTCCACGAATCAAATTTAGTTAAGCTTATGTAGCTTTAATTTAAATGTTATTGAAATACGTTTATAATTTCGCAATATTGGGTTTGCTTGTTGTTACTAAGTATGTGTTTGGTTTTGCATTCGAAAAGGTTAAACGTGTATCCTTACTCAGTAGTTTTTGCATAAAAAACGTGCATATGATTAAAATTGACGTTCCAAACATGCGCTAACTAGTAGCCTACAAGTATACCTGATGAATGATATCATCTATTGGGCACACCAAATAGAAATCATATTGAACATAAAAAAGTTACCAAGAATTTCATCATAAAGATATAACTAAATGCGAATGATTTTAAGCAAGAGTTCGCAGTTGAAATAATGGTAAATGATTTGTAAATATACTTGAAGGCTACGTTTGACCGTATACTCCAATTGATCATACATCGGTTGGCATGCACTTCCCTTCTTGGACTGTTACTGTTATTATTGTATCATGCATGTAAATATGTCCGCAATCTGGTAGCACGATGGCGCATTAGTACCAAAAAGAGTTAGCTTCTTTAATTTCTTGTTCTTCTGTTGAGCGATTACTAACAAGTCCTAACTTGTAGACGTAATCAATCAGCATTGTTGAGAAGCTCCAAGATAAAGAGAAGTGTACAATAGTTGGCAGGATTTGTATAAGAATTTGCATGCACAATGTTACCACATCGCGTAATTAAGGCATGGTTTTCAAGGATCTAGACTTCGATCATACCATTAACAACCATGCTCCTGTGTTAGTAACAACACCAACATATCATGTTAATACTTCACATGCTTTTTATGTTAAAATTTTGTATTTATTTATTTCATGTCTAAAACATTTGCAAATGTTGGTAAAAACAATAATTTCACATGACCTCTCATGTAAAACTCTAGTAAAAAAACTCATTTAGTCATTGGCAAGTGATTTTAGAACGCTGACCCTCTTTTGATTTTTGTTTTTTAGTCCGTCATTATCTATTATTTTTTTAATCGACGATGATATGATTAAAGTTCAAAAGATTGTCATACGATAAGAAAACCATATCATAACAAAAGCAACTCTGCAGTATTACAAAATACATTTTTGTAACACACAGCATGCTTGTTTAAAGACAACTGTATAAAAGGTAACACAAAAAGTTAAAACAATTCTTAAACTTCATCACCAGTAATCTTATGTTTGAAACTATAAATCTCTTGAAAAATAAACACTTCTACTTCTTCTTCTTCTTTTGGCTTTATCAATACTATAACAACTCAACGCTAACTCCATTTTTTCAGTCATTGGAAGATAGGAATTGGGGAGGAGGATGTGGATATTTTCAAGACACGGGATTCAAACGATCATCTTATATATAAGATACTAAGTCTCAGCACTTGAACTATACTTTGAGGTTGGTGGTAACTCAGTTCGTAAGAATGTTTCTGTTAACCAACCCGAAGTTTTACAGCCAGTTTTCTAAAAAAAGTTGTAACCCAGCCCAGAATGGTATCACATCACGTTGCCCTGCAAGAGCTGGGAGCATATATATATGATCCATGTCCCTTTTGCAATTGGAGCGCTAATCACTAGAAATTAATACCGGATCCAAAAGTGATTTTTGTAAACATCGGTAAAGACTCTAGTATATGGTATGCCCATGACGTGGATTAATATATTCAAATATAAATATGCACAAGTCTGATTGCAAATAATATCTGGTTCTTTAAGCCAAATAAGAGAAACAAAAATATGGTGAAGATTCACATTCTCGTTCTTCCATTCTCGTGTCTTTGTGCTCTAACCTACCATTAAATATAAAATTCAAACATTCATGCTTTCAATTAGCGACGGTACATAAAGCAATAAGGCAGCATTCATGTTTTTTAATACTCTTGTGAAAATGTTATCGTTTATATATTGTTATCTTTTACTTTGCCTTTATTATTAAAAAAAATTCTCAAGTGAAGTAAGAAATATTATCTTACTTCACTGTCCAACTTTTTTGAATTCGTCATTGCTTTCCTCACTTTTAAATTTTTATTCAAGTACATAATGGACTTGTGTATCATTGGCTTGTTCGATTAGGATAAAAATAGATGGCAATCCACTTAGTTAGTGTTCCCACTAGGGTTTAAAGTAGAGGGGCTGGTGGTGGTTTAACAAATGATGGGATCATATAAACGATGAACTACGGGGATATATGATAAGCAGTTGACGCAGGAGAACTTGTACCTAATTGTATTATGATGAATGGGACCTTACTCTTGGTGTAAAAATGAAGCAAACATAGCTAATGGTAATGGAGCCCCCAAATTACCAAGTACCAGCAATTTTTTCCCTTGGGTGCTCTGTTTCTCATATATACAACTTTTCGTGTGTACGTGTGGGCGTGTTTCTTATACTCTGTATTAGCATTGATTCATTTTACTTGTGCAGATATCAGGTTGACGTCCCATCAGGCCCACTTTTTCGGCTGTAGTTAACTATCTTGACGCTCAACAGCTTTGTGGGCCGTTAAATATGTTGGGCCTAAGTCGGTTTCCGTCCAATTATTTAATTTTATGCTTTTTCAATATAAATAAATAAATAAATAACTGACATCAGAAAGCTAAATTTAATTGATAATTAGAGAGATAATTAATTAGTCAAGGAAATGATAACTTGCCATTGGAAAGGTTTGCTTTCAAATATAAGGAAAGGAATTAAGGTTGGATTAAGATATCATTACATGTGAAGGAGTTGATGAAATCAATATGGTAATATTCTTTTCACTTGTAATCCTGTCATTGTTTTTGCTAACTTCTTTAATTGGTGTTTTGTGTATTTGTTAAATTTCTATTGTCGTTTTTAATTTCTTCAGTTACAATAGAGAGAGCGCTTCAATCCATTTGAGCTTGTCTAACTAGTATTAATTTGATGAGTTATTGCTTGGTTTCGTGAGCGTTTAAACTTTACTTACACATTTTAATATTTGATTTGGTATATGCTAGTCAAAGATTTAATTGTCAAAGACCGTGTTCCTAAACGAGAGTTAGTTGGCTACAAATGCAGAGGAGATCAAATCTTCTCGGGCGATAGGGGTTACCACTTACTACAATTCTACAAGAATAAAACTTTTAATACGTGTAAAATAAGAAAGGAAAAACAATATAATTTCGATAGTGTCTGCAAACAATGAAACGATATTATGTTATATAATAAAATGAAATCTATGTCAACCGGGTTCTAAATGTAATTTTTAATTAAATATTTAAAAGCTTATTATGGTAATATTTTATGAGAGTACGTATAGAATTGCTTTGTACACAAACTACCATATCCTTCCTCACTTTCTTTTTCCCAATCGGAATGAAACTGAAAGTTCTGATGTTTTGAAAAATACTAATAAATATTCTCAAGATATTAATTAAAAAATTTAAAATTAAAATTATTTAAAAAGTTTGCAATACATTTCTACTATGATTTTTAATACAATTATGCTGTAATTTTTATTAAAAAATACTTATATATCACTTTATAACTATCGTTTTCAAAACGCATTTTAGTAAGATCCATAGGTTTTATTTATCTTTTATTTAGTTTGACTTGATATAGAATGACATCTCTAGGTAGATAGGGAGGAGGTGCTTCCAAGCTGATGATATAAAGGATAGAAGTAATTTCATCGAAGTTATATGTCAAAAGGACAAAAAGTTCTTAGTATTCGCTTGTTTTATCTTGTCTTGTATAAAAGCAATGCCAATAAAAAGTGAAAAGCAAACATTCGTAATAATATCACATTCTTTCAAGTACGTTTAAATAAAAAGTTAAAAAAAAATACAATTTATTAGAAAATATATATAAAATAATTTTTTTATGATTTTAAGATAAGAATCATCTTTATTTTTAAATTTTTACACATAGAATATACATTAAAAAAATCGATAATACACCTGGTACGTGTGACAAACTGACACAAGTTACTAAGAAATTTTGTATCATGTCGGTGTGACTTCGCTTCAAGGCGTAATCGTGACTTGACTAAATCTTCCTGAATCGTGTTCCTTTCGAGTATCTTGCCCTGCATCATGATCAACGCAGGACAAACCTGAATTAAAAATTCATCTAATTCCTTGTCATTGTTCTGGCTCCGAAAGAAACTCTATCAGACCCCTCTTAACATTCATGTTTAATTCACGTTGGTATACATTCCAACTTACAACAAAAATAAACCATATATGAAGTCTCATAATTTATATGAACCCATGAACTGTGCTCATTAAAAAGTTCAGGAACATAAAGCAATGTTCTAATCTAATCCCATGAGCTTTAGGCTTTGCTAAATTCAGTGACATCAAACACAAGAACAGGCTCCATCACATTCTTTCACCTTAGCATATACATACATAATTAAGTCCCGCCTGCACTCTCTTAGAAATTAAATAAAAATAAAAATAACACCCCATAAAGCAACATTTCACTAGTTTAACCATATATTTAATTAAATTTCTGAACCACTAAAACTCTTTAGAAACAACCAACGAAGCATTTTTCTCTTAACCTTCTTCTCCTTAATAGTGTCCAAGCTAGGCTTCCACCCTTTCCCTGATAACTGCCTACTCATATATTCAGGCCTCCCTTCAATCGTTTCTTGTAAAAGCTCAGAAAAACCGTACCTCTCTTCCACATTCTCCACCTTTAACATTGCAGCATCCCCAATTGAGGCATTCCCTGGATGGAATAACCGTGCAAACCAAGGAAGAAAGCCAGAAGAACGCATGAGATAGTTAGAATGCAAAGCAGAATCAACGATCAAGATCATGCGTCGACTATCTTCACTACTCAATCCCACAGGCTTCCCTGGCTTCACTGGAAGCATTACGTAGGTTTTCTTCATCTCAAGCTTCTTGTCAGCTGGTAATGGTGTTGGCCTTTTCTGGTTCACAGCTGAATGGAACTCAACCACCACCTGTTGTGGGTGCTCCAACATGAGCTCTGCCACCGTTAGTGGTTCGTCAAATTGTTGAACCGAACCGTCCCAATACACTATTTTCCCCGTGCCATCTGAGCCACGAAATGATATTTGGTTTCCCATGACTATTAGGTTTCAGTTGTAGAGGATGTGAATTGAGTTATATTGTGGCTGTGGTAATGTACGTAAAAAAAATGATGTTTGTTAAACCGCTCCATCTTGTGAAGGATATAATGGTGGACTTGGTGGTTTGATTTGGCTGGGTCGTTGGCTCTGAGGTGAGTTACAAGTACATTACTTCACTTTTTTTGACTTCGAATTTGGCTGCCTCCCATATTTATTAATTTATTAAATTTAAAATATAAGATTCTCGACTTTGATGTGTGTTTTTTCTATTTATTTAGATTGTGGGTGGATCTAGTATGGCCTTGAGTTTGATAGGTGGTGACGCCGTTAGAGTGTTCTTAATATTGCCAAGTCTATTTACCTAACGGGAAAATTAATTCAAGGAACCGTTCAACTACAACTACGTCAAATAATTTGATTCGGTTATTGTTGTATGTGACGCAGTGTAATTATATTGAACTCTCCAATTAATGTGCCTTTTTTTTTCTCTTGTGTTTCCCTTTCTCTATTGTTAATGACGGTTCTAACTTAATTAAAGGAAAATTAGGTTGCTTGTGGGTTGTATTTTTGTAACACCGTGACCTTTTCGCTTGAGTGGGAATAAAAAAGTACACGTATTCACCGATTCACTTGCAGCTAGAACAGCCCAATGTTGCTGGATGCAATTAATTTGATGTACCATGCATGGTATATAACGTGAAATATGAGGAATTAATTTGCTTGCTTGATTTCATGAAGGTAGCACGCGATTTGCATGTAAAATTCATTGGAAAAAGCTTCGTTGAGATTTATGCTGTAATAATGACGGATAATAGTAAGATGTAAAAGGGTTAGATTCATATGTATGTTTTCCAGTTCAAAGAAAAAGAAAAACAACTTCCTATATACGATCTAGAAAATTTGAAAAAAGAAATCTTTATTTTTTCTATCAGTCAAATTACTTGCTCTCATTCTAACTTTTTTCGTGTCAGCAAAAAAATGCTAAAAGTGCAAAAGTTATCATTACAACAACAAATTAACAAAAAATTAAAAAAAATGACCATTCAAGGAGAAAGGTTAAAAATAAGAATAATATATATTATTCACATAACATTTTTTATAGCATTATTTTTTCTCTATATATCTCTTCATCATATAAATCATCCCAATCTATATATCTTTCTTTAAAAACTTTTTCAGCAGAATGGTAATATGTAAGTTTTGTTCAACCCTCGTGAAGATAGCTCCTGCAGTGTTTTTTTTTTTAAAGTCTTTATAACTTCTGAATAACCTCCTGTATGAAAAACAAGATTTGAGGTACGGTTCAGTTGGCAATTTGATTTTTATACAAGCAAATTTTCATTGCTATGAAATATATTGGGAAAATCTCGTGCCTGGGTTCAAGGTAACTTTTGGATAACAATTAACAACAAACAACTTAGAATAAAAAAGTGCTTTCCTCAATTTGGGGGAGCTAGATGTTGCATATTATACCCATCAAACCTAACATTCATGTGATATATTGGTAAAATCTTACTAACAATTGAAGCAACTAAAGAATGATGACAATCATTGCAAACCGACGGTCATAGGGACATGTCACATGCCCGCAAAATCATTACAGTTCTGCTAAGATTATTATAATTATTTCATCAAATACAACAATTTAAAATATTTTGGCTAGTTTCTCGTGCTATAAATAATATACAATTTGTTTATTTTCTCTAAATAGAATGCAACAAAATAGATTAGAAATAAAATAAATAATTTGGTGTCACTTTGATAAACTCAAAGGAAGAAGCTCAATGTGGTTCAATCCAAAACTAAGGTTGCTAATGGGCCAGTGAGTTAGAGTTTCAAAGTGATGGGGATACTTGCAAAACACATTCTAGGTACAAATCAAGATACAGTAACAGAGTTACATTAAGTGATAGAATCTATATTTTGGCTAATGACTCGAAATCAGGATGACTAATAGTGAAGATACTATAGTAGGTTTGCATAGTACAGTCCAGCTTTGCTTAATGTGATTAATGCATCATAAAAAGTTATGATTCCTTAGAGTTATATGGGTAAGCTCTTAGTTGTTATCTCATACATTGAGCTAAGTATAATAAGTGAAAAGTGCAAGTGCATGGACCATAACATACCTTAGACCATGTGTTTAGCCCAATCTAAATTTTACGTTGTTAAATTTGGACTCTCTTAAATTGCTCCAAAATAATATACAAATAATTTAACAATACAACTATTCTCAAGAAGTATGATTTTGAATTACTAATTCTTTATTCATTAAAAGAATAATAAAAATAATCAATTTTAATTTATCAAAATAATTACGTACTTCAATAATCATTGTCGTTGTCATCGTTAAAATGCTAGAGTGGTATTTATTTATTTTTCTTGGTCAATACAATTATACATTTTATAATTAAGGACAGGGGGTACCATTTGGTATGGGCCGTAATCACGATCAAAAAGAGTATGGGCTGTAACCTTTTCTAAGCTTTGTTTAAAACACTTCGGCCGTTGAGGTTAGTTCTTGACTTAGTAATGTGTTTAACAAGATAAATAAATTTCCGACTTTAAAAAAAAAAAAGAAAACAAGATGAATAAGTTAGTTTTAATTGACTTACAAGTTTGATTTATTAAATTAAATTTATTATTTAACGATTTTATTTTAATTACTTTTTGTGTTTTATAATATATATTTTTTAAAATGTTACTTTATATAACGTTTGAATTTTTAAGTTCATAATTTTCATTATGTTTTTTCTTAATTTTTTAATTATAAAACTCTTTATACATACATTTTTATAATCATTTTTTAATAATGTAACATTATCTAAATTATAATATTAATACATTTGGATTAAATATATAATCAATATACATATTATATCATTTTATACTTATTAGTTGAATTAAACACACCCTTAATTTATAAATTCCAATAAATGATCCAAAAAGGAATTCTTTAAACTCTAATAAAAAATCCACAAAAAATATTTTAATTTATTTTGAGAGTAAAAGGCCCAATTTGTTTCTTAAAAAATCATTTGATTCAATTTGATCTTTAACAAAATATTAAGAGTATTAATATAGAGGGAATGTAATCCTAAAAGCATCTTCAATAGGAGGTGATATTTAACCACATTTTTTAAATAAGCAATCGTTGTTCTTTAAAAAAAAAAAACTGACGTGAAGAGTATAATAATTATAGTTATTTAATTAAGCAATCGTTACTTTAAAAAATTGTGGGATTGAGTAATAAAATTTGAAATAAAAGTAAATGTTATAATATATAAAAATACGAAATAATTTATTGTAGAACGCATTTAGTAGAATTTTTATTATAAATTTATAATTTTTCAACTTTTACATTTATATCATATTACTCTTTTTACTATAATAACGTTAAATTTTTTTAAAAAAATAATGATTGTCAAAATTGATCACAAAATTCCTCTAACCAGTGATGTGGGATGTATATCAAAATCATGAAAGGTTTCATTTGTTAAATTTGAGAATATAAAAAATATTCCTCGCCAACGAACTATTGTATTAAAATAACGATGTTAAACAAAGAAAAAAAGGAATACACACAGATGCAAAGTGTGTATAATGAAGACGATTTTAAGATTATAATTGTGGGGTAAATTCCTTGACACACGAAGAAGATTCAGAAATTGTATCCAAAACGGGATTCCATCGTGCCTTGTTCCTGGGCCTTGGAGTACATGCAGGGAAAACGACAACCTCGTTTTCTCCGTCCCTTTCCCTTACAAGTGACTGTGAAACCTTTGCGACGTTATTCCCACTCACGCTCTTTCTATGGCCACTCTGTTTCTCCGCAATCGCCATCTCAAATTCTGTAGCCTTGTAATGGACCCTAGTCACCGGCAACAGCAAGTAAACTTTCCCCGCCCCAAGCTCCTCATCGGCGCGTAAGGCCGAAACGCGTCCTGTTCTCCGGAGTTCGTCCACCGGAGTAATGACGTGGCCCATTTGTTCGATCATTAGCTCAGCGGATTTCGCGGGTAGCTTGATTTCCCGAATGTTCCCACTGGTGTCCAACAGTATCGCGGTTTTAGTACCCTTTCCACTCTTCTTCAAACTATTCTCAATACTAACACTTGAGACACAAGAACAAGAAGTGCTGTTCCCCATCGAATGCAATGCTTTGCTTTGGTGGTGAACGGTGAAGTGTTGCGTTGTGTGTATTGTTATTATGGGCAGTAGAGAAATTAATTGAAACTTAAGGTTGAAAAATGAGTCAACGCAAAGAAGGGAGTGACGGAGAAGTAGTGTCAAGAACGCGGACCTTTATTTTTTTTCGATTTTATTAAAAAGATAAAAATATTTTTGAATGTTTAAAAGCAATCATTAATAAATGACTTAGATATTTAAAAAATATATTTACGGATGGGGTTATAAGAATGAATAAATTCGTGAATTTGTCAGTGAGTGGGAGGTGAATACGTGGGAGTTTTCTTGCCATCCATTATGATATGCGAGTCAGATTCCAATTTTGAACGAACAGGGAACAGTCGTGGCTACCAGAATTGAGAATGAGGCCAAAATTCATATCTCAATTTAATTTGATTCGGCAGTGCGCTTTACAGTGCTAACATTGCTCTTTGCTCTGCCTGCCTCTCGACTCATATATTTTATATTTATAATTTATTTTCTAAAAAAATATATATTTAATAATGTTTAAAGATACACAATATAATATTTTTTTAAATAATAAAATATCATAAAATTTATCACGAATAAATTCTTATTATGTATCTAAAACACACGATAACAAATTGTTTTTATAAAATTATACTTATTCATAAAATTTTCAATATATCATTAACATAATTTTAAAAAAAGTATCATTCTCCCAGAGGGTTCCAAACGGTTGACTCTTCTCGACACCGTGACATTCATATCAGAAGACCTTGTTCAGGCAATAGTTGACTACCTTCCCCTTCGAAATACCATCTAGTGTTCACCTGTGACAAATACCTGAGTGAATCGCGTAAACAGATATTAAGGCAAGACAAATTATAGTCTTGTAATGAAAAACATATAACAATTCATTAATAAAAAAAAAGAAAAAATATTATTTCTTTTTCTATTTATTATTTTGAAAATATTATATAAATTAAAATTTAATTGTTTTGTTACAATTATTTAATAATTTTTTAATGACAAATGCCAACCAATAACTTTAAAATACTGGTTAAAAAAAATATAAGTGAAAAGTATTTATTAAAAGCTGTTGTTAATGTTACTTTTTTGGTGATTTTTAATTCATCTTAAGATTATTTTTAATGAAAACATTTCACTTCTTCTTCGTAATAATTTTTTTTAAAGTACCAAGATACATACAATAAAAAAATTAATAAACGGAAAAATTTTATTAAAAAAATATAGCATTTAATATTAATGTGTAGTTTTCAAATATCTTATTTATTGTGCTTCAAAATTTTTTGATATAGGAAAAAACTATTAACAACAGTAATTAATACTATCTTAAACATTTATATAAGTAAATAAATATAAATGAATTTTTTTTCTCTCTTTAGACAAATAAAAAATAATAAAGATAGTATAAAAAAATGGGTAATGTAATAACGAACACTTGAGAGGGGAGAAAGACAGAGTTGTATATTTTTATTGTTTAAATATAATATCAATTTTGTTAATATACATTTAAAAATATTGAATTTTTATTAAAATTAATATTTTCTTTTTATATCCTTGATGCAATAATTTTTTTAATAAAAACTCATGTCTTTTTTATTTAAAATCAACTTTAAGAAGTTAATGTTAACATATATTCTTTCTTTCTTTTTAAATTTTTATAATATTTTTAATTAAATTATAGAAATTGATAAAAATAATAAAAAATTGATATATTTTTTAACATTATATGATAATAGTATTATCCTTATTTAATATAATAAAAGTTATGTGTTTGTTGATGCTATATTTCTGTTGACAGTTCTGTAAGAACTGAAGGTGGGAAATACTTAGCCCACAATAAATATACTGCTCATCTTCTTCTCTCTTTTGTCTTGTGGCCTTCATCTCTCCTGTCGCTTTATGCTGAGTTCATACCAATGCTAGTGAGTAAGTAAATTTGATCTGTATCCTTATGGACAGAGATTAGGCAACTGTCATTTTACATACGTGATGTCTCAAATATTACAGTTTGTGATTGGAACATGTATATAACAAAGGTTTCCAATGGTTAATTGAAGGGTTAGTCCTCAGACCTCTCCACTCAGAATGTTTAACAACTTCTTTGTGGTAGATGATACGCTGTTGGTTTTCTTATTTTTGGCGTGTTTCAGTTCTTGTCAACTTTTTGGCACCTTTCAAGTACTATTAGTTCACTTCATCTGGAGGTAGCAAAATGAGTTAGTTGCACCAATTCCCTTTGCATACGTACGGTAAATTTTAATGAATCAAGTAAAAAAAAAAGAAGAAGTTAAGATCAATTTAATTTGACAAAAAATTAATATTTTGTGCTTACTACTAAATTTGCATTAAACTTAGTTGAATTGAGCTAAATAAATAAATAAATAAATAAATATATAAACTTGTTACAGGATTTATAAGTTTGAAAAAGTATTTTATACTTTTTAAAATTAATAGCTAATTTTTTTTAATATCTTAAAAATTAAAAAGTATTAATTTTTTTAATTAAATTATTAAATATACTATTTATTAACATATAATTAACGTGACAATTATTTCACATATAAGAGAAGAAAACTCTAATTATAAAAAATATAGTAAATTTTATAAAAAATATATATTTAATTTAACCTCAATTTTAAATTTTAAATTTTGTCGAACTCTAACGTGGTTCCTTGTTTTTTCGGACACATGATTTCCTCTCAATCGGGTCGTGAAAAATTAATATAGAAGAGTTTTTATTTCATACACATTTGTAAAATGTCTCACCTCTAAACCGAAGCAATTTCCACTTATGACTCAAAATTGCCACACATTTTCCTCTCTTATTATATTTGCTTTGTACACAAAGCAAGCAATCTAATATTTAGGTAACTATAGACTTAAAGGATAATAAAAGTGCGAGTAAGCTCCAGAAGACTGAAGAACGTGATAGTGGTACCTCTTAAAGAATCCATAACCATGAGATCCCAAGACCAAGGTATCAGCCTCAAGTTTCTGAACCGCACTGCATATCACATACTTTGCATCTCCGCACCCAATTACTCTCTCCATTTTGATCTGCACACGCCCATTTTCACATGATATAAGAACAAATAAAAGGATAAAAGACAAAGATAATAAAGAGAGGCCTACATTGGTGGTGTAAGTTCTTGTAAATATTTCCAGCTCTTTCCATTACTGAATTAGCCAAATCCTTGCCGTGTTTTTCCACAGCTGAAACAAAATAACTGGGAAACATGTTCCCTGCAAAACATCAAATGATCTAGACTGAAATTAGTCAAATATGGAAATATGCCTTAAGAGTAATAAATTAAGTAACATTGGGAGTAGGAAGAAGTTAAAACATGCAACATTGAAGGAGTGAAGAAGAGGGGGTGGCTTGACGTAAAGCAGCACTAGTTTAACGTTTGGGGTGTCAGCAATTAGGTTGGTGATGCACCAAAACAGTGCAAACATGCTCTCCTGGCTCGCATCCACACCCACCATTATCTTTCGCTCTTTTGTCGTCATTTTCCTCAACCCAAAAAACCTGCTTCTGTCCTCCAACTTCTATGTTTGTCCTGTCTTAATTGTAGTTGATGAGAGCACATAAGATTTCGTGGATAACTTATCGATTGTAGTTTTGAGATTCAACAATGATATTTACTTATACAGTTTTTTAATAAATATACAGTTGTATAAATATGAATAGAAATTTAGTTTTATAAATAAAATTTTACACACATTTATAAATTTAATTTGAATTGGATTATTTTAAAAAATAAAATAAAATTTGACTTACTAAAATATTTTTTAAAAAAAATTAATATAAATTTTATAGTTTATATAAAAATATGATCTTCTTGTATTAGTCTAAGTCTAAAAATTTTTACACTCAATCTAAATCTTTTATTTAATTTATATTTAATAAATTATAATTTATTACTTTATTAGTGTGAGAAGATACTTCTTCATATATATATATATATATATACTATTACTGGCCGGGAGCCCCTTATATCATAACTCAGATAGAGAACAATAACACTTTTTAATACTTTAAGAACTTTTTTATTTTTCCTTTTCTCTTGGATGGACAGACGCACTTCTTGTCTTTACATCCAATTTCAAGATATTTCTTCTTACAAGCTTTGGTGAATTTTGATCTTTCGTTCATTACATCAGAAATGAATAGATGTGTCCTGCAAAGTTTATCAAGAGATTCTAATGTCTTCTGATAGATTTGGCCAAGGCTTAGATTGGTTAAATCTTGTCCTTGGACAGCATTGTAATCATTGGCCAAGAGATTCTATTCTTGAGGAAGAGAGGCAATATAAGTGTTTTTTAGACTAACATTATTGTAATCACTGAGAAGATAGAAGATTTCTACCATCCTCTTATGATGTCTTTCTAAATCACTTTTCTTCAATGAACAACATCTCATCTCAAAATATTCTTGCCTGATTTTCTTATCATAAAGATCCATGTCACCCACAAATTATTGATGTAGGCTCTAAGAACTTGGCGGGTATTTCCCAGTTGATGAAACTGGTCTTGTTTTACATTGCCAAGGTTATGGTACCATTCTTTAAGGGTGACAGTCATTCTGCAACAAAATTCTTCAATGACTTTATATGGATTTGCATCTATTTTCATAAATTAAGTGTCTAACCAAACTCCAAAATCAAGCAATCTTTTTCTCCAGTGTTGTGGAGAAACATCATCAAAGGTAAAATAAGGGCCTCCATTGATCTTAGATCCTTTTCTTTCTCGTCTGTTGATTTTTTTTTCTTCTTCTTCAGGTGAATCATAAAAAGATCTTCTTTGATTACTGGATTGTGCTGTGTTTACCATCAGCACCTCAGTAATGTTAGTGAAGTTTTCTTCTGAGGATTTTATTTCTGACAATTCTGATTCACTCTGGATTCTCCAATTGTTGAAGATTCATAAGATTCTTCATGAAATCCTTCTTCAGTAGTTGAGGATTCATGGGATTTAGTCCCCTCAGATAAACTGGAACTAGAATCATCAACTTGGTCATCTTCTTCGATTATTGCACCTATGAAATGTGTTTTTTCTTGATTTTCTTTTGATGACTTCTTTGGTGGAGATTTTTCATCATCAGAAGAACCAAAACTTTTTGTTTTGATTGTTTTTGAGGAAGAAATATTCATCTTTCCTTTTCTCTTAGAGTCTTGTGTGGAAGACCTAGGTTTAGGTCTATAAGCAGAAGGTAAGGAATAGGATGGTGCTGTAAAGGTACCTTGGTAAAAGGGTGATGGACTGAAAGGAGAATAATAACTTGATTGTACAGGAGGTGGAACAAGAAAGGGATTAACTTTAGTTTTCTTGTTTTGTTGTTTTGCAGTAATCAATTCATCCATTTCTTTGATATGCTCTTTGAGTCTCCTGATTTCTCTATCTTTTTTATTATATTCTCCTGTGAATACTGTTTTTTCTTCCGTCAGTTTTGAAATATCTAACTCCAAACTAGCAATCTGCTTTTGAGATTCTTTGTAATACTTTCTGAGTTTATCAGAAAGGTATTGGAGTCTTTCTTCATTCTTGTGGACGAATTCAACAATCTGATCTATCTTTCCATCCATCCTTTTTAAAAGTTTATTTTGAGCTAAAGAATTCTCAGTCTGCCAATTGAGAACTTCTTCAGCCTGAGATGGAACTTTAAGAACCCCATTAAGTTGAACTTCAGTAAGTATCACTAAAGGTCTGGTATTGACCTTAGTGACAAGATCAACTTTCCTTTCTAGTGAAGGAAATTCTTTATCATATTTTGTGAACATCATGCAAGGGATAGGATCTGGAATCTTTTCTGGAGATGTGCTGAAAGAATTACATAATCCTGGAGGAGGAGGCCATGTGATCAAATCTGGATCACAAGGTGGTTTGGACAAAAGGCCTTCTTTTCTTAAGATCTCCAGGGCTTCATCATATATGGACAAAGGTTTTCTTTCATTCCTTATTCCCACCCATGGAGTAAATCCAGGGTCTCTTTTTTTGAATTTAGGAGGCGGCTTACAAGACTTCTTTTTCTTCCTTTTTGAGTTGTCCTTATCATCATCTGATTTTTCATCAGATGTATCACTAGTATGCATCCAGCAGTCACAATCAGGATCACACATAGAGGGATCAACATCCTACATAAAGTGATCATTAAATTTATCAGAAAAGATGGAAGATCCATCAAATCTGAAACTTGATACTGGGATTCTGTCTTCTTTTCCAACGGGAATAACCATGAGTGATTAGAAATAATTGGAGGAAGGGCTAGGCTCATCTTCAGGTTTTTTGAATATGGTACGAACATCACCATCAACAGATCTTCTGAAAGTGGCTTCAAAAGACTGGATTAGTTTGTTGTTTTTCCTGATCTTTTCATAATTAGTTGTCCATTCAAGTGGGATCAACTTCAGAAGTTCTTCTTTAGGAATTTGCCTAAGAACTTGAATGATAGATGAAACCTCATCCTCACTTCTGTTGGCTATAACAAAAAGATTGTCATTTACCATTCCTGGAAGAGAAAGATCATGGGCATGATTTTGCAATCTGTAAATCATTTGATGATGAAGTGTTGCAGATATGGCTTCTTCAATCTGCTCAGCTCCAGTGAACTGAATTTGGACCTTCAGCCTGGTTAAAAGGGTTTTGTCTTTTAAGGAGACATTGTAGTTTGGGAAAATAGTGAGGACCACACTTCCAGCATAAAGAGTGGTTAGCAGAGTAGCTATGACAGCATGTTCATAGTGAATGTAAGTGGTATCAAGAAGGGAAATCCTAGCAGTGACTGGGAGATTTTTCCTACTATACAAAGATAGGACTAATCTGATTATTCCAAAGTGTAGAGCAGTATATCCCTCAGTTTTCAAATGGTCAATAAAGGTTTTGGAGATCTCCAGATTGATATATCTCTCTTCTTTAGTAGCAGGTATATCACATTGATTCATTTTAGTGGATTGGACATACTCTTTTATAGGAGATTGTTTCCTAAGAATCAACAGATTTATTTTGTTGGTCCAAGACTTTTTCCTTCTAAAGACATTGTAGGGACTCAATAAAGGGGCTATAGATTCCTGAATTTGTGCATCTTCAGGAACATAAGTATACTCTATCAGGTTCTCAATTTTATCAGAAACAGTTCTGATACAATCTTTTGATAATGAGATTGGTGAATTTAAGAGAATAAGAGAAATTTCAGTGGAAGAGGGTTGACTAGTGTTTGTAGTTGTATTCATGATATTGTGAAAAATCTTACTCACTTTATTTATAATGACTATCACACTTATCTCTTTCTTCAACAGAGACTTTAGGCTCTAAATAAATACAGGAGTTCATGGCATTATTACAGACAGGGATGACTGTGAATACAACCTCTTCGGTAGGTGCCTGTCAACTGTCTAGCAGATAAACCCTGAGTATATGAGCATCAAATTATTTGAAGACTCTGATACAATTACTGGATTCACAAGATCCGTATGAATCTGTCATAGACCAAGAAAGATGGGGTACTGATGATGATCCCAATTTGTCACCTAGTCATGAGTCTATCTTCAAGGACTGAAGAATCTTTGATAACAACTTTATGTAATAAAGTATCTTTATGTATTTTGTATGTTGATGTACTTAAAGTTCTTGCTTTGTTTGTGAGCACAAAGTTACTTTGTAAAAGTTTGGAATCTTATTCAAACATGTCTGATGTAATAATTATGTTTGCTGTCCATCCTCTATATAAGGAGAAATCCCTTGTCATTTGAAGGCAGATCGAACTGAAATAAAACTTGTGTTTTATATATCATGAATTCTTTTTAGACTTCTCTCTCTGAAAGCTTTGTTTATAATGACTATCCTTTAGTCTCTGACTAGAAATTAGTATGCTCTACACTTGTCATTTTAATGGATCTTATGCATCAAAAAAGTTTCTAGGTGAAAGATCTTGTTGCCACGGGCCTCTTTATCATGATTCAGAAAGAATGGTTAGCACGAGTATAAGAAAAATGTATATGGATTGCTCAAAGTATTAGAAAATGCTATTATTCTCTATCTGGGTTATGATATAAGGAGTTCCCAACCAGTAATGGTATCAAAGTATTAGAAAGTGATAGATAATGCCTTGAATAATTTTAGATATATACTCTTTATAATATATTTTTTATTATTGATTAAAATTATAAAGTGAATTTTATTTTTTTACTCTAAGTTAATGTTTTTCTTTATATTTTTAAAATTTTTAATTAATAATAAAAAATGTTTTAAAAACTGTGTTGCTAGATTCCTATAAATAATATGGTGATACATTAATTATTTTTTATTCATATTTATTTACATAAAAACTTATAAAATATATCAAATACTTCGAAAAGTGTGTATTTAAATTATTATTTCAGCATTATCTAGCACTCTGTTAAGTCTGGTAGTACTATGCTTACGATTTCTTAAAACTTTTAGAAATTACAGCAACCCCTTCTGTCGTTGTGAATTGTACGAAAAGATATCAGATAGCAACACTTAAACTAGCATGACTAAGAAACTCGTTTAGCAAACAAAAATATCCCGAAAGATAACATTGTCGTGTAGTGAGCATTTAATTGACAATTGCATAACTAGCACGCGTAGGGGTACACCTACACATAATGCTACGTGTCAAATGCCAGAAAATCATCTCATTCTAACGTTGAAAGAAGAAACAACGACCACCATGAACTCTACGCTGTCTGAGAGTGTGTTTGACCGGAAACGAAAGCATGACCCGAGGGATCAAAATATTGACCCCTCCTTTGGTATCATTTTAGCGTCATATATTAAGTAACTGTTTGACATTAAACTAATTATTATTAGTATGACTTTGTTAATCAAAATAATTTTGTAATACAAATATTATGAATCTATCTTGATAGAACAATATATTTTATTAACAAAAAAGTTATTCGTAGTATCAGTGTATTTAATTTAATTATTTTTATTCGATAAGATTAAATAAATGAAGAGAAGATTAAAATAATAATTTTGCTACTTTTCTTTACAATTATTGTATTTCTTATTTTCATTTTTAACACGTGATACGAAATAAAGCTTTAGATTATTCTTTTTATATTAAGCCTTAGATTATTTTAATCAATAAAAATAAAACGATATTAAGTTTTGTTGCTTAGATTGTTTAAGAGAATAAAAGAAAACTTGATGAACTAACATTGTTACTGTAAAATAAAATTTAGATATGAGATAGAGCATTTTTAATATTTTATTTTAAGTATATATATATATATATATATATAATAAAATAATTATTTTATTTTATTTCACTCGATGTTATCTTATTTTCTTTTATTCCACTTACTATTGGATATTAAATATAATCTTAACGTTTCTTTCAAGTGAAATTTTGTAGTGAAAAGAAAAAAAAACACAAAATGATTACATTTATCCCTTATTTGATATATGTGTATGTAGATTGAAAGAAAATGAATTAGAGGAATAAAATTGAGTCCCACCCTTTTTCCATCTTTCCGTTCTTGGATGAAGTAGAATCACAAGATATATTTATATGCATAACCACTATATTTCATTCGATTATGTCAAATAAGATTATGAATAACTCTTCCGCATCTCCCCTGCTTCATTTTATTCTATTTTCTATCATATTCCTTTCTTTTGCCTTCCCTTTATGCTACTACATAAACTTTTACAGGGGAAAATACGTTTTCCTTACTTTAGTCGTCCAAATGAGATTGATGGCAAATAATTTGAATAGTTTATATGAAATAATAAATTTAAACCACATACTACATTGTACTTTATTCATTTTATGTCTTTGATGTAAACCAAGCTTAGTAGACAACGAATTATAAAATAATTTATTTACACTTTTTTTCTTGCTAAACCAAACATTGAAAATAAATTATGCGTATTTTATCTCCTCTTTTTGTCTATGATTTTCTGCAATTTCTTTTCTCCTCGGCGTTGAGCCTAATTTAGGACTAAAGTCTCTGAATCAATAAACTGAACGAGACCTTAACCCCAATGGTGCTGCTTTTGATTTGTGGGTATTTCCCGATTGGAAAGTGAAAGTACCCAAAATGGCCCAGACACCTACGAGCCAACAGAACTTTGCTATTGGCCCATACACTCCTTTCCTCATGGGAATAGACTATTAAGTTTTTATTTCCAAAGTGTTTTGTTTTATATTAATGGGCTATCGCTCTATCTTTCATGTATTTATCGTACAATGACCAAAGTCTGTATTGCATTATCCATACAAATGCATGAACTTTGAAGCTAAGACATCGGCATTCAACAACTAAGGGATACCTTTCTAGTTTGCACTCCTTATCAGAAGAGTTTAATTTACAAATTTCCTTCGTTCTGTTTATTTGAGGACATTATTGAGTTATATCACAAAAGACTTAGCTTAAACCAAACTCAACAGCGACAGCATTTGCCTGATCTAACGGAACAAACTTCGTTATCAAACCACCACCAAATATCTCCAACTTCTACGGATTACAATGATTTTTATGACAAAGTAAATTACAACATCAGTTTTCTTATCTTTATAAACAACAATAATTAATTATAAAATTAATAATATGCACGGAAGTTAATTTCTCTGACCCCATTTAAGTTTATTAATGATATATGCTTACTTACGTGGACGTGGCTAACTTAGCTATGTGCTAATAACAGGGTCGTTAGGTGCCAAATTAGAATTTTTAGTTGGATAGATGAGGTCCACTTTTCTGAGTGTTAGGCTATTGTCCCCACTCCCCACAGACGCAAAATTTGTGCCTACCACTTGCTTGCGAAAAAGGACCCATAAGAAAATGCAAATTCAATCCCCCATTACTTGTGATTTGTGAATTGTGAGTCTTGTAAATGACAAGGATTGCTCATAATTGTTGGATAAATCCAGAAAATTTTTTTTTGAGGCAAACGATAAGAACAAGCGTGAAAGGATAAGCACGTGCGTCAGCTTCCTCGCATATGATACGAAATGAAATAAATAAATAACGATTCCCTTTCTTTGCTTCACACGGCAGACATAATTGAAGCCGATTTTAGTAAGGTACATGTGAATAAAAACATCAACAATAAAAATGTCACATTTGTCACATACGTAGATAGGTCTCATTTACATATTAATATAATTTAATTATAACTTACAAAAATTGAATAATTTGCACTATTCCTCAACTAAGAAATCCAAAGATTCTAAAAAGTAAACAGCTTGTGGCGTATAAAGAAGAGCACCGAACATGTCTAATGATGCATTAGGAATAGGATGAGCGCGTTTTTGATTAATCTAACACAAAAGCGGGGCCCATCATTTCAAATTTCAGTTTGTTTTGAACGTTTGTTACCGTTGGTGAAGGATCATAGGTCCCAGATATTCGAACTGTACTAAGAGGGACACACAGAAAAAAAGGGTACCTAAATGTCATTAATTTTGGTTTGATAGATGCAATAATTTGCAAGCATCAAGCATTGCCCCCTTCCCTTCCAACCGAAAATAAACAAATAAAAAGGTGCACAAGATGCTTCATCCTGTTTGTATGTCTTCATTTGTAAAATCGAAACCATGTTCATATATATTTCTTTTATTTAGGTGTAGATAGATGTTAATTCCTCAACGTATTTTGTCTTTTCTTATTCCGTTAATGGGTAGAAGTTTAGACAGTTACTCTAAATAATTCATTGTTTACGTTATTTTTCAACCTTCTCCAAGTTACCTTCGTTTATAGCCAAATCGTATAAAATCGAATTACTAATTTGGCAATATCAACCACTAATCTAGAACAATTTCCCATTTGTAAAATGAGACTAACATTTATGTTCAGGCAATAGTTAGTTGGTGAACATTGGGATTTAGATTTTTTGTCAACGCATGCATATCTGACCAAACAACAGGAAAATTGAAAAGATCACCTCATAAATGAAGCATAGTCTAAAATGTCCGTTGATAAAATAAAAAATTGATGAAAATAGAGAAAATAAAAAAGGATTATTTAATACTAACTTTGCAAAATATAAAATCAAGTTATTAATTTTTATCGGAGAAAACAAAATAAGTATATTGTGATATAAACAGACTTTATTTCACTCCTAGATATGCTTTCCTTACAAAGGACTAGAAAAAAGATACATTTCTTTCACCTTTGTTTTTTCCTCTTTCCCAATTTGTCACAGCTTAAGACTTATTTATATATAATAAGCAAGGAATCTGAATAAAATTACTCGGTTGTTTTAACAATCTTCTCTACTTCAAACCTAAAGGAAGTTTAAACAAAGTTTTAGTTTGATCCTACGTTTGGAAGCAAGTTTCTTTTGCCAAATTTTATAATGTCAAAGCTAGCTACGTGGTTAGGTTATTCTGAAATTAGGCCAATTTAGTATTTATTTATTTATCCGGAAAAATCAAAACAGGGGCAATATTGGAATTCTAGAATTGTTTCTTTCATATATAAAGTTCAGATTCCCGAGAAAGACTGAGAAAGAGAGAGAACAAGGAAAAGGAAAAACAGAGTAGCAGACAGAATTTGAAAACAAAGGCTAAAATTTTAAGAAACGAAGATCATTGGGTGTGAAATATATGGCAGAGGTTGTCTTGATAGTTGATGATTTGAAATTACTTTTTGGGATTCCTCGTTGTAGAATATGTCATGACGAAGAGTTTGAAAGCTGTGAAAGCTTGGAAGCACCTTGTGCTTGTTCTGGGACTGTTAAGGTAATTACATAATTTCTTAAGCAGTTATTGTAGTCTTTTTTTTTCTGTTATGCTTGATGAATCCTTCTTAATTATCATCATCAACTGCGTTTGAATTGTGCAGTTTGCTCATAGAGATTGCATACAGAGATGGTGCAACGAGAAAGGAAATACAATTTGTGAAATATGTCTCCAGGTATGAACTTTTGTCATTCAGTTTTTTCGTTTTTGCTCTCTCTGCATAACGTTCTCTTCATTTTATTTTAGAGAGTTATAATCAAATTTGGGTTCTTGATGCTAATCAAATTTTTGTTGTTTTAAAAAAAAAAAAAAAGAGTATAAGTGGGTACCATTTTTTTTGGCGGTCGTTATTATGGTAATTGGGTGGGCTTGGCCATTTGCCTTGTGGAAACGATGATATTTCCTTTGATCCTTTCTTCCTTTCACGTTTGTTTATTTTTGGATTGCGGTTCCTTTTGTATTTGTCTTTCGCTCAATATTGAAGTCTCTCTGTATTAGTATATTATTTCTATATCAATGCGTATTTATTTCTTTCGGATGTTGTTTTGTTTTCTGTTAAAATAGAGTTTAATAGATGTTTGAGCTAACACAAAAGATAAAATAAAAATAATCCTGTGCAACGGTGATAAAAAAAACAACCGAACTTACTCTCATTCGTTTTTTCAATCTCCATTTCCATTTTTATATTGTAGGAAAAAAAATCTGTGGATTTTTTTTTAGCATTTATATCCTTATTGCATATCTATTTATCTCTGAATAGCTTCAGATACAAAGATGATTTGATGGGGGCAAATTGTTTGTTTTTGCAGCAATATGAACCTGGATATTCAGCTCCGCCAAAGTCCAAAATAGATGATGAAGTAATATCCATTAGGTACTTTTTCATGCATATTATATATGTATTTTCCGCGTTTAATCCAATCAAAGTGAACTTAGAACTAATTATTTAATCAATCATTTCATAACGTGAAGTATTGACTTAGCTACGTGAGAGGTTGCAACTAATAATATATTATATGTTGTTTAGAAAAGCTGACGATAATAAAATTTGATTTTATGCTTGAAAAGGGGGGAGGAAGAACCGTCCAACGCAAGAATAGAGGGTATGGTTGAAGGAGTTGCAATAGAAAGCAATTACTCTGAATGCAGCTCTGCCGCGGACAGAAACGCGTCTTGCTGTCGATCACTAGCAATAGCTGTAAGCATTATCTGTATATCTATTTTTTTTTTCCGCCGTAATAATTAATAAAGTTCATATTCCTCTTCTATTTAATTTCGGCAGAGGCAACTGGCAGTACATGCCTTTTGTTATGCAATAATTAATTTGGAATAAAATTAAGTTGCCTGGAGTTGTGAAAAGTAACGAGTCAAAGTCGACTCAGGTGGTTTACCGCTAATGCCAACTGTATTGCCAGTTGCGTTCAATTGGGTGCCAACACAGGGCTCGAAGAATTGATATACACATTTTCTCTTCAAGAAAACAATGGATCAATTATTTTCCTGATGGAAAACTTTTTTTTGAGTCGTTTTATAACATGCGGGAGATTCTCCCGAGCTTTAACAAATCCATTACCCATTTAATTGTAATCATGTAGACATGCTGAAAAATAACCAGCTACTCTATTTCTGCAGTTTACAATTGTCCTACTTGTAAGACATCTTTTCGCAGTGCTTACAAATGGAACGGAAGATTACCCATTTACACTTCTTACAGTAAGTACTTGTTTCTCGTTTTAAATTGAAAAAAAAAACATGTATATAATCATTGCCAGCTAGCAGCTTAGCTAATGGAACTTCATTCACTAATTTTTATGTAGGTCATTATACTAAAGGCTAGCGGAATTATTATACCCATGTACATAGTTATCAAGATAATCGGAGTCATTCAGAACAGTATTCAGCACTATCAGGATTCTTACTATGACACGTCAATGTCTGACGAAGACGACGAAAGTGAGACACAGCATAATGCAAATTTAAGACACTCATAGATTATTTGCTTTAATGTGTATGCGAGCGTTATGATGATGCTCGTCAAAATTCCAACATTTTGCGGCATAATATATGATAATGGAATTCTGATAGAAATGCATCTTCCCTTGCCATTTGGAATATTCATTGTCTCACTATCACACCCGCCCAAGAATTAAAAATAAAGTATTAACTACTTACCAGTCGTAAGAACAACGGGTCATACTGTGTTAGTTGAACTCGTATCACCATTTTCACAGCAACTATTTACAAGCACACCGTACAAAAATGATATGTTGAACCAACATACAAGGCAAGATTCGACCATATCTACCAGAATGGATATCAACGTAGAATGTGGCCATAAAAGTATTGCGCGTTTCTCAAAAGAATGAATTACCACTATTATCGAGATTCTGGATAATAATTTAGCTTGAATTAGTTTAACATCGCTGCATTAGTTCTCTTGCTTTATCCTGAAGTTCTCTTAGGGAACTAACGCAAATGGTTTCCTGGCAACTCAAATTTGTAGCAGCATTGTTCAATTTTTGTATGATAACGGCTATCTTGTCAAACCAATTTTGATTGGCAGAATTTGTTTCTTTAGACTTCTTTCTGCATTTACCATAAGTGGCCTCAAATTCTCTGGACTTGGCGGCAGCCTTCTGAAGCACAGAAGTTGGAAGTCCTGAAATAAAGTTAATTTGTTTTTATTGGAATATGTATGGTTAATAATGGTACAATACATTAGAAAAAATAAGGTTTAGCACATTCGTAGCAAATAATATAATCAGCATAGCAAATATCAACAGTTTTCCACAGTGATGCAAAAGACATGTATAAACTGTAAACGTGCAGCCCATCTCGATAGTATATTTTGAGATTGCCAGCCTCAAGTTTATGCTTCAATATAGCAAGGCAGGACAAAGACTCAAGATATAGCAAGCCTCAAGTTGAAAGTCCGAGAGTAAGTCAATGAACCAAAAATTAATGAACTGCAGATATAGCCATTTATTGTAACTGAGCATGCTGAGAGTCAATATTTATTAAATTAGAGGTTAAGGGAAAAGATCCATTGATTGGAAAATTAATCGTTGAAATTGTGAAAAAATACATTTACATTAATATCGAAATGTGTGGTTATAAAATCTTCACTGTTAAATTTCTAGTCAATAATTATAATTCTACACCTTATCCTCTGATGTATACCCCTCCCTAAAGAGGAGCATACTCCGTTCTTGTGATAATTTACAACTGCAAAAAACATACCAGCTAATCGAGCAACATTAACACCATAGCTCTTGGGGCAAGCACCAAGTGTCAGCCTGTAAAGAAAGGTGACTTCGTCTAAACCTGCAATTCCACCACCAACTTGGCATGCCATGTGGCAGAGACAGACCTTTACAAGCACAAAAGGCTATTCAGAAATAAATCAAGTTTCCAAACTAAAACACTAACCAAAATAAAAAGCGGAAAAAATTACTACACTAAACTGAAAACTTTATAAGGCATATCATATCCAAATAGGTCACGACTGGCAAACTTACAGCCAATCAAGTACATTAACAAATTAAATATTAAAATGTTTCTTACAAGCATTAGTGGGTGAATTCAATATACCATTGATTATTATACTGGATAGAAAACCGGGTATACCTTGGGATCTTTGAGATAATCTATAGCTAATCGATGATAGTGTGTAGAAAATAATCCACGACACTGCACCCTCCGCACAAGATGTTCTAATACCGATTCCCTGCCAAATATTTACAACACAGCATAATCTGAGATGAACTTACCAGAAGCTGTAAAGTCAATCAAGAATACTGAATCCATCTGGACAAAAGTATGTCCAAGAAATCCCACAATAGACACTTACGCAATAGCTTGCCCATCAGAAGTTGAGGTCCCTCGCCCAAGCTCATCCAGAGCCACCAATGAATTACAAGTGGCTGACAACTGTACTCACCATCAGAAGTACATATTCAGAAACAACCAATGCTTTAATAAGATCAGATTCATATGCATCAGTAATGCATATGAATCTGTTAAAGGGCTTATAAAGCTTCATGAAATACACACAACTATTAACTTTACAGATGAAACATTATACTAATGTTGTGAATTCTTATAAAAAAGAAACCAAGGCATACGTTTTCTTCCTCCAAGTTCAGTCATTGCTTCTACATTTTAGAGAAAAATGGCAATCGCAAACCACATAATCCATTCATGCTCAAAAGAAAAAACAAGACTTGAAATATAACTATTTCGCAGTTGCAGTCTTGTCACTTACCGGCAGCCAATTTATATGCCTACTTAACCCACCCAAATTACTATAAATGATACAAAATTACAAATTGATACTAAGAGGAATCTTACCAGCATCGTTGCAGTTTCTGAAAGCTCAGTTAAAAATGTACTTTGGCCAGCAAGGATATTATCTTTGGCCCCCATTCTAACAAAAATTCGGTCCACTGGTGACAAAACAAAACTTTCTGCTGGGACATCAGCCCCTACCTGCCATGAGAAATCAAATGAGTAACTTCAAAGATAAAAGGACAAGCTTACTTGAGACAAGATTCAATGGACAAGGCTAACCTTCTTCCACACAACCCCCCACCCCACCCTCAAAAAGTCAAAGAAATAATAATGAGAAGTGTAGCATAACTTAAAAGCTTCACCTGGGCCAAAATCACAGCCAAGCAAACTTGGCGAAGAAGAGTTGACTTCCCACCCATGTTAGGACCGGTTAGAAGAATAAAGCTAGCATGATCTGGACCACCAATGGTTATATCATTGGGTACAAAGGCACCCTTGCCTAAGGTATCACTCCTAAGAACTGGGTGTCCCAAACTTTTAGCATGGAGGTATGGAGCTTTTGTTTCTGTTGTACATAATGTGCCTATGAAACTAGGTCTGCATGTTGGTCCTTCATAGTAGTCACTGGCAATAGCTAAACTAATCAAAACATCCAGTTCTGCAACATGAAATGCAAACATCCAATTTAAGTCAGGTAAAAGAAAAGCATTTGATTTTCTATTTAAATCCATCATGGAAAAATTCACCTTGTAAAAACTCCTTAAGAAAGGCACATCTTTAAATCAAAGAAAAAGGTAAGAAAAAAGGAATTTGATTTTACCTTAAGAAATATAGGGTGTAACCAACAGAAATTATACAAAGGATGACAAGGGAACAAGTACACATCTTCCCTAACTACAAATTTTTTCTTTAATTCTAGTAATCACCTTATTTTTAGCAGAAGATACTTGGTTGAAGATAAACTAATTCCCTCCATGGGGAGCTGGAAAGTCTTCATTTTAAAAATGAGTTTTCTATATTTTAATGTATTATTCTGACTGCAGTACAATACATTGTCAATCTCAGAAACGGCTAGTGAATTTTAGTAGGTGGGCTAGTAACTGGCTAATTGCACATCCATGAAAAAATTATTCAGAAGGACCACAATGTGTACCTGCAGTTGTAGACACCAACTGCTTCCATTTAGTGTGATGTTCAGAAAAACGCCCAATTAATCTATGCAATATACTTTTCAATAGGAACTCCTTTTCAGATTCAGCTTGGGAGAGCTCTCTTAAAAACTTTTTAATATCTGGAGTCCAGTACCTAAAGAAGCCCTGCATGTACCAGATAAGAAGCCTGAGAGAAAAACTAACTTATGTTGACTGTCATAACTGCAGACAATAATGTATCAACTATATCAAGGACTAACCAATAATTTCACAGGCACTAATTTTTTAATTGTTAGTGATAACAACAGACAATGCAATATTATTGAAGATTCCATTATAGAAATATAGCAATCCAACAGATAATACTACACAGGTTTGCATTTAATTGACATAAAATTTTCAGAGAATTGTTTGTCTTCTCACTTTTCTGGATGAACGCAATTCATAATCCTGAGGAATATTCCTAGACAAATTTTCTGGCACTTCCAATAGGTATGTCTCCTTTCCAATATTGACATAATTGATCTGTAATGGATAAATAAGAACATTCAAATTTTGATTTTATGCAATATAAAAATTAAACTCTAATTATTTCCACTGGAGATCTTACTGATGTGTCTCCAAGTAGTTTCCTCTGCTCCTTGAGATGCTTTAATAAACTTGCCTCAACCTCTTTAACTGCCTTACAGGCTGAGTCATACTCCATGTCAACTCCTTCATGAGGTATTATACGCCCAGAGTTACTGGCTTCCACCCAGTTAAAGGCATCCTTGAAATGATTAAGATCCAGGCAAATATCAGGAAGACCTTTACCTAAAGTTCAAATCAGTCAATAAATCAAACAGCAGCTCCCAAGTAATTTTACAATGTATTTATTTGGTAAGATAATCATACCAGGTGTTAGCAGATGATTAAGTTGTCCAGATTTGACACCCTTCAAAATGACACCAAGTGAAGAGCAAGCTTGTGCCATTTGTTCACAACCACGCAGAGCTGAAATAAACTCTTGCAGCTGTTTCTTTGACGCATCCTCATACAGAACCACTTTATTAGCATTTCTTCCACTAGCTTCACTGCATTCATGAAAATCAAGGAGCATAAATATGTCAGATGATAACAATCAGTGTGGTCCACATAAACATCGCACAGTTGCTGCACAAATATCTTTTACAGTTCAACCTAGTAGAGAAGATGCGTGCCAGCAACCGCTCCATGTCAGGTAGCCTTGATAATGCTTTTCGAAATTCTAGTGCATAAGGCAGATTAACTCCCTGAAATGCAAATCATATATCAAATATTATGTTCTGATTTTGTATATGATGATTATTAACAGCTCAATCTAGCCAAGATCTAGTAGATGTCAACATCTTATGCAACAGCTAACCTTCTATCTATACTGGTTCAAAAGCAGCACAAAAAGAAAAACAGAAGATTTTCAACCCAAGCTTAAAAATATACTCCATACTATATATTACTGAACACAGAAAATCAAGAAAGAGGCAAGATCTGGGGGGGTTCTAAACAGTGAGAGGGGTAGATTTTCTAGAAAATGAGTTTAATAATTAATTACACCATAAACAAATATGCTAAGGTGATATGACTCCAGATTTATATCAAATAATAATTTATATCAAATAATCACAATGTGCCATGAATGGTGCCTGTTATACAAGTCCAAAGGGAGATACAATTAAGTTAAAAACATGAGAATCTAAAAGTGGGACAAAATGAAAGATAATACTAAAATAATACAAACAAGAATAGACAAGCATAGCTAACATTAATAAGAAAATTAAAAATCTAACAGTTTTAGAGCCTTGCTTGATTTAACAGCTGAATGAAATAGCAACATGGCTTCCATAAAGACCATTGTATCTTGAAGGATCATCAGAATCAGAAGCAAAATACATGGTCAATAAACCTACCTTCAAACCTGCAACAGCTTCTTGGCGTTCCTTAATTAACTCCACGTTACATAATGGTCTAGCAAGCCATGTCTTTAGCAATCTCTTTCCAAATGCAGTAACACATTGATTTAGTTGGGCATAGAGCGTGCTACAAGAAGAATCACAAATTTAGTAATATAAAAAAAAATTGCGCATCTTTTCTGAAAATAGAAAAGAGTGCAGATAACCAAATAACAAACATATATACCCTGAAGAATCTCCATTTCTGCTATTCTCAAAAATCTCAAGATTCTCCAGGGCTGCTGCATCAAGAACCATGTAGGGTTTTGAAGCAAGATTTCCTAAACCAGAACATGGAAGTAGCTCAAACTGTGCAAATCTAAGCAACCCCTCATCCAGAAAAGCCTGTTTCAGATAATAGAGAGCACCACCCAGAGCTGAAAGTGCACTTCTACTGTCATCACCTGTTTTCACCAGCTCCTGTAAAACATCAGGCAGGCAATCTAACCCACTATCTTCAACACTAACATCTTCAGGGTCCCTGTAAATTCTCTTCAATTGATCTACAGTTTTGTCAGCATCCCAGAATTCCACGGTGGGAACTAATTCATTCACTAAAGGACTTCTAGTATGCTTCAGTAGCACTCTCTCTGTTTCGGCACTGAGTAGTTTAGCAGGTTTCACAATTTCAACAGGCCTGATCTCAGATAAGATACAGCACAAGGCACTGCACTCAGAGTCATCCTTAAACTGCCATACAGAAAAGCCAACTCGGTTTTTAACACAGGTGATAATACAAGCAATTAGAAGATTAATTAGGTCTATGTTTGGTAGCATGCACATATTATGCTGTGTTAGGTTAGTACCAGTAGTTAGGAACCCAGAGAAAATAAAATGGAAACTAGAGAGGAAGAATTGAAGAAACAGAACTTCATTGAAGAACAGAGCAGAAAATGAAGAATAAAATTCTCTCCAGGGGTTTCCCCTTCACAAAGGATCTCTCCTTTCACTTTTACAAACTATCAATTTCACCCAACCCCCTTATTTGATTTTTCATATTTATAGTCAATCTCTCTTAACCAACTAACTGACTAGTGCAACTAATGCTCACTTCCCAATTAAGTTCATGAAAAATTAGAAAAAAACAACAAAACTCTAGCAAATACAGGACACAACAAAGCAGCCAAATGAATATTGAAATTTTAAGCAAATGCATTTAAGTTACCAGCACAAATCCCTGACATAAAACCCAGTTACCCACCCACCTCAATCTCCTCTCTCCACTTCCAATAGTGGTAAAGGAATTAGGTATTTCACAAATCAATAATATTTGCAGATCTCATCCAAAATTTGGAGTAAGTTTATGCATAATCAAATTTAGCAAAGAAATGGAATGTATAGTTGCACCTGTCCAAGAATGACTCTGCTTGTGGCAACATCAACCATACAAACACCATAGATATGCTCTGAAATTTCATTTTGAAGGTTTTGATGATGCTCAGTCAGGGCCATTAAATATGCAGCTTCAGGGTTTGCTGACAGCAACTCCCCATCCGTTAATGTGCCTTTTGTAACTACTGCACATATTTCACGCCTCACAACCTAGAAGAAAAAATTGTTTAAGTTAGAGATCACTGTTTCTCCATCAATGCTTGGGTTAGCAAGAAAAACAACCTGTAAAATAAAAATTACAAAACAGGGAAGTCTACAAAGACTACAAGGCACAACACAAAAAATACAAAGGATAAAAACAATGACTTCTCTGTTCATTGTGAGATGTGGTCAGACCTTATCTTTAGAGCCCTTCTCCTTCCGACGAAGCTCCAGCTGTTCAGGTGTTTCAGTCTGCTCTACAACAAGAACTCGATAACCCTGCTCAGCCAAGGAAACTTTGTAAGTTCCTCCCCAGTTGCAAGTTGGCTTGTTGAAGATGTTAATAAGTTAGGTAGCAGAGATAAAATAAGTCATTTACGACGCAAACCTTCCTAGCCAGTTTTTCCACATTCATTGAGAAATTCCTCTCCGGAAATCCACAATGAGGTTGCTCTCCCTAAAACAGTCACAGGTAAATGAATAAATATGCACAATTTAACATAAGAAAATAGAACATCTTGAGATTCTAAGAAAATCAACAACTCTAGACACTCACACACACCTTCATATACTGCAAGTCGAGCTCTTTGACTCCTACATGTGCATCCATCTCAAAAAGCTCATAAAATTTACCCATCTGTACCAACAAAAGGAAGCGAAAATATTTCATTTGGTTATACGGAATGAACTAACGGCACTAATAAAAATTATAGCCAACTTAAACCTTGAAAAACAAAACTTTGTCCATATGCTTTGACTTGAATTCCCACCATTGTTTCTGCACTCATCAAATGACCATGACCACATCAATCGCATGCAGCCAGGCACCATTGAAAAATTTAGAATCTCACCCTACTGCTTTACCAGTAATTACCTGACCATCTGACAAACTCCCTAAGAAACCAGGAGGCAAGTAGAGAGTTCTTGAGTCATAATTTTCATCTCCAGGACGCCTTCGCTTGGCATCCCTGCGATCTCTGTACCAAGACCATATACATACACAGCACCATAACATCATAATATAAACCAACAATATATGCCATAAAAATGGAAAAACAGAGGATAACTGCAAACGCAAAATGGCATGGCACCTAAATCCCTTTTAACTTTTAAGAGATAAGAACAGAATTTCACTATAGTCAGCACTCACTCTCTCAGGAAGCGCAATTTCTGATTGTCACGAGATGCAAATCTTTCAGAGACCTCAACATTTGCAACGTTGTCAGCACCATTAGATGCCTTTTTAACTGCAAAAAGTAAAGACGTGACTTAAATTATAAATTACATAACAAATTATCTCCGCATTTCAGTTGACTACTGACATCATCCAATGGAATAAGAAAGAGCATCCAAAAAGTGATGCCAGTGAAGACAAAAAAAAAAATTGCATATTTAAAATACAGAAAACTTAATGTGTAAATCCCGCATATCATTGGAGAAAAAACCATCAGAATGGCTCCTTGCATCAAATTTCTCCAATCCAATAATCTTTATTTGCCCTTGTGTTTTTTAATCTTTGCGTGAAGGAATCTTTCCAACACCATTCAGTGTTTTTGGACATTACCTAATTTAACAAACAATGTGAATTTTGTAACTTCTGAATTTGAAACATCCCATTTTTAACACCTACACTCCCTCCACCAACAAAATAAAAATAAAATTAATATGATTAGGAGCAATATCTGAACGTCGAAATTAATCTCAAGCAGTTCCTCTGCTTAAAAGCTTGTTTCTAACTTGGTCACTTACTCTCCAAAATACTAGTAGGCTCCGCCACCGAGAGCTTAAAAGCCCCCTTACCAACTTCCCCTCCACTCTTGCTCTTTTTTGCAGGCTCCGCTTTCTCTGTTCTAATCAGTTTCCGCTTTTTAGATTCAACCTTCCCACTAGACCTTCCTTTAACCCTCTCTTCTACGTCGCATTCATCCTCTAGATCGGTATCTTCTTCTCCATCGTCCCCAGCATCCTCCAGTGCAGCATTCTTCCCCCAATCTTCATCATTGGAATCATCACCATCATCATCATGTTCGTGGTCTTCTTCTTTGCGACTTTCTTCCACCTCGTCGTCCTCGATCACCATCTTCCTAACGGCGGGAACGCCACGACGCAGCCGTCTAAGCTTCTTCGAAGAGGAATCGTGGAGCCACTCGATCTTCTCCTTGGAAAGATCAAGGGATTCCTCTTCGCCATCGTCGTAATGAACCAAGTGCTTGGAAGTGAGGTTATCGAATGATTTGACAAGACCTTCGTACCAAGCTTTGTCCAAAGGCCAGTAAACCTTGACCCTTCTACCAATGACCTCAGTAGCGTAGAGAGAAGACGAAGAGGAGGGTGAAGAAGAAGCGCCAATGAGAAGAAGGGGCTTGTGCGGTTTGGAATCGAGAGGAGAAGGAGTTGGAACGGTAGGGCTATGGCTAGGGTTAGGGTTAGGGTCTGAAATATGGTTAGGGCTTAGTTTGGGGTTGGTTTTGGGGTTAGTGGGAGAAGGATGTTTGGAGAAGAAGGAAGTGATTTGACGCTGTTGATTGACAAGAGGTGATCGACCGTTGCTATTGCGACGAGAAGGAGCCATTGGTGTAGTGTGAAGAGTGATAGTGAGACTCAGAGGCTCATAAAAGGTGGTGGTGGCGGGAAGTGTTTATGGCGTGTGGCGGGAATTCACTCTCTCTCTCTCTTTCTCTAGTTTAGTTTTTTAGAGCCGTGAGCGCACACGCTCTGCGACGCTGCTGCTGCCATTTCCGGATATCGATTTTTGGAAATAAAAAAAATAAGAAAGAAAGAGGAAAAATGAATTTTAATCAATACTATCTCAATTGGGATTTCATTTTGGGTTAACAGTCGTGAAACTCCTGTCTTTATTTCAACACGGATGGTTTTTTTGAACTTTTTCTTATACATTTATTAAATACTTAAATTCTTGTATTCGTTCCTGTTTTTAAATATAGATAAATGTTATTAAATAAAATTCACATACCACTTGCAAAATGAAGGTTAGATGCTACACTCTAATGGATCCTACTGAAAGTTGTGATATTGGGTTAACAAGCATAATGTATGTCCCATTCAAGCGTCAGTGTCGTTATGTTAACTTGTAATTGATAAAGAGTGCTTTGACCAAATATTTAAGAGTAGCAGCTTCAATATTCAATCAATAACTTCTTAGTATTTTTTTGTAACTAAAATTAACGGGAACTCTATGTTTTCATGCTTTTAGTAAAACGCACGAATTTTATAGTTTTTACCAAATAAATGTAAAGAAAATCAACAAAAGAGATAAAATCTCTTAATTTTAAAAAACAAAGAGATTTAATTAATTTATAAAGAATGAGAAGAATATAATTAAAATTAATGGGATCAAAAGTCTAATACATCCTTTAAAATTTAAATTTTGTTAGCTTTAATCTTTAAGGTTGAATTTAAATATTAATAGTTATTTTTATAAAATGAATCTTCAAAATTTAAGAATTTATTTTTATCTCTCCTCATTTATTTTAAGAATAAATATTATCAAACTTACTTCATTTAATAATTTTTATATTGTTATTTGGTCATAATTGATATAAAAATTATATTAATAGTACATTAAAATTAGTTTTTATATAATAATCTAAATATTAATAAATTTTAACATCAATATTTAAATTTATGAAAATTTTTAAAAAATTTATGTGACTTTTATTAAGTGATTACGTATTTTAAAAATTTTGTAGTTATTTATATATAATCATACAATTTAAATTTATTTTTTTAATATGACAGTAAAATGGCATGATTTTAAAAAAATAATTTTTTTCTCAATTGCCAATTTTTTACAATAATTTGAAAATTATTGGTTGAAACTAACGCGTCTTTCTGCTAACTCCTTAACAAATGTAATGCGAACGTTGCAATGACCATGCGATTAGCTTGCCTTTATAAAGTCCAAAAAAGTAAAAGAAATAACAGTTTTTTTAATATTTCTCCAAAATATTTAATAATAAACAATATATCTCATTAAAAATATATTATTTAATATTAAATTATATATTATTATTAAATTTTATCATGTATAGTTTTTTTTAGTATATATATTTAAACACACATGAACAAAATTTAAGACATAACAGTAGTAATATATGGAAAGACTTCGATTCTAGAAGGCACCAAAGAAGAATCTCTTTCTTCGTCAAATCTGGCCCTGCACTACAAAATTGACAGTGATTGGCATACAAAGGCAAAAATAGTGAAGAACGCAGTTTTATTTTAATTGCAGGTTTTGCTCTCCTCTCTCCACCTTTCCCTGTAATTTTGTTCTATTTCGTCTTACATATTCCCTTTTTTATGCCAATATATGTTACATGCACCTTCGTAAGATATGAGCGTCTATAACTTTAAGTTTTTTTATAAATTATATTTAATTTGTTTAATAAAATTTATGATATAATTTATCATTAAAAAATTATTAAATAATATTTAAACAAGTGGTTATTTAAACTTACGCGTACCCTAGATTCATGTTCACAGTTGTAAATCTTGCTGAATTTTAGTAATAGAAGGGTGCTTAACATTAATTTTATTTATTTATTTTAATGTCTATTTCCCAAATTTATTTTTTTTGAAAATATTAAGCGCCGTTGGACCTTTTTTAGATAGTTTAAGATAAAAGGAACGCTATTCATTTCATAGTGTCACAGTACTTTTAGAAGACCCAATTTATAACGGATCGATTTGCGATGGTTGTGTTTTACTATATAATAAGCACTCTCATAGTTTGCTAGAAACCCTTGAGATTTAAAAATATAAGAGGAAAAAAAAAACAATTTCATCGATAAAAGATGTCACTTTCACTTGTCAACATTATCTGAAATAATTGTTACTTTTTTAAATATTTCGAAAAAATAAGTAATTAAAACTAAACTTTGAGGAAAATAAATAAATCTTATAAGACAAAAAGACAACTTAAAACTTAGATTCGCATGTCTTAATACAACAGATAATATCTTCCCATTTATTAATAAATACTTAAAATTTATTATATAAGAGTAAATTTTATCACTATTAAATTTAAATATAGTATGTTAAATTTCAGCGACTTAAAGTGATACTGTGGATTACAAATATGTGGCATTTTTATTAATGAAGCTCGTATTTAGTGGAGGTTTTTCTTTCTTGTATGGAAATTTATTGAATATCTATTTTTTTAATAATTTTAAAACTCAGTTAATTGAAGATGAGATAAAATTAGCAGAGTTTTATTACTTAAGTATTTGTTTTTGTGCAATACATTATATAATTTATAAATTTTAAAGTTAATACTTTTAACTATAAATTTATGTATATGTATCAATTTATTTATTCTAATAATTATAATTATGTTGGAATTTGTAAAAAGCAAAAGATAAAATGATTTTATATGTGAATCATTAAGCAGTAATAAAATTTAAATAAATACAAATAATATTTAATTAATATTGTAGGAATATTTGTTCTCTATTTGATATATATATATATATATATATATATAATATTTATACAATTCATTATGAATTAATGTGTTTTAAAATGTTATTCATTTAAAAACTTAGAAAAAATAATATAAAATTAAAATTGAAATGTTGAAAACATAAAGATAAAAAAAACACACATGAAAGAAATAAAAAGGTAATAAAATAAAAAAAAATCGTATAAAAAACTCCTAGGATTTGAAATTAATTATCATTAACTTTAGTGTGAAAAGCTAAAAAAATGGATAATATAAATATGGAAATTAAAGAGAAAATGAAAATTTATAGCATTAATAACTTAAATTTATACCAATATTGTCAAATGAGTCTCAAAGTCAAGAGTACGATGACAATCAATTATTAACTTAATATTTCTTAATTATTAACTTAAAAACAACAATTAAAAATAATATTCAGGGTATTGCAGGATATTAATTAAATAATTAAAAAATAAAGTATATTATACAAATTACATTTGACATTTATTAAAATCACAATGATCGATAGTGCATAAATTGAAAATATTTATCATTTTTCAACTATTATCTTTAAAGTTTTGTCAACAAAACTGTAATAATAATACCAGCAGCAACATTTATCAGTTATTCATGACCCTTCTACAGAACAACAAAAGTTATGCATGCCCCTTGCTTTGTATATACCATTTGACTAAATACACGCAATTTAGATAAACATCGCATATATTATAATTAATTCACTTTTATTTTTTATATTATATATCCTTTGATGTTTAAGATTACGCAACATATTAAGAAATCTTTAATTAATGTATAATTTTACTATATTATAATTAAAATACTTTGCCTCCATTTATAGTCCATTTGCAACGAAATGTTATAGATAAGAAATACTGATGAATAAATGTGCGGTTAACAAACGATTTTAATTTATAAAATAACAAATGTTTTGAATGATGTGATTTCTTTTGCATCAATTACCTTTTTTTTTCTTTTTTTAAATTTTATTTAAAATATATTTATTTTGAAATACTCTAAAACACTCCTTTTTTCAAATATATAGAATGAAATTATGTTAGTCCCACTAAAGAATTTGTGTCCACTTTTCCAATAAAACATTAGTAGTAGATCTCTAATATAAATTTTAATGTATTTAATTATTTATTAAAATTTATTTAAAATCACAAAAAACTATGAATTGTATCTTTAATTTAATATTTTGTATTTACATTTTTCTAATTTATAATGAATTTTTATCAATAACTAAAAGTGTATATATAATTTATACCATTTAATTTATAATAAAAGAATACTAAAAATAGAATCTCAAAAAGCAGGTTACTATGTTTTTCTCAAAAACCAAACGGAAAAACACTCCAGCAGAAAGGATGTTAATCTTAATAACGAAGTGTTATAGATGGCACAATAAAAACTTTTTGTTTTTTGTTCCTCTACCCATACATAAAACACAAACAAAGGCATGATTTAAGGGTGGTAATTGGCACATCTTAATTTGGATTCTATATTAGATTTTAGCTAATTACACGGTTTACATCAACATTATTTGAAAAAAAGGAAACACCTATTTTTGGTAGGCGTGCTAATTAATCGTTAAAAATATTGTTTCCAATATAAAAATATATTGTTGAACAAGAATCAAATCTACTCGATGATAGATTTTCTCTTAAGATTATGTGTACATAATTTGTTGTCCAAATTTTAACTAAGGTAAATCGGCGTCAATATGTGATTTTATGAATTTTCCAATGCAGAGAGACATCTACTGTGGAGGTTGATCACTACACCAATGAGTCTCTACTCATCCATGGTTTTGCGTCCTTCGTCTCTCGTCATTGTACTGGTATGTGTCACTTTCGTTTCATTGTTGTTTGCATCTATTTTCTTTTCACTAATTCATGGCCCTAAGGGGTACAATGTTTTTACATTTATTCTTTTACATCCTTTTAACATCTTATTCTCTTAACTTTTGGTCTTCTCTCTTCAAAGGAGTCTGAAAGAATGGTCACTCAATATATTTCTTTTAATTTTATTTGAAACAGTTTAAAAGATGCATTTTTCATGGTTTTTTAATGCCATAGATGAGGGTTTAGGCTTTAGTGCGTGTCTGTATTTTCAAATTATTTAAATAATTATTAAAAATATATTCAATTGTTGTTGCAATCATATATGTAACATAAGTTAATTTCTTTTTTTCAAGTATGTTAGATGAAAAGTAATTTAAAATTTAGTATCCTTTTAGATAAATAATTTAATTTAACGTTTATTCATAAGTTTTTTAGATAATATTTTATGTCATAATTTAACAATTTAACCATAAATTATTTTAGAATAAGTTAAAAATAACCATTTTTAAAAACTATACAGTTGTTTGTGTTAAACACTGTTGTACTTCGAAAAACTAAATATTGAAAATAAAATGAGAAAATAATAATTTATATATTTAATTATAAACTTCAAAATTCTATTTATTTTAAAAACCTTTTTTATCATAAAAAATTTAAATTATAATATAATTTTCATAAATATTATCAAAAAAGAGAAAATAAGATTACCAATAAACATTTTTTAGAAAGGTTATAATCATTCACTGTGATCAATTCGAATCACGCACTAGTTGTGCTAAGATTGGATGTTGACCAAATAATATATCTGTGCTTTTTAAGTGTTTATTGTTGTTTTTATTTAAGTAATTTTAATTTTAAATATAAACAGATATCTACTGCAACTATGTTTACTTTGTAACATGTAAACATTTGTTATAGGCTTACGCTGCGCTGTTAGTTCTTACCACATTGACGCCATGCTGGTATGTCATGGTCACGCAACTAGAGCAGCGTGTGATTTTGAATTCAGAAACTGTTCTCTCCCAATTTCAATCCGAAATTGAGCATTCAGCTACACTGATACACCCTATAAATTCGTCCTCAACCAAGGTCGCAAAATTTTTGAGTTCAACTCTCAAAGCTGCTAACATCTCATTCTCTGATATCGTGACCAAGGTTAGTAAGATAAGAGAAAGAATCATTTTTTATGTTTTGATATATTAAATATATGTATTTTATTTAATGTATTTAAAAACATATTATTGGAGGATATATATTTTAAGAAAAAAATGTTAGTAACATAACCTTTATTTACATTCTTTAATATGATTCGTTAACAACTAAATTCTTAGGAGTACAAAACCATGATTTTTTACTCTTTATTTATTTGATGTATCTCAAATACAGTTTTGCGATTTCACTTAATGATAATAGAAAACAAAGTGAGTTAAAATAATGTATTAAAAAATTATCTTACTGTGATTTGTCAGTAAAAAAGAAGAAGATATATTTGGATTTCGTTTGAATTTTTTATTTGATTTTTTGCTTTGGATTTGCAGGTGGCTCCATTATTATTTCAAGCATTTGAGACGGTTCCTCACTTAGCCCAAATCTCATACATGGGGATGGAAGGTCTTTTTTTCTCGTACTACACTGATAACGATAAAGTTTTGGCAATGTACTCAAACTCGTCATTTCCTTCGACTTCTCCTTGGAGTGCCTCGAAAGCAAAAGTATATCATATTCAACCAGTAAATCGTGACACTGGAGAGTTATATGGAGAAGCCATAGTATCTGAACCCTCTATCAATTCAAGTTTGTTTGCACAAGTGGTTATAAATAGTTCAAATGGGCATGCCTCATTGGGAACCAAGTGGAACCACGCTCATGATCTTCTATTCATTAGTTCAGCTAGAATCACAGGGGTTGGAGGGGTCTCTTTAGGTTTTCCAGCAACAACAATAGCTAATTTTTTATCTCATGTTGGTTATCAAGGAGCAAGCTTGTATTTGGCAACCAAAGATGGAAAAGTTCTTGTAGAAGGGATCCAAAATACTAGTATGGTTATTTATAATGATACGGTTTCCTTCCAATCAGTGAATGTTAATGGTGATCACACAAGTTATTATGATGGCACTGTCTCATGCAAAGGTGGAGATGGGGATGTTACTTCTATTTTGAATATTCAGGATACTGAGTATTTAATTCACTGCTCCCCCATTGATATAATGGGAATAGAATCGGTACGTATTAATTTATTTATTTTTTCCATATTCACTGAAAGTATAGTCTCTTTGAGGACATTACTTAAATGTGACACGGGTAGAGTGTGAATATGTGCAGTTAAATTTAACCAGAATATATCATCAAAATTTAACCTCATGTCCCGTTCTATCATATTTTTAGAATACACTACATATAAAATATAACTCTCATTTTAATATGTTTGTAAAATGTTGCCTTAAGTGTAACAATTATTTGAAAAAATAGATAATTAACTGATGCGTACCAAGTTAATTATTTCTTTTAAAACAACTTCAGAAAAAAAATTATATATTTTTAAAAGTATATTAGCACTGATCATGTGTATATTTTTCAGGTGTATGTTTTGGCTGTCCCAAACAATGGGTTGGTTCGCTATGTTCACGAGATTAAGAAAAAAGGATTGACGTTAATGACTGTGATGATGGTAATGGCACTGGTTGCCATGCTTAGTTTTCTATTTACAAATGTTAGATTACTTAAGCGAGAAATGCACTTGTGTGCGTCACTCATCAAACAAATGGAAGCTACCCAACAAGCTGAGCGGAAGAGTATGAATAAGAGCCATGCTTTTGCTAGTGCCACCCATGATGTTCGAGCTTCGTTGGCGGGCCTTACTGGTTTGATAGAGATGTGCTACCATGAAGTTGTCCCTGATTCTGAATTGGAGACCAACTTAAAACAAATGGATTCTTGTACCAAAGATTTACTAGGTAACATTATTGATTCATCTTACCCCAAAACGCATGTAATTGATTTTAATATAATCACTACTTATTTTTTCCCTTACCAAACAGTCATGCCCTGATATTGTTGTCTTTTATATTTTATTATTCCATTATTTCCTCTTAAGAAGTAAATCTCAATGCAATTTTATTGTACGATATCGTTATTAATTGTTTTTTCAACCAACATTGGCACAATAATTTTGTTGTCTTTTATAGTTTTACTATCCTAGTTTTTTTTTTAAAATAATGAAATGGTTGGCTTCCATTCAATGTATTAATTTTTTGTTTAAAAGAAAATTCTCTAAGAAATTTCGTAATATGGTATCACTATATATAGCATAATGATTAATATATTGTTTTCCTAACCATTCCCAAATCAGCCTTCATTTTAGATTTCATTATTTGCCTCGAGTCCTTTTGAAAAAAAAAAAACATGTATTTAAAGATATGGATAAGGTTACTTCAATTTTTGTATTTACTTCTTGTGCCATTACTAATTTCTTTTCTTTCTGTATACTATTAGGACTCTTGAATTCTATACTTGATACAAGCAAAATTGAAGCGGGCAAAATGCAGCTTGAGGAAGAGGAATTTGATATATTCCAACTCTTAGAAGATGTGGTTGATTTATATCATCCCGTAGGTATGAAGAAAGGTGTAGAGATAGTGATGGACCCTTGTGATGGTTCTCTACTCAGATATTCACGAACCAAAGGCGACAGAGGAAAACTGAAACAAGTTTTGTGCAATTTACTGAGCAATGCAGTAAAATTTACGAGTGAGGGGCACATAGCGGTTCGAGCATGGGCTCGGAAGCCAAGCTTGAAGAGCTCATTAAACGCTACTAACCGATACAGGTTAAAGAGACTTTTGTCATGTGTTTTTTATAGGAAAAAAGAAGCACTTGATGACATAGAGGCAATCCAATATGATCCAAATTGTATGGATTTTACGTTTGAAGTGGATGACACTGGCATTGGAATTCCCAAGGAGAAGTACAAGTCTGTATTTGAGAATTATGTCCAAGTCAAAGAAACTGCTCTTGGCCATGAAGGAACTGGCTTGGGACTTGGTATTGTCCGGTCCTTGGTAAGTATCCACTTTTATATTAAAAATTATATTTTAACGCTTACTTTTAATTTTGAGTGAGAAGTAGAGAAAGAAAAAAAAACCCATAGATAATACAAAAAAAAAAGAAGAAAAAGAAAAAAAAAGAAAATAATAATAATAAAATATAAAAAATTGAGTTATGTAAAATATAAGAATTGCAGTTTTATTTCAGTGCACTTCCTGTTCAACAACTGCAGTATATAATAAAGAGAAAGTAATAAGACACAAGGCTACATTCATCATATTTCTTTTTCTTCTCTTCTTTCTATTTTCTTTTTCATTGTACCATTTCCCCGGATATTTTACTTTCTCTTTCTCTCTTTTTTTTTTCTTCTTTTCTTACAAATTTTATTACCAATTTCACGCTTCAAAATGGGTGCGCAACAATAATATTTTTAATATTTATACAATTACATAATATATTTTTTCTTCTCTTTTGTCATATTATATTATTCATCACATTTTTTATTTTTTAATCTAACCATATGTGTACACGCTTCATGACTGCATAAGAATATTTTTCCTTTTATTTTTATGCATGATTAGTTATACCAATTAGAAGTCCTTAAGGAAGAAACAAAATCACCTGATTTTCCCTCCAGGTACGATTGATGCACGGAGATATTGGAATTATGGACAAGGACATTGGCGAAAAAGGAACCTGCTTTAGGTTCAATGTGCTCCTCACTGTACATGAGACACAAACGAATGGTGAAACTATAGAGTGTTGGTTTGGATCAAGAGGAAATCAAGCTCAGGGACTAACCATTCGCACTACAAGTCCTGCTTCAAGCATGGGTTCCATGAATCCCAGGTTACCTATCATCAGTCCTAGTCCAAGACCTGAGGCTTCTCAAGTTGTTCTTTTGATTCAAAATGAAGAACGCCTAAGGACTAATCAGAGGTTCATGAAGAACTTAGGGATCAAAGTTAAGGTTGTGAAGGAGTGGAGAGATTTATCTTACACTCTAAGGAAGATCAAACAAAAGGGGCTCCATTCCACTAGCCCAAGATCTCCATGGTCTTCTTCAGATTCTCCATCTACATCTTTTGGAAGAGCCAGAGGAGTCCGTTTGAGTGCCATGGATGGATCTGACTATATGAATTCCATCTTCAAGAAGACAGATATTGAAGCTACCATGAGTTTCATCCTGATTGTGATTGATGCAAATGCAGGACCATTTTCAGAACTTTGCATGGTGATATCTGACTTCAAAAGAGGCCTAAACAACCCTACGAGGGTTGTTTGGTTGGAAAAGCCACTTATGCCTGGCGTTGACTTCAAATTCCTTGAGGAGGATGCTTCTCATTCAAACGACATTGTCTTGTGCAAGCCATTTCATGGTAGCCGTTTATTCAAAGTTATAAGGATTCTTCCTGAGTATGGTGGTGTTTGGCAGTGTAATTCTAGTATAGTAAATAAAGAAAGGTATCAAGCTTCCTCAAGTGCTCCTGAAGGTGCAAGTCAAAGTGTTGAAGGACGAAAGTATGATAGATTTAAAGCAGGAAAATTTCCAATTCACCAAGGAGAAATACAAGAATGTGGAGGATCAAGCAATGGCAAATCCTTGAGGGGTATGAAATTTTTGGTTGTTGAGGACCATGTTTTGTTGCGTAGGATAACTAAGGCAAATTTGGAACGGCTTGATGCGTCTATCGAGGAATGTGAGAATGGTGAAGAAGCTGTTGGGCTAGTTGAAGAGGGTTTAACTCGGAATTCTTCCAATCCTCCATATGATTACATCTTAATGGACTGCCAGGTAGTAATGCCTATTATGATTTCTACTCCTTTCATTTCGTTATTAATTTCATGTCTTTTCGCTAAGTTTCTTTTCAATAATTTTACTCATCAATCTTATTGCAAATAGCTAGGCGTATTTCTTAATATATATATATATATATATATATATATATATATATATGACTTGGCATACTTAACTATTAGATAACCAAACATTTATGCATGCTACGAATTTGACTAGCGTTATTGGTGATTCAACAGATGCCGGTAATGGGTGGATACGAGGCAACAAGGAGGATAAGGGAGATTGAGAAGCCCTATGGCGTTCGCATTCCAATTTTTGCATTAACTGCTAATACGGGGGAAGAGGCAAAGTGGTCCATAGAAGCTGGAATGGACGATCACTTAGTCAAACCCATCAATCAAGTGGCTTTACTTGAAGCAGTCAGAAACATACATAACAAACAGTGAAAAACATGCTTCTCTGTTCAAGTTCTATATATATCATTGTCATCAAATTTTTAAATCAAACAATGTAACTTTTCCAATAAATACGTGCAAATTAAAAAAAGAACGAATCATTATTTGATTTAAAAGTTTGATGGCAATGAACTTCATCTTTAGTTTAGTTTTATTTTTTGTTAATTTTCTCTTATATAATCTGTATAAAAGCAAAACTATGGGCCACATGCTTTAAGTAGGATTAAAGACAACCCAAGTAGTTTTAATTGTTAATTTCATAGTAGGGCATGTGTTAGCTGTGTATATTTAGAAGAAGTTGAAACTTAACTGAAGGGTCAGATATAGGAAGGTCCTGTGAAGTTTGTAAATTAATGATCTTCAAATTTAGGGCATTGATGGAATTTTATTTTCTATTTAGATTACTAACATTTTTTTAGACCATTCGATTTGAAATGCATGTGATATACATGTAGCATTGTATGTAACTCTTTGAAACGAACCTGCCTGATTAAAAAGTAAAAAGGTGATAAAAAAGTTCAAATTTACCATCCTTCTCTGCTTGGCTTTGCCAAAAATAATTTTACAACCTCCAGTTATTTATTGTAGCACAGCAAAAATAAATTTACCGCGAAAATTCCATCAATATTGTCTCCCCATGCTAAAAGATATTAAAGAGATTTTAAACAATTATAACTCCAAATTTCATATGCAGTAATATTACTGCAGTCAAACATATCCCATCTCGTCCTTGTTTCTTCATAATTAGAATATAAACCAATTGGAAACAATGTCTAAACCAAAAATATATGTTAATACCGACTTGTGGTTGGGGAAGTTTAAAGCAAAGAGCTGTCATCATTGTCACCTACACCGGGTAGTCTTTTCCGAAAGGATTTGACAATTGTATGATAGGGGTAACACTGGTTGCTATGATAATGATGTTGAACGAATAATAATAATAATAATTTACTTTAATAATAATTATTATTATTATTATTATTATTATAGTAAAATAAAAATTTGCTTTAAACATGGACAAAATATTATAATAACTAGTCTACATTTAAGACATTAGCATTTGACTACAGAGATATATAAAGACACATATTATGTTTGACTAGTGTATCACTAGAAAGATAAAAATATAAAAGACACAAATTTGAAAAACACAAATGTCCCAACTTCAGAAACATGCAAAGTAAACTTTTAAAACAAAAATATTTTTCATAATTTTTAAAAATTACATAAACTATTTTCATAATTTTTATATCCAAACATAATACAATACGCAATACATCATATTCTATTCTCACTTTAAAATATAATACACAGTTATAAACATTAGTGTCTCTATTTTCGGTGTCTAATAACAATATTCAAATGCTATCTTAGATTGAGACTCTTATGTAATGAAATTTAAAACATTAAGAATTTTTATAATAAAAAAAATAATTTTTTTTGTTTAAATAAACTTACTATCAAATATAATAATACAATTGTGTTTAGTTTGAAAAAATATAAGAAATTGACATTTAAAATGAACTCAAACTTAAAAAATGAGAATAATTAATAAATATCATGTATACAAATTCAACCTTAAAAATTTTAGATAAATTACTAAATTTTCTCTACTTTACATGGGTATTAAATTAAATTTTTTTAATGAAAAAAGTTAAAGATATTATTTGATCATTTAAAATTTTATAAATTAAAAAAAGCAAATAATATTATTATTAGTAATAAATATTTCATTATATTATACATGATTAAATTAAAGAAATAAAATTTTCAAAATTAAAAACTATAAAAAATTAAAAATTTAAAATTCTTTTTCATTTTTATCAACATATTATATCAGTGAAAATTTTATATTAAGTTTGAAATTAAAATAAAGTAAAAATTAACTAAAGTTTAATAATATTCAACGAAAAATAACCTGCCCAACGTAAAAAGGATAAAAAGAACCACCAGGATAAAAATAATTCCTCACTAATATGAAATTCAAAGTTTGATTGAAAAGTAACAAAAAAAAATACACAAAAATCTCTATACATAACTGTTGTCATTTGTTTAACCCTCTGCGGCCCTGATGAAAACTTGTTTTGGGCGATTCAATGGCATTTCATTCTCCGGATGCATTCGGTACCGCAGGGAAAACTAACTTCGGGAACATCGTAAGATTTATCGAAGCATAGATTAAACTCAATATCCATGCGACTTTAGCCATTTGAAGCATACAAGGTCAATATTTTTCTTAATTCCTATTCCCATGTAGCAAAGGCTGACTTGTCAGGTCAAGAGAAGCAACCTCAAGAAATTTAAATATGCAAAATTACAGCGCTCAAGAAAAAAAAATGGAAATCTATCTGTAACAATACAAATAACCTACATCAACCTAATAAAAACCGAAGCTAAATATCATTTCCTACACCAAGCACTCTTATCCCAGCTTCTTAAAACCAGATTACAGCAAACCATGTTTCAACAGAGGAAAAGAAGTGCATCAAGCATCAATAAATCGTATATCAAAAGTGTGAGGATGTATCTGCCATACATTTAGTGCTGCATACTCCTCCAAACACTCTTTTAACTGGGCTTCGCTGTACCCCTGTTTGAAAGCCAGAAGTTGAGCGGTCAGAATACTATTTATAGGGAAAACAAAACAGGTATTTTATTAACAGACAGGACCTTACTCTGGCTTCACACAACTAAAACAAAATATAAGCTTCAACATAAAGGACTGCCATGAGTAGACATTAAATGCTAGCATGTTTATTAATACTTAATATCCAGGTATTACATTGTCGGTAAATAATTCCAAATCGGATCAAGGGACAATTGGTGCAAAGATAGGAATAGTATCTACTCAAACTATACCAGCCTAAAATGATTTCCTTACAACATTTCGTTTAAGTTCATGGTAGCCAATATTATTCAGTTCATGTCCCTTCATTCAATGAAATAAAGTATTCATTTAATCGTTTCATGATCTTTTTACTGTTGAATCTACCGGGTTCAGCAGTCAAACTTGAATCTAAACCCTTCTCAAGTTTGAAGCAAAAATCGTTTTCTACAATGCTACATAATGACAGTATTCAACTTTAAGGAGCATTTTATACATAATGTAGAAAATTAACTTAGTCTAACTATGACAGTTATGTTAGGTAATTCAGTTAGCACATATAAAAAACAACGTATATAAACTTCAATTTTATCAGCTATCTATGATGAGAACTATTTCTCTCTCAAATATCAGTTTCTGATTGTCAACACGGTATGATTATGAGCTCACCTTCCTAGATATCCAATTCAGCGCATGGGCATAGCTGATATCCATTCGGTTAGTTCTAGCTGCTTCATCTCGTAGAATGGAATAGATATCAGATATGGCATCCAGACCAGATTTTTGACGGTCATCAGAGTACAAAGAGAATTTTGACATCTGCATTAACCTCAGCGCTTCGTCCACGTCACTCTGACCAACCGTTTCAGAGAAACGTAGTCTTGCCAGCGCCTGTTTAGAAATTAAAAAAGGAATAATATTTGCGTGGACAACAGAAGAAAATGATCAGAGGACTCGAAGAGCCATCTAACTGCAATGTCTAATTTTATTGATCCCCGTCAAATTATCTGAACTAAATTTCTAGAGCTAAATAAACAAGTGTCAACTGGTAAAAGGAGAGGGGGGGGGGATGAAGACATACGGCTGATATGCGAAGAATACTGAGCAATGTCCTGACAGTCGTGTAGGAATGTGGAGTATTAGACTTTGCTTCTTCTTGACGAATTGTGGAGTATGCACTAGCAATATACTCTTCCAGTTCCCTTGGGACACTAGGAGACAATCTTCTTGCAGCTGATATGTATGCACTAGATAAAGGCAAAACAAATCAATTTGTTCTAGTTATCTTTTACTAAAACAACAGAACATTGACACAGACTCCTATGTGAATCTACATGAGCAGTCAGAACAAACAGGAAATCAACCGAGCATCTTATTAGAAAAGATTAAAGCAGTTAGCAATCCTACCGTAGAACAGATGGCTCAAGAGGAGTGAATCCTAGAGCGGGAGACTCTCTATTTTGGTGGACGTATACAACATGCCTAGCCATTTCAAGATCATTATCCATATCAGCTCGATCAAGGATCAACCACAGGAGATCAAACCTTGATAGAAGGGCAGGCGGAAGATTAATATTTTCAGCTGGAGTTCTTCTTAGATCATATCTTCCCCTTCACAATAAAATATGGATAAAATTAGATGCCTGTGCACATCTGTAAGATCTAGTCTGCAACCAATAAGGTGAAAAGACATAATACCAAGCTGGATTAGCTGCAGCCAGGACAGCAGTCCTTGCATTCAGCGATGTGGTGATCCCGGCCTTGGCAATGCTAACAGTCTGTTGTTCCATAACTTCATGTATAGCTGTACGATCTGATTCATCCATCTTGTCAAATTCATCAATGGCACATATGCCCATATCTGCTAGCACCTGAAATTCAGAATGTCCTTTCATATTATCCACCTATACCTGGAAACAACTAGTTAAAAGCGCATATATTGAATTACAGGAGATAAAGCAATAATTTGATGCATTTCATATGTATATTTCACCAGATTTTTCTACTTTTCTCAAGCTGAACTATAATATAAGCACAACATAGATGGAAGGAATTGCTGCATGTTTAAAAAGGAGGCTTGCATTACCAGTGCTCCACCTTCCAGAACCATCTCATTCGTCACTGGATCTTTCTGAACTGCAGCAGTTAGACCAACTCCACTACTTCCTCTGCCAGTGGTGTACACCCCCCTGGGTGCTACGTTGATTATGTGTTTAAGAAGCTGACTCTTGGCAACACCAGGATCCCCCATCAAACATATATGTAGATCTCCTCTAATCTACAATCAAATGAAGTTTATGATATCGCATACACAATAAATCAAAGAGCAAGCAAAATAAGCGTGGAGACAGAAAATTTGACCAATAGCATTGGAGTGTGAGGGAGAGGGGGGAAAACATAAATTCCTTACTTGATTCAGTCAGTAATATCATTTTAATTTTGTAATTGATGCCATGTCTTAATCCCTACTAATTCATGGTTTTTATGTAAAGTTTAAGCTCAACTGACTAAGCATATTTGGTTTTATTTATACAACCATAGTTCATTACCTTCATTCCATCTTTCAACTTCCGATGGGGAGCACCAACAAGGAGAAGAAGCAGTGCTTTTTTAATATCTTCATGTCCAAAAATTTCAGGAGCCAGAGATCGTGCCAATTTATTGTAGATGTCACCATCGTCTGCTAAACGTAAAATCTGCTCTTCCTCATCTCCTCTAAGTTCATATCTATGACAGAATTAATCAGTTAGGCAGCTGCTGTTTTCCCCCAAACTACTCTAATAAGATTAACAAGGTAAGTGTGGATTTTATTATGTTCGAGCACGCCATAGCAATATCCCCACTAAACACAAAGCTAAGCAGCATACAGAAAAACAAGTCCAAGACAGACTAATGTGCTGAGCGTGGGGTTAAAAAAAGGTGTGAGTCATTGTCAATAAAGATCTGAAAACTAACTTACTCTTCATATTTTTTCTTGAAATGAGTTACAGACATGGCCTCTAAGTAAGTGTCAGCAACTAAGCCAGCACGCATTGCCCTAAAACCAGTGTAAGGTATAGGAAGAAAAATCCCCGATAATTCAACCACATCACCAGGAGCCACCTGACAATTTACAACAAGTTAACAAACATTAGCAATAAATTAGCCATTAAACTTCAAATACTTGATAATGTGAGACAGTAACTTTTAGTTTAACGCCAGGAAATAACCAACCTTTCTAGTGAGTTCTCCCCTAAAATGAACAGTCATTGTTCGAGGAATATGGCCTTTGGGTACATGTTCAGCTAATTCTTGAATTTTGGCCTGCAGTTTAACAATATCACAAATCTTACACTAAACTAAATAAGCAATTGTATGGAACTGCATGAAAAAGAAAGAAAATAAATATGCTTTGATGACTGAACCAGAGAGCAAACCTCTTGAAATCTCAAAAACTTTGATGCTCTCAGTTGAAGGATAACATTCCCCTTGCTTTTATTTGTTCTACAGCGCTTTGATGGACACTCAAAGAGAGGCATGAAGACTCGAGCTGTTACTTCCTGCTTAGGAGGCAGAGAAAATAACAATGTCAAGGACCTGTTGGCATACAAATTCCATAGTAGTCCCACAAAAAAGGTCTGATAGATAGTTAGAATCCTTTAAATATTGTACTTAACATCCTGCCAATCAAAAAATGTTGATAGAGAGAAATTTCATGAACTGTGATGAATTTCTGTGAATCACACTAAGTAAATCCCATGCAACAGTTCCTTTATTTCTTTTGCTGCAGAAAATCTTTTGAACGCTTAAATTGAGCAGTTCAAGCAATCATTTCATCAAGTACCTGGTAAATTTCAAAACCACAATCCTCACACGTGTACACAGCCACTTGCATCAACGGTTTAACATCTGAACAACGCGTCACTATACCAGATATCCTTACAAGCTGACCAATATACGAAGCCTTCACCTCCCTAATTGTAAATGGCCGTCCTTTTGAAGATGCTCTAATATAAACTTCACTGCAACACATTCACGAAGTAATATTAGGACTATCACGTCATTATAAAACGAAGGGACAAACACCATGCACAGTCAGATATTTTTACATCACACAATGCTCACGCTTATTGAATTTCGTTCCAAGCAAAACATGAGAAATTGGTCTTACGAAACAAAATTAGACAATTATCGAATACACAAACGCTAGAAGTTGAATAAAAAACAGAGAAGAAAATCTCACAAATAACGCTTGATTTCAGGAGGCATCTTCTGAAGCGGGTCAGAACCATCAGCACCTTCCGCCCCCTCATCAGATCTCTGAGTCATCAATATGTCATGATCATCATCCGTGAAGGCCTCAGTGGACTCCGGCATGAGCCCGTCAATTGCATCGGCAAAAATTCCAATATACCTTCGAGTATTCTCAGTGACTCGCCTCAGAAACTCCTCATCCAGATCTTTATACTGAAATTCCCCAAAACAAAATTAACGGAACACCGGTATCTATTAGAAACGTAAAATAGAGAAATAAATCTTACATTAATTAAGTCCTCGAGATCGATCTGGACTGCTCGAGTTTTGTGGTTTGCAACGTCTTGCTGAAATGGAATTAGGGTTAACGGTCATCGTGTTTGCTGTTCAATAAGAGAGGTAAGAGAGATAAGAGTTGAATTGAAACAGAGAACTGACCAGGATGCTCATGTATTTGGCTTCGCCGTTGGCATTTGCGAAGTTGGAAAGGAACTCCCTCGCCAGAACTGGGGAAAGTAGAATAATGAGTTTAACCGAATGATAAAAAGGAAAGAAAAAATGATAGGTGAGAGAGGGAGAAGGAAGTGGGAGGTTCACCTTTGTCTGCATTGAAGTCGAGGTCCTTGGTGGCCATGGTTGAATTAGGCGAAGACGGCGACAGAGAAAGAGAGAGAGGGAGAGGAGAAGGAGGAGCAAAATGTATTGGAGGTAGTGAGTCTGAGAATTGGGCGCCAAACTATAAACATGGAGGTAACTTTTGGCGGGAAAAGAAGTACCCTCCAGGATATGCTGCGGTCGGGTACACTGTAACGAACAGTACTCCGGAATATAAGAAAAATAGAACCGTCTATCCAAAGAAACGAACAGAGAGGATAATTGAGAAAAAAAAGAAAGTAATTTCTAAGTGACAACCTCTCTTACGTGAAATTATATCCATCTTAAAAAAAATAAATGTAGTTAAATTTTTAAGATATTAAGATAATTATAATCTAAATATAAAAATGTCCTTTCAAATTTATAATTACGAGAAGCACAAATATTTTTTATCCAGCTCTATGTAATAAAATGAGTCTTGAGTTTTAATTAAGAGTTTTTTTAAAACCTATTTTAAATCAATTTTACTTTATAGGTATTAAATTTTATTGTATTATGTCATCTTTATTTAATATTTTTTATTTTTAATTTAAAATTACTTTAAATTTTGAATTTGAAATTTTTTAATTTTTCCTAATTATATTGTTCAAATATTAAAATAATTACTATTTTTTAATTTGTAAAATTAAAAAAAATTATTAAAATATAAATTTAACAATATCCTTATAATATACGAGAAACTCATTAAATTTATTTAAATTGAAAGTGTAATTTTTGCTTCCAACCATCATCATTATTTTATTTGGTTTTTCCTACTTACCCTCTCAAACCCTTGTTAGTTTATTCCCAGTGAACTCACTTGTCTATTCTCTAACTTCATAAACTGCATAAAAGAAGAAGAAATTTTTAAAAATACAAGTGATTCATGTATTTATGGATACTTTTTAAATTTAAGTAAAAAAAGCACAAATAGTTTTTATTTTATGGAAAAGAGGACATTTTAAAAATAATTAAAATATAGAAAGTTAAGATTTTAGATGAAAAATAATATATAAATTAATCAATTAAAATTTTAAATATGAGAATTTAAAATCTTAAGAATATTTTTAAAATAATCAATCATTTTTTAATTTTAAAAAAATTAAATAATAATGAAGTCTCGTATTACAAAGAGAAAAAAAGTATACATTAAGTTTTTTATCTAAAAAAATATTCAAATTTATGACGTGGAGATTGATTTTAGTTAAAAGTTTAAATAATTAAAATGGACGTGTTTGGAATTGAAAAAAATTATAAATAAAAATTTAGTTGAATAGTTTGCGATTTTAATAATTTTTAGTTTATTTTAACAAGTTGTATTGTCAAATTTATAACATATTTCTTTATATAATGAAAAATAATTATTAAATAAGTGTTAAATTAAATTATTTATCATAATAACTTAGTGTGTACTATAATTTTTCAAAAGACACACAATACACCAAACTTTGTAAAAATGACGAGGAACATTTGTTCATGGGAGAGCAAAACATACACATACAACAACTGTAAGACATAGTGTGGTAACCTTGAAGATTAGGTAGTTTAGTTTCTTGAGTTAGCATAATTAGCATACAACAATTTTTCACTTTTGTGTAGCCACATATTTATTAGACATCACATACTTCCGTTTTCAGGTTTCTTAAACACTAACGTCCTCCATCACAAGGTGCCACACGCAAACTATGTTGCTGAGCGGGGTGGGCAGAGATTAGAGGCTCAACCGATACTGAGAATAGTCTAATTTTAACAACTCCAATGAAGTCCATTAATATGAAACTCAGTCTAGTCATAAAAATTAAGCACAATTACTTTTAATTAGCTTAATATAAAGCTATAATAAGTTTCTAGAAAATCATTGACCGCTAAAAATGGACAAAATCGGTTAATATTTTTAGATTGTCGGTTAGCTGCGGTTTGAGATTTTTGTCTGAAACCAACGCCTTCCTTTGGTGCTGAGCCAGTTGGAACTTTCTTGCAATTTCATTCCTTTCATACAGGCATGTCACAATTCATACATGGCTCATCTAGCACGTGATACAAGAGATTTGTTTGTGAAAAATATAACTACGGAACAACAATTATTAACAGAATGTTATCAGCAAAAGCATTTTTTTTAATCTTTCTAATATTTGGGACATTAAATATTCAATTTATTAGGGAAAAAAAGTAAGGAAAACTTGGTCTCTGTGAGGCAGACACGAAAGGCCAACATGATCGATCATAGCCTCCACTTCCAGTTCTATAACATGTTTATGAAGAGATTATAATCTGTTCCCTATTTTTTGTCAGCTTTGCTTGTATAAGTATGTCCAATATGGGGGGCTCCAATGGAATTGGATCAAGGCATCGCTCTACAGCAGCAACAATAACCTGTGCACAAAGTCAAACGTGGAGAGCACACATACAGAGAATATGAGAGAATCTAGAGATGAGTGTACCACAAAAAAATTACCAATAACAAAGGTAAAATTTTCACAGAAAAAAAGCATACAACTAATTTGAAAAAGTTCAAGGTAAGATTATTTTCCAACCTCATCAAGCAAGAAGTCCATTGCGGCCTCGTCTTCAACTATTTCTTTTAATGGAGTCCTTATGAACTGAACATCCAACTGAATTTGCTGGAATCCACTCCGGTTAAAAGTTTGGAGCCGAACAAATTCTTGTAAGCTTTTAAGGCACAATTTAACAATGGTCATAACCACTGATTCCTGCAATTTGCAAGCAAAGATTGATAAAAATTGTTTGCAACCAATTATTTAAATGTTGCTTAACTCATATGATGATTCTTCCTTACCTGCGTATATTCTACTTTGGAGAAAATTTCAACCTTTTGCTTAAACAGTTTCGCCAGATGTGTTTCCAAAAGTTGATGGCTCCTTGCCTTCTGAATATTAGACCGACTTGACTTCTCCTCTCGGAAGGAGTTACTTCTCGATGAAGCAGTACTTCCATTACTATTAGCCCTATGGTGCTTTCGTATATCTTGAGGCAAAATTTGCTTCACTTCATTGCCTGTAACTTTGAGCTAGAAAATCCAATAAAATAAATCAGAATGTACCTACACTGCTTCAAGTAATCACTAAACACACTCATCGCATAAAGATATATAAAGCTTTATGTTTATTATATTCTAGACCAAAAAATATATGAAAGACCAGTGTTCAAGTACAATTCTCAAACAACTCAACACAACTTAAAAGATGGGGGGAAAAATTGAGCAATTGATTTGAAAATACTAACCTCCCGAAGAAATAAATCAACAAACATATGAACTTCTCTTGGCTCCTTATGCTGTGCAAAGCAACAACTTAGTATTCAAGCTCTTTCAAAGATGACACTTGTATTGTTTTTAAACATAGGTATAAAACATACTGACCTTAATCCAATTAGGTGTGGCAAACCTCTTCTGTAGGAGAAGTGATATTCGCTGAGATCTGATATTTATGTACTAAAAAGAATAAAATTAAGAACAAATGCTAATTAACTGTCATATTGTGTTCTGAAAGAAGAAACGTTATTAAACAAAGAGGTATAAATTGAGGATAAGTATTGTGCAGAAGAAAAGCACTCGAGAAAGAATGCTACAACATGAAAACAGTGCAATAAAGTTAGGTAATCAATCCCTCTGTACACAAGATATGAAGTACCTTGGTCTATGTCTGGATTTATAAAAATGAATAGAATGACTACTCTAGGTTTCGTTATTTGAATCGTTAAAACAAGACGGAATAGAATGAAGCATGATGGAATGCATTCCATCTCTTTCTGTCCCTCCAATTTAGGGGTATGGAATAGAACCAACCGTTTCATCATAAAAATATCCAAACAAGAGAATGATAACTTTTTCCCATTCTATTCTACATTTCTACTCGCTATCTGATATCCATATAAAACAAAAAAAAAAAAAAAAACAACAAAAGTACATCTAAGTTAAACCATGTAAGTTTTGCCAATCCCAAATAAACTCTAAGGACGGAAAATTTTTCTTAAATATTAAAGTATTTACTCTAACTACATGCACCCAAAAATAGAACAAACCGTACCCTCCCGTAGTCATGCCCTCCAATTTCTTCCCTAAGACTCTAAAACCTATCAATGAGTAACTGCCCCATGTTTTTCCAAGAACTTCAAACAACTTGTTCCGGATAAAAATTTTTGCATAGCAGTGTAAAAATAACAAACAGGCAACTAAACTTGCTACTTCATCAAAGCAGGCTGCACTTCACATTAAAACAGGCACTGTAATAAGGGCCTAAGCTATATAGATATCCTTGAATATCCTTTTTTCCTTGGAAACAAAAATATCATCTGAAAAAAAGAAACATTACTAAAACAAAGCGTCATCATAGAGCAGGCTTTAGATATAACTGTATGATACCTAAGGAATAAAGGCATAAGAATGAGGAAAAGAGTGATAAAGACAAGGATAAAATACACACAGTTGCTCACACAAACTGCAATTCTATTGAAAAAAAAAATTATGAAGTTGAAAACATACCATGTGCAAGAATTTTTCACCGGTTATCCTAAATTTCTGACAGATCTGAACAAAGCTCAGTCCGTAGTCATAACCTCCAACATTACAACCAGAAAAGGAATCTGCTAATTCCTGAACATTACAAGGCAATTTTTAAGGTTGATCCATTCTAAGGAATCAAATATCAAATATAAGTCGATTAAGTGGATCCTTGCCTCAGTGATTTTTGGGATGGCAGTCTGTCCAATGAAAGCGGACAATTGTGCCATCACTAAGATAAGACTAGGAAAGGCTTTGTCACCTAGGGCTCCCTCTGTCAAACGATGAATTTGAGTAACTGAAGAATTGTTTGTTCCTGAAAACAATAGGAACTGAACCTCAAGTTGCCCAAAAAAGTCTTGAAATCCTTCTTGAACCCATTCAATTATTAAGTCTCTTAGTTTATCTACAATCTCCAAGTCGTCATCTAGAATTTTGTGGATATCCTGGAATATACAAAAGGAAATTTTTTAACAATGATATTTTGTGTATATACATGGATAAATATAATGTTATATCTACGAGTGTAGGTACACAAATTTGTTTACCAGCAAAATGTTCCCGCCTCCGTGGAAAATCGCTTTTATGCTAGTATCAAGAGCAACTTCTAGTGAGTGCTCCTCTGCTCCCTCCCGTTTCAGTACTTTTAAGAGGGAATCTACCAAACATAAGTTAACACAGAGCATAGTTATTAAGACAAGTGTCTGTTAACTACTTTTGTAGCTAGCTTAAATCAGGTAAACATATATATTAACGTTAAACTAACTTTATAAGACTAGAATCCTTGACAATGTAATATTCTCCATTTTGTGCTTTTGATCATTTTCAATAATAAGATGTTATATTGGCCAAAAGGTCCAAAACATACAGTCTCAATTTTTTTTGTTTTCATTCTCCCACGGTGACAAGGTTAAATATTTCAAACTTATATGCTGAACTTAAAATTCAGAAGTTCTACGAAGTCACAGAACTAACCTGAGATGTCTTGCATTAGATGAGAAAATGCACTTGTAATATACAGCTTGACAGCAACCTTGGCAGACTGACAAAAAAATAGTTTTGATTGATGAAAATTCTTTTTTAAACTATAAGTTCATAAGGATTGTATTGTGAAGAGAAAAGGAGAATGCTGACTTGAAAAACAGCATCTATAAGTCAAAATCAAAATGGAGCGAATAACTTTGATGGATGACCTCAAGAGAATGATTAGAGAGAGAAGTTTCCTGTAAGACTTCATCCATCCGGAGCACGTCATTCCAGATAACTCCTGTGCCCAAGTTGAGTGTAATTAAACATTTGAAAGCGCCAAAATCAGACACAAAAGCATTTGTTCATATTAACATTTGATTTTGAAAACATTTCTTGGGAACACATTTATATTGGTGATTTAAAAGCATGATGTTATGTAAGACACTTCTTTTAACTACTTTGATATAGCACGCTGTCTATTATAAGTTATAAGCATATATAATTGCAAGATATATATGATTAGATTTGCACTGTATTGCAATAAAGGCCTTAAACGAAGTCAAAACAGACCAAATAGATGCATACAATCATCACTTAGAACATAGAAGAGAATAAATGAATTGCATACATTCATGAATTGAAAATTAAAAGCCACGCCTAAAATCATACCTATAAGAATCATAATAGTTTTGTTTGATGTTTATGAGAATAACTACTATAGATTTAAATAAACAAACAAATTCGTTCAGTTAATTTAAGAAATTAAATTATCAGAACTAATAGACTGAAGTAGTTGCATGAGTGCTACTTACGAAGAACCCCAAGTAGATCTGCAGCACCAATTCGTGTCTTTACATACTCCTCAATTCTTAGAAAGTGTCTGGATAACAATTATAAAGTTAATTTGCGTAAAATGAAAATTCCAGGCAGAGGTGCACTACAATAAATTCAACAATACTTCGCATTGTAACATAAAGATACTAACTTGGTGATTAAATCTTGAGCAAGTTTAACTAATTGCTTTTCTGAATCCGGAAATATTACTCGAAATGCACGAATGGCCCCCACGAACTCATGAACGGCTGCCTATGTTAAAAAATAGGAGCACACACGAATGTTCAATTCATCAGTCCCTAACCATTATAACTACAACGATGATATGACCACCCCCCCCCCGGGGGGGGGGGGGAAGAAAAGAAATTGAACAGAAACTAGCTCCCTTCCAAAATAATTGTTACTTCAGAAGTTTTAGTTTGTCTCAGTTGGCCAAAAAGTTATTATTATTTCTTTTTGAACTTTATCATTGTCTTTGATCATGTCTCTTATCCACTGGAATAGGAGAGTATTAATAGTGTTAAAATGTAATATAGTCAAATGATTTTGTATTTCTGTTGAGATTGAGATAATTTATTGATGTTTTTAACCAAAGTGCAAAATTTAAACCTGTGTTTCTTCCTGCCTTTTTTTATAAAACTCTTTGAAAAGAAATTTACAGTCCTTAATATATGAAGTTCTTTATATAATTTTATAATTTTTTTTTCAAAATTATCCTTCATACATATTGAATTATTCCAACTTTTCAAAAACTAATATGATAATTACTTTTAAAAAATAATTAATATGATAATAAAGTTTGATTTTAAATAAGAATAAATTTAGAATGTTGAAATTAAAAAAACTAAAACTAAAAAATTTATTAACTTCAACAATTTTTTCAATTGATGTAATTTAATTGAAAAGCTCTTATAAATAAGACTAGAAAGAACAAAATAATTATCTTAAAATAGAGGAAGTGCATCAATGTTTCTAGTTTGGATCCTCTCCAGCATACTTTTTATCCAGCCAGTGTCCAGCTAAATCTCAACCATTGATATAGTTTTTGCACCATAACTAAAGAAGAATATATGATGGAGGGATGAGATTTCAGCTGTAGACAAATAATACTTGAGAGATAGGAGACGATCCAAACTCCACTATTTCACTGTAACCTAATTTCTTAATAAATAGTCTGACACTAATCGTGGATGCTTAATCAGCATTTAAAGTTTAATCATTTTTAGCCATTGATATCCTTTTCTACACGTTATGTAGTAGTTTTAGTTGCACATTTGAATACGTCTTCCCAAATACTGTGACAAAATATATATTCTACAAGAAATGTTGTTCTGAGACACGTGATTTTAATGCTGTTTGTCATCAAAGGGAATGGTGGCCCTATATAGACTAAAGCTATTCAATAAGCTTTTTATTGACTGAGAGAGAACCCGCATGCAAGAGTTACATATACGAGACGCACAACATGGCACTTGAACAAAATCTTAAATAAACAAAGACAAGATAGTAAATAAAACCATAGATAAGCTTATGAGGAAAAGAACATTAACCAAAAGGATGATACTCTAGCACTACCTACCTCATGAGCAGAGGATGAAACACTCTCTATTATTTCAGGGATAAACTGAATGTCAGTAAGGGAAAGCTCCAACTTCCCGAGTAGCTTTGCTTTCAAATTGTCCACCTGCCAATATATAAAAAACCTACTATTATATGTCCTTAACTAATAAAACCAAGGATAACAGTGTCATTTTTCTCTACAAAATGGGATAGGATGAGAGTAATTGAGACACGTACGATCGATCCCAATAAATCTCACAAAATGCAAGAAAAAATAAATTTATACATATATATAAATTCATTTCTGCCATTTATTTTAAATGTTCAGAAAATAATTAATGGTTCAAGGAGGCCCATCTCAACTCACAAAACTACTACAAAATGCCGTTTCTAAGAAAAAGAAAATCAGTACGAACCGGGAAATTCAACTGCTTAAGGAGTACTGCAGCCTCAGCTCTCACTTGCATTGATTCAGAATCTGAAAATAGCTTTCCCTGGTTAGAAAAAAAATAATGTTAAACTACGAAGAAAACTAATGTTTACATCATTCCTTAAACTTCTAGATCATGTTTAGAACTAATTTAGAAGGGATGGATAGAGCAAAGCTAGCCTTATCCAATTTTATAGTAAGTTTTATATAGCTATCCAGTAAAGGCCTTGTATCAAGTTATAAGACGATAAAAAGCATAAAAGTGCAAAAAAAAACTATACCTGCAAGTTTTTTACTATAATAGCTATTGCTTCTTCAGATGCTCGCTTACAATCTAGGAATGATGAATCTCCATATGTCTAACAAAGAGGGAAAAAAAACAACGAAAGATATATCATCTACGACCTAAATCATTGCTTTACCGGAAAAATTGTGTCCTAATGCGTGCCGTAGAAGATAAACAGTAAAAGTATCCAAAAAGATTGAATTAGTAATATCAGCCAAACAAAACCTTAAAAATTGGCATTGCACCAGTGTAGAACCTGACTGCATCTGCATAGGCCTCAGACTTGATGCACTTGCCTAGTCTATCAGGTAGATCATATATGAACTGCTCTTGAACAAAAATGAAAAATGAATAAAACATCTGTTGTTAAAATCATCATGCGTAAAACTAGTATCGTTGCTTTTAATACCTGAATCTTACGAAGAAGATTGCGTGTCCGATGCAATTTCTCTATATGCTCCCTATTCTCACATAAAGAAGTGTTGACGCTGTCACTCCTTGACTGCACAGACATTATCTACATTGGGGGAAAATGCAGATTACTCATACATTTTACTTTTTATTTTGCTTCTTTATAATGAAAACAACAAATCTCAAAACGGATTGAATAATTAACGAACGCTTACCTTCTCTAGAAGCTGTTCCATATTTGCTTCCATCCCCAAAATATTACTCTTCATCCTGTTTTACAAACAAATTCCTGAGAACATGTATATATATTGTAAAACGAACACGTGAAAAGATCTAGACAAAATATTCACGAGATGGAAGTTGCATGTGACGTAGCAAAGGTTAACAGGAGGGGGAAAATTCAAATTATAATTAAACTAAACCTCTTTATAGTATCTGTGGCGCAGATGAACTTGTTATAATTCTCGTAGACGAGCATTTGCAGGTCAGTGTCGAGATTCTTTATTTCAGCTACCATTTCAACGTGTCTCTGTAGTAGCCCTTCCAAATTCGACTTGCGTGCCTTCATTAGTGATTGTTTCAACACCGTAAACGACAATGTCGTATCGTTGGTTCAATCTGAGAAGTAAAAAGATAGAAAAGAAGAATTACCAGGGCGTTCATGTGGAGATGGGGTTGGAATGAAGGGGAATTGATGTCGTCGGGTGAGGCGTGTTTGGAAAATGCATTAGCGGAATTGGAAGACGGTGAAGGGATTGGAGAGTAGAAACTGGATAGCAGATCTCTCATTCTCCTTGCTTTGTCATCCAACGGCGTGTCGTTCGCGTCCGTTCTTTCCATTTTTATTCTCTTTTTGATTATAATAGCAAGCGACTGAGGAAATGGCAACTGAAATGTATTATGTCGCCTTCGTCTGAAACAAGCTTTTCATAGCCTACTTTACAACTCCATGTTGTTGCGATGGTAAGAGACTTTTTCAGCTGTGTAACACGGGAACGATGCTGATCATGCTGTAATGTTATTCTCACTCCCTCGTAAAGCTTAATTAATACTCACCAAAAATAAATAAATAAACCGTTTGAACATAAGCTTTGTGTAGTTTTATAGGTAACAGATTAAGTGAATTACGGAAACATAAAGTAAAATAAGTTATTTAATTGAAAGAAATAAAAAAAAAATATATTAACAAAATTATTAAAATTATGTATAAAGATAACATAACTCTAATTAATATTATTATATTTGTCAGTAAAATAACATTCAATAAAACAAAATAAAAGTTGTAAATTTGTAATTTTTGTTAAAATTAATTGAAACATTATAAACTTGTAATTGAAAATGTATAATTATACAACAAATTTATAGAATTAAAATTGTTTGGTAAATTCATTGTATAATTAATTAATTTATATTAAATATCTTAAAACACGTATAGTATTATATTAATATAATATTTAAATTAATTATTTTTTTATAATTAATTAAAAATTATAAAAAATCATACATTTAAACGTAATATATTTTAAATAATACTTTTTAATATAAAATATATTTAAATAAAAAATGAATAACAAAAATGAAACTACATGTAAAAAAATAAAATTAATAAAATTAACGTATGTTCATAAAGTTTAAATTGTTTAATAGGTTAATTATTTTTTTACAGTAAAAATATAATAAAAATATTGATAAGTAACTTTTAAAACATAGATTATTTTAAATAATTTTTAAAAAATTAAAACTATAATCTATTTTTAAGTTTCTAACTGAAGTATATAATGTTTTAAATTTAATAAAGTATAACAACAAATAATAATTAAATTTTTTAAAATTGTAAATATATAATTAATTAAATTTATTTTTTCAAAGTGTGGGTTAGAAAAAGGTGTACTGCATTTTTAATAATCAAATTTTATAAAATTAAGAATTACGCATGTCATTATTTAGTATTGGGGAAAAGGGTTAATCCACCTGATCGCCGCCACCAATCTACTAAAATGGGTTGATCTATTCTTAAAATAGACTGGGTAGGTCTACACCAATGGGGACGAATGTCTCATGGGTCAACAGTCAGAAATTAAAAAAATATATAAAAAATAAGTTTATATTTTTTATATTTTATTTTTATACTTTAAAAATTTAACTTTTGGTTTTAATGGTTTTTAAATCTTTTATTTAATCTCTGTTACCTGTTAGGTAGTAATAAATAACAGATGTGCCTGGATAGATACAATTATTTAAATTAATATCCGGTATATCACAAGGACCTTATATCCAGTATATAAATTTTGAATTAAAATTTCAGCTAATGCGAGAAAGAAATTAAAATTTAATTTTTAACTTTGATTAAGATGAGAAAAATTATAATTTAAAATGTGTAAAGTAAAAAAAAAAAAATCGCATGATAATATAACATGAATCTTAAATGCGAATAATATACTAAAATGTATGTCCCGTTACAATACGACAGCCTTTTTTTTTTTCTCAGTACTATTATAGAACCATTAAATAAAACCACTTTAATAGCTATTTTAAATAATGATATTTTAACAGTAAATTTTTAAATTATAATATTAGAATAAAAAAGTCCTCAAATTTCAAATCAAACTAATATGGTCAAACGAAAAATGAGAAAGTCGATGAGATTACATTAAATACACTTTCTTCTCACATTAATCACTTCTTATCCATAATCACTTTTAATAAAATGGCTTAAAAGGAAGAATAATCCGAACTATTATATAATTAATTAAACTACACACTTTACCAACATAACAATTGCGAAATTCTATTTTAACACAAAATAATAATAATCGTTATACCATTTTAGTGGTTAAACACGAACTGTATTGTGTAAGTATAAATTAATTAAAAGAATGACTTGCACATTACTATTTTGTTTTAAGTAAATGTAAATTAATTTCTTAAAAATATTATTTAAAAATTAATATTATTAAACACATTTATTATAAATTTTTATACGTTTTAATTTTTTAATAACACCTTTAAATTATTAATTAATAATACTCTTTCTTTTAATTTTTATTATTTCATTTAAAAAGTAAGTTTAATTTTATTTTTTTACTTATAACAGTAAGTTTTATAATGTTTGTTATTATGTTCATAAACTTAAAATTGTATTTGATATTATTAAAAAATTAACAGTTATAATGATTTAAAATTTTTTAAAATATTTAATATAATATTAATAATTATAATTATTTTACATAAAAAACATTAAATGCCATTTTAATCTTATGAAAATGACTAAATTGTATTTACTTTTCGATTTTATCGATCTAACAGCTGCGGCTTAGTTGAGGTAAAAAGTATTACAATAAGATTTGTGGCGGAACAAAAGTGTCGTCATTGCATACGCCAGCAATGACGCGGTCATTTCACGCCCTCAATAATTAATCCCTTGCCACCCCTTCTCTTTTCCCTTTTTCTATAAAAGCTAACCTCATCCCCTTTTCTCACCTTCTTTCCCACAACCCTTTTCACACTCGCTTCAATTCTCTCCTCATTTCCTTCTCAACAATCCCCCCCTCTCTTTCTCCTCCAAAGTATTTCCCATTCTCTTCTTCAGTAGTTGCTTCCTTTATCTCTCGAAAAAACTTGGCCTCTCAGAATCAGATCTGCTTCAGATCTAGGGTTTTCCGGGCCCTTCTCTCTTTCCGATTGGGTTTGATTCTTTGCATGAGAACATAGGGTTTTTGAAAAATACAATGTTTTTCGAAATTATATGACACACGCTATCCCCATGCGTCGAATTCGCCTGCTGCACTCGTTCTCCGTCGTGTTTCTCTACTGGTTCTACGTTTTCTCATGAACTTCCTCTCAATTCCTTGACATCCTCGTAGTAGTTCATCGTTGTTTTTATTGTTCCAATAATTAGATCTGCAAGTGTTATCTCCGTTAGTTTTTATTTTCAATTTGCTCTGTTTTTAAATCAATTCACCAAGGGAAATCAATGTCTTCCGTTCAACGTTCGGCGAGTTCGGGATCCGAAGGCGGAGATCCGCAAATCGACGAGAGGAAGAGGAAGAGGATGCTGTCTAACCGTGAATCTGCGAGGCGATCGCGGATGAGGAAGCAGAAACAGCTGGAGGATCTGACCGATGAAGTCAGCAAATTGCAAGGTTCGAACAAGAAGCTTGTAGAGAGCATTAAGGCCAAGGAAGAAGCATGCGTTGAGACCGAAGCTGCTAACAGCATCCTTAGGGCTCAAACAATGGAACTAACCGATCGATTGCGGTTTCTGAACTCTATCCTTGAGATTGCTGAAGAGGTCAGCGGGTTCTCCGTTGAGATTCCAGAAATTCCAGATCCTCTTCTTAAACCGTGGCAGATTCCTCATCCAACTCAACCGATTGTGGCGTCGGCGAACATGTTTCTGCGTTGATCCTTTCTTTGTTTTAGTGTTGAGTCGCTCTTGCTCTTGGTGGATATTAGTAGTTTAATTAGGATTATTTATTTTAGTAATCTGTATTAGTGTTTGTAATAGTGATGTCATCTGTGTCTAAATAATGTGGCCTGCAATGGCCTCTCGACTTATTGGAGGGATATGAGATGAAGGCTGTGCATTACTGGCGTTGTCCCTTCTTGTGACTTGTAAGCATTGTTAATGTTGGATGTTGCTTTCTGTTTATAAAAGTATTTGTCATTATTCTAAGCATTGCAGGAAAGGAGTGCAATGTTGCAGGCTTATTTTCAGTAATTAGTTTTTAAGTTTATGTTTTTAATGGATGATTAAGAGCGTGTTTGGAACACATCAATTTTTAAAGTGATTTTTTTACCGTGGAAGTTCTGTAACTTCTAGTGAAGTTTGGACCAATGTATCTTAGTGTTTACGTGCAAGTTGACAATTTAGTTTTTTTGTGTCTAACTTTTTTCCGGTTAACTTGTAATTATTTTGCGTAATGAAGTTGAAGGGGAAATTACTGTGAAAAAAACTTATATAGCTCTTCAATAGTTTTTTTTTTTATTCATATACAAGAGATAATAATTATCACTATCCTAATCATTTGTGAAATGTAGTGCACTGTTGCATATATTGGAGAAATGATGACTTTTTAAAGTTGTTTAAGACTAATATTTTTTAAACTTTAATTAAAATAAGCAATAATCTTTTTATATAAAAATGCTATATTGGGTGAAAAATATATATTCTTTGTTACAAGAAGAAAAAATAGACCTAACAAAGAAAATAAAATTATATGTTAACAGAAAGTCAATTACTAATCATTAATGTTTTTATTGTATTAGGCATATTAAATTTGGCTAAAAATAAATAAATTTGGTTAAAAATAAATACAAAAGTTATCTTCGTTGGGAGTATAATCAATTCATTTTTATTAAAAAAATAAAGTTATCTACTAATAATAACGCAGTGTAGAATGAATACTTTTAATTTAAGTCAAAATCAAACCATACACACACATATTTTATATTATATTATTTTTTATGGTTATATAAGTACATTTTTTAGAATAATTTAAAATTATTATTGTATATAGTATTTTATTTGATTTTTGTATATAGAGTTTGTACAAAAACTAATTTTATTTAAAACTACAAAAAAATGATATAATAAATTATTTATTTTTAATTATATTGAAAATTGAACTATTCAATTTAAAAAATTATTTTTTATTGAATTAAATTAGATTTAATTGTTTTAAAATCAATTCAAATTAAAATATACTGTTATTTTATGATTAATTGAATAATTTTTTATTGAAAAATTAATTCAATTCAGTTCGTAAACATCCATGATTAAAGACACCACAAAATTTTGTTGAATTGATGTAGGAATGATAGCTATCGTTAATGAATTAGTTTTTTTTTTTTAAACCTACACATCAAATGAAACTAAACAGAGAAAGTATCCTGGTTAATAATTTTAAATTTCGGAGCTGACAGTAAAACTGTTTACATTTTTATATATTTGTCCTTCGTTCTAACGCTGTAGGCCAACTGAATAAACGTGGCCCACATTGTTATACATGACAGTGCAAGTTGTCACGGATTACTATAAAGTGGACAAGGAACTTGTTGGGACAATTACGGTAAATGCTTAATCTAACTGTTACTTAGTACTTACTATCCGTAAATTCTGGATTTGTTCAAACACGTTAATTCATGTGCAAAAGCTGGCAAAATCCACAAATACTTAAAATAGTAAAACTTATAACTGGTTAAGTAATTATTTTTTATTTAAATAAAAGTTAAACTATATATTTAATTTCTATAATTAATATTTATATACAAAATAATTCTTATATTTAATAAACATATTTTAAATTTTTTATAGATATTTAATTATAGAAATTAAATATATAATTTAACTATAATGACGTAAATTAAAACATAATAAAATATTTATATAAACTAGAATATAAATTTTTTTAAGTGTAAGATTAATTTGTAAATAAATATTAATAAAATGATTATTTATATCTTATAAAAATATTATGAATTTGTTTATGTAATGAAGTTGATTTTTTAAAATTTTAAATAATAGTGTAATTTTATATTAAATATAATAAATATTTTATTTGTGTTTTTTAAATATATTATAGAAATTAGTATATTATATAAAAATATAAATTTAATTAAATATTTGATCCTACCAAAATTGTATAAGACTTTAATTAAAATAGTTAAAACAAGATTGTGTAACTTATTTACATACTAGACACTTAATTAACACAAAACAAAATATTAATATAGTTACATGTTACAAAATTATAAAAAAATGCTAACACTGAAATTTTATTAATTATTATAAAAATATAATAAAAATTAAAATATACAATTAAGTAAGATTTTTCATTAGTCAATAATAAAGTATTATAAAAATAAAATAAAATACATGCATTATTGGAACATATCAGGAAGATTATTGGAACAATATGCACTACCCATAACCTGTTTAGCAAAAAAATTAACTTATAAAGGCCCACATAAATTGTTTCACAAAATCACATTAGTGATACTGTTTACTACCCAAAAAAACACAAAAAATGACAAGAATCGGCTGTTTAAAGGTTTTATCGGTTAATATTAAATAATTAAAATTTACAAACAATCTTGTTTGATAAAAACCACAAGATCTGGTTAAAAACAGTTTTTATAACTTTTGTACTATTAAGCATTATTCATAACTGGATTAGGAAGAGAAGAAGCACAATTAATCAGTCAAGAAAACACAAATACAATTGTTTTATTTTAGCATCGGTGAATTGTTTTGTAGCACATCGTGAACGAGATTTGACTATTTCTTCAATAAAATATGGATTAATTAAATTTTCGGATTAAATATTAAAATTCCAATTAATGGTAAGACACATGCAATGACGTACACCTAGCATTAACCTTGTTTACGTATTTGATATAGATAGAAATTATAATTTCAATCTCAAACTCATTTCATTCAGAATGGGTAAGACAATTTCTTGAAGTGCGACAAAGCGACATGATTTAATCGTGTGTTCTTTTGGTAAATCCTTCGAATTAGTTTTCAGCATAATTATTAAGCGACTAATCCATAGATGTCGTAGAGGGAATTGTTCACACCTTGAACTTGATGATGGCATAGTGCAGAGTTTGTTCCCACAATATTTTGTGTCAATAGCAATGATATGTTAAATAATTTCCAAATTGGTTGGCGGATTTAGATAAGCATCGGCGGCAATGCATATCACAAACTAATTATTGATTATTTCAGACGTGAATTGTGAGGATATAGATTCTACTTTTGCTTTTTTAATGCATTTTTATTTTATTGTCGTTTTTTCCTTCTCTTATGTGATTTAAATTTTAAGTTATTTTTCCTGAAAAATATTGCGTAATTTTTAAAATAACAATTTAATAAATAATAACTGGAATAGAATAATAACAAATAGGATAAAATCAGAAATTCAAGTATTATATAAGAAAAGATGTAAAAACAATAAAGGAGAATCTGAGGTATATAATAAGAATTGAATATAAATAGAATTTAATTTTGGTGTGCCTGTAGACCACTAATTAAAATATAAAATAAAAATGAATTTTATATTAATTATTATGACAGGTAACAAAATCTTCAATATAATGATTTATGATCGAATGATAGTATAAAATAAAATATTTTATACTGTTAATATATTTAAATTAAATTTATATAAATATAAATTATATACAAATAAATTTTTTTTTCCAATAACAATAAATGTGACAACAGTAATAATAATTATTAAAAATAAATAAATAAATATGAATTATAAAATATCATAAATAAAAATATTTGTATCTTATTTTCTTTTTATATGTTTTTAATTAATGAATAAACATAAAAGAATGAGTTAATAAGATGAAATTATCTTATTTTTTAGTTCACTAAAAATGAATATATATATATATATATATATATATATATATTAAATTTAACCATTCATCTCTATAGTTTGACCATTTATAGACCTATAGATGATAAAAATAAAATTAAATATATGTTTGAATTGATTTATTTTATATTTAAAATAACTTATAAAAACGTGCCACAATCTAGTCACTTAAAAAAAATATTAATATTTATTTATAACAATAATGTCACCATAATAATAAGAGGTGATACAATTTTTTAATAAATTGAATTTTTTTTATCACAATTAAGACTTTAAATTTCAGGAGACAAAAGAAGAATTAAAGTGAGAAAAAAAAGTATGACATATCACACATGCATATATAAAATATATTAAAATGTAATGAGAATAATACAAAAAAATTATATTTACATATGTTAAGATTTAATAAATTTATATATAATATTCTTTGGCATTGTTTATTTAATTATATAAATAATTTAAAAATTATTAATAAAAAATATTTAACATTTATATATTTATTTATCTACTGTATTTTAAATAATATTAATGGCACGCATCTTTGACGACGTTGAAAGCAAAACAATTTCGAGAGGATAAATACAAAAAATAAAATAAAAATGCACACAAAAACATCAGCCAAATAGTGTCAATGGCAGAATGATTTGTAGTGTTGGCTGGCGGATTAGATAGGCATCAGCTCCAAGACTCCAATATATATAAAATTATCAATTATTTTGGTGAATATTAAGAGGTCATAAACCAAATATTCTAAGTTTATGACAAATATTTTGGTCCGGTTGTTTGCATTTATAAACTAGTTTAATTAAAATATACCATTTCTATTTTTTTAATCTGTCAAATCGTTTAATTTTTTCTTATTTATTTATTATTTTTAAAAACTGAAGAAAACATTAATTACATTATTGTTGTAAAATCAATATAATCAATCAACAACAGAAATAAAAGGATATAACAAAAAATTATACAATGTTTTCTAATAAAAGCGAGAACATTAAATTTAGTTTTTAAGTATGGTCTCAATTCCTAAAATGATAGATATTTAGAAACAGAAAGAATAGATTTTAAAAGTAATTATAAGTATATAACTTACCAAAAAATAATAAAACTTAACAAACATTTATTTATTTTTATTATAAATGAAAATAATTTTATAAATTCAAATAAACAAGTACTTGGTATTTTTATTATAAATGACTGCTAAATAATTTAGATAAAATGACATGGAAGTGTTCAAGTAATGGTCCAAAGTTTTTTGTTTCAAAATGAATGCATGCTAAAAGTCTAATATGACTCACAATAATTGCAATAAAAAGAAGAAAGACAATGACTTACAGTAATATTCATAAATGACCATAAAGATAAAATTTTAAAACACTTAATAAACCTTAAAATTGAACAGCTGCATTGATATAACCGCTGCAATGGTGAGAACAATTGGATTAACTTAATAAAACGGTTGAGATTAGGATCAAATTAAGTGTCGGTTCTTTGTGCTGATCGAATGTCATTCTCTTTGGGCGTCAAATTAAGTGGAGATGGCAAGTTAAAGAAACAAAGGTACTAAACAAATAGATAAATTATCTTGTCTTGCCCTCAATTTTGAATCAGATAAATTATCGACAACAATTTTCTTCCCGTAAGTAGAATGTATCCAAACAAGTTATATGATCAATATAGGAACGCTGTTGGATCTGGGTTGAATATACTAACAACTCCACATATTAGATTTAATATAAAATCAAATCATTTACACAATAAAGTAATAATTAAAAAAAAACAAATTAGATTAAATAATGTTCATGTTCTCAATCAAAATTCATTAATTCCATTAACGAAGTTCAAATTCCATAATTTATAATTTACAAAGCGAAACGAAGTTATTTCTTGCAAGTTACAGCTGTGATGTTTATGCAACAAGAAGACCAACATGTTAGCACATAGCAGTCTTAGTTTTTCATTACCAAATAATGGAATAATAATAAAGAGATTAAGCAAAGGTGTGTAGCAATCACGGTGCTGTTACATAGATCTTCGATCACTTCGCATAATCTTTATCCGTTTCATCAATTTGATCTAACCTCATGTGGCACGTTCTTTGGCGTCTCAATTCACAACGCAAAATAACAAGTAGTTAATAATTTGGCTTTCATTAAACAGAAGTTACCATGAGACTACGAGCGTTGATGATTTTCAACAAGCTATGGATTATGCTTTAAAAACATTATTACACAGCTGTTAACAACGATAATATCATGTAATAATGCAACGATTTTACTTGACAATTTGATGTCAACCTCAGTCGTCGAAAGTTTTGCACTCAATAGTTTCGGGGTTATCCTTGCAGTAATTCTCAAGCGGGTCGGAATCCTTTTCCTTTTGCTTGTCCCTAGCATGGCTGGCCGCTGCGCTCAGCTCCTCGACCTCGTCCCACGCCGCCACGCACTCGCCGCTAGTAGGGTCTCCAGCGCAAGCTTCTTGCGCGTTCTTTATGCTCTCTTCAACCTTCTCCGATATACTCTCCGGCACAGCCCGAACGGGTCGGATCGTTACCATCCGACCCGATCTAATAATAATTGCGGGCCCGCCTGGGCTTGGTGGAAGTGAAAACTTGATGGGCTGGGCATTCTGCAGTGAGCCCGATGCCTTGAAGAAGACCTTGGGGCTTGAAACGCTCACACCAGCCATCGTTGCCATTTTTTTCTTCTGTTTCCTCTTTTTTGCCTTCTTCTGTGTTGGGGTTTTGTAATGGTGTCTAAGCAAGAAACAGAATCAGAATGGGAACATTATAATTGAGGTTGGCGAGGATTGTGTTCACATATTTCTTATCTTGTTCCAACCAATTATTATTTTCCACGTAGAATTTACTAAGATTTTTCGGACAGCCGCATTCGTATCTTATATTTTATCTCTATATATATACTGCTGCTTTTTGTCTTGTTATTCAAAGTTTGCAATCTAGATAAGCCTATATTTGTTTCCTTTATTCACATTCATCTTTTTATTTTTTCTAATAGGAACTGATGTTTAGTGCGAGATGTTAGACGTGCATTAGCTGTGATTACATTTGATTAATTTTAATTATGGAGAGATGGTTAAGTGTTTATTGGTAAATTTGGTAGAGAAATCGCCTGTTCGAACTGCGAAGCAAGATATATCATATATCATAGACCATTTCATATTTCCGTCTTTCTATTGTTCCCCCGTACCCATTTTGATCTTCAATTATTTATTTTCCTATATATTTTTCTAATACAATTGTGCTGAAATTTCATCAGCTTAATAATAATAATAATAATATTTTTTAAAATAAAAGTATCTAGGATTAGATATCCTTTAAAGAAATTTAAAAATGTAAAAAACAATTAAAAGCTATGTTAACAAATAATTATGTAACCAAACATTAAAAACTTATTTTAGAACAAGGATATCTCGCGAAGTGAGAATTAACCATTGCCCAACGTCTTACGCACTTTTTTTCTAAGCCCAACATGAAGAGCAAATATCTGGCTTAGAAAAAACGCTTCGTCGTAAAAAAAGAACACCCTATTATTATTAACTATAAATGTGAAAATCTAGCCCATCAAGACATCTTAGCGACAAGGAAGGACTGATTTCATTTGGATGAAACGAGAAGTCAAGTTTTAATATCTACGATGTAAATAAAAAGTTGCACACTTTTTTTTAATATAATTTTTTATATGTATTTGAACAGTATTCTATGAGATTCAGTGTGGATAAGCATTTTCATAGTATCGTTTTCCATCACTATTTATCAAGAAACCAAATATGGGTGTATATATATAAGAACGGAAAAACATGTGAGGGAGGAATTGACAATTGAATAAATCTTATCGTGTATCAGCATATATTTCGCAACAGTATAATGTATTTTTAATTTTAGATATCATTAAAATTATAAATAATAGTAAAAAAACATGACAACATTGTTAATATCAAATTAGTAAAAAAGTAAAGCAAAATAAGAAGCGTTCTTATTGTCAAAAGTGAATACTTCATTTTATTTGATAAAAGTTTTTTATGTAGAAAAAGTTAAAAGTAAGAAAATAAAAAAAGAAATGAATCAAATAAATATTTGTGAGTGACACCATTCAACGGGGGTCTATTTGACACTATTGGCGACTTACTTAGCAACAGTGGCATTGGATATACCGAAAGGAAGGGAGAAAATATCGAGAAGGAATAGAATTTTAATATTATCAATGATGCGACTTCACAAACTGTACCATCGCCTCACTCTTCTTCCCTTTTCTCCGTTATCGCTCCCATCGACTCCTTCTCTTCTCCCTCTTGCTCCTCCCCTGCGCCTCACGCTCCGTCACGGAACCGCCGCAAACTTCACTTTCATGGCTACGTCGCGGTTGCGCAATTTAGCACCTATCGCTGCTGCGTCGTCTGAAGACGGCGCTGGCAGTGCTTCCAATGGCTCTGTCTCTTCCTCTGCTACCGCCGCTACTTCCTTTGATTACGAAGGTTAGCTCACGATGCATTTTTTTTACTTCTGTTTCCACGGTTATCCAGCAAAATTATCACTAAGCATTTAGATTTTGGAAGCTTCAAGTATTGATGATTTTGTTGATCGTTTAGCGCATATTCTCACGGTTGATCGATCAGAGAGTAAAGTTTCGACTTTATTAATTTTGCGCTTCTTCACTCGATTATCTTTCCGATTCTTTGAAAATTCGATTCTAGTATTCGTTGTCTACGTAATTGAGTAACCGGTGGCTACTACACCAAACTCTTTTTAAAATAGTTAAAATCTCAGACATCAGTTTTATACTTCAAATTTACAATTTTGGAGAGGGATGGGAAGAGAAGAGAAGAGAGAGAAGTATTGGATATGACCGGTGGGCATGTGATGGAAAGAGATAAAGAGAAAAATGAATTATAAAAGGTGTTGTAAAAATTTGTTTTAAGTGTATCCTTACTCTAAAGTTGAAGTTCCTGAAAAGTTTGGCTCATGAATCGCAGAGATTCCCTTCATTTTCTGTCATATTCTCCTTAGTTCATCATGTATTTTGAGCCTTAGACTTTCTGCATATAGTATTTTGTGGATCTGGTTAGATTACATTACTGGTTCTAGTTTTTGACATTTATTTTGATTGATCAATGTTAGATGAGTCAACTTCAGGAGTAAGTTATCGTGTTCCGCCACCTGAGATCAAGGATATTGTTGATGCTCCACCTGTTCCTGCATTATCATTTTCACCACTTAGGGACAAAATTATTTTTCTCAAGCGAAGAGCTTTACCTCCACTAGCAGAATTAGCAAGGCCAGAGGAAAAGTTGGCTGGTATACGTATTGATGGAAAGTGCAATACTAGGAGTCGTATGTCATTCTACACTGGTATAGGGATCCATCAAATTCTTCCTGATGGTAAATTAGGGCCAGAGATTGAGGTGCATGGTTTCCCTGGTGGTGCCAAGATAAATTTTGTTACTTGGTCTCCTGATGGTTGCCATTTATCCTTCAGCATTCGTGTGAATGACGAGGACAATGATAGTGGTAAACTCACAATATGGATTGCAGATGTGGAAACAGGGCAAGCTAGACCTTTGTTTCAGTCACCTAATGTACATTTGAACACAGTTTTTGACAACTATGTTTGGGTAAATAACATCTCACTATTAGTTTGCACCATTCCATTATCTCGTGGAGCTCCACCAAAGAAACCTTTTGTTCCTGGTGGCCCAAAGATTCAATCTAATGAGGAAAAAAACATTATTCAAGTTAGAACATTCCAGGATTTGCTGAAGGATGAATATGATGAAGATTTGTTTGACTACTATGCCACCTCACAGCTTGTTTTAGCTTCTTTGGATGGTACTGCAAAGGAAATTGGCCCACCAGCTGTTTATACATCTATGGACCCTTCCCCAGATCGGAAGTACGTTTTGATTAGTTCAATTCACAGGCCATATTCTTTCATTGTACCTTGCGGAAGATTTCCAAAGAAGGTAGAGTTATGGAGTGCTGATGGAAAATTCATCAGGGAGCTCTGTGACTTACCCCTCGCGGAGGACATTCCAATTACATTCAACAGTGTGCGAAAAGGGATGCGCTCCATTAATTGGAGAGCTGATAAGCCATCAACACTTTACTGGTACAGATCAGAATTTTAATTTATATTTTCTGCTGGGGCATGTGCATTGTGAACTTTACAATTTACAATAATTTAATTTAACAAGCATTCATTTTTCTTTTTAATTTAGGCATTATAAATATGCAATTGTGATTCTTTTTAAAAACTGAAACTTCCAAAGGATATCTCTAGTAATGACTAAGCTTGCACTTAATAATAGCAATCATTTACGTCTATAGCTGAGTGTGCCTGTATTTATATGCACACATATTATCCACTTGAAGGGCATAACAAACAGGATGCATGAATTATATTAGTATGTAACTTTTTATTGTTATTTGAAAGTTTAATTATGACATATCCTGGATATTTTATACACACTCAGTGAGAGCGTACATTACATTCATAGCCTCCTCTCCAAATAAGATTCGCTGTTGGTTCTGCACGGTATATATTTGTGGTTGTGTGCTGATGGAATATCACGTTCATGCATTTAAAATATAGGTTTATGTTCATTTCTTTTACTAAAGAACACATATTGTAGGTCAATGTTGGATTACGTATGGTTGTTTTCTTCAACTAACTTCTTGCATTTTCTTTTCTATTTTATGAATAGTTTTTGAGTTTCTGATTTTCTCATCATATGCACTTCTATTAATTAGATGGTTCATCCTTTAATCAATTGATAAAATGCTGAAATTTCCCCCTTTATTTATATTGTTGGTTTTCTAGTCCCATTTGTATGTGGATTTGTTTAAATTGCTTCATTTGAGGTTTCTAGGGTAGAAACTCAAGATGGAGGTGATGCAAAGGTGGAAAATTCTCCTCGTGATATAATTTATACACAGCCTGCTGAACCACTGGAAGGTGAACAGCCAACAATATTTCACAAGCTTGATCTCCGCTATGGGTATGGATACAGTTTATTTTACATTGGTTTCTTCTCTTTATATTTATCTTATATCTACATGTCAGTGCATTGGCAATTACATATATGGACATTATTGGATATGTTTTCAATATCAGACATTGCTTCTTAGTATTTCAAATGTGCTTTTGACTGCCTAGATTTATAGCTGATACTGGTTCAATGCCAAGTCTTGACGTTCCATTTGTGCATCTGATGTTGTACTGGTATTAATACCTATTTATAGCCTCGATCGGAATGACCAAAATTTGGTTTGGTTTGCATACCACTTTCAGTCCAGACTCATAATCATTCTTGCAAAGAAGAGTTTGAGTTATTATTTGCTTTTAAGTCTATCCTAATGGCTTTAGCACCTAAGTAGCTGTTTTTTAATAAAATTCCTTACCATGTTACTATTAACCTTCTTTCTGTATGTCCCCTTTATTTTTGGTTGGGGGGGGGGGTGTTGAGAGATAAGGTGGAGTTGGTTGGACACAATCGTGTTGTCTTCTAAAATCTTGGTAGATGTTTTCCATATCTACAGAGGGATTTCTTGGTGTGATGATTCTCTAGCATTGGTATATGAATCTTGGTACAAAACACGGAAAATAAGAACATGGGTAGTCTCTCCTGGACTTGAAGATGTGACTCCACGCATCCTATTTGATCGATCTTCAGAAGATGTGTACTCTGATCCTGGCTCTCCTATGATGCGGAGAACTCAAGATGGGACATATATTATTGCCAGGATAAAGAAGGAAAGTGATGAAGAAAGATATATCATACTGAATGGAATTGGTGCTACTCCAGAAGGGAACATCCCATTCCTTGATCTGTTTGACATGTACGTGTTTTAAATTGCTTGTTTTCTGTTTTTTCTCACAGATTCTCTTCATGATATGATGGTTTGAATCAAATTGTTACAGAAATACAGGTAATAAGGAGCGAATATGGGAGAGCAATAAGGAAAAGTATTATGAGACTGTTGTTGCTCTAATGTCTGATAAAGAAGAAGGGGATTTGCATTTAGATAAGCTGAAATTACTGAATTCAAAGGAATCAAAAACTGAAAACACCCAATATTACTTTGTTAGCTGGCCAGATAAAAAAATAGTTCAGATTACAGATTTCCCTCATCCATATCCTCAGCTTGCATCATTGCAGAAAGAGATGATAAGGTATCAAAGAAAAGATGGGGTTCAACTTACTGCTACATTATACCTGCCACCGGGTTACAATCCATCAATAGATGGTCCTTTGCCATGTCTGGTTTGGTCTTACCCAGGAGAATTTAAGAGCAAAGATGCTGCTGGACAAGTTCGTGGTTCTCCAAATGAATTTGCTGGGATAGGACCCACATCAGCCCTTCTTTGGTTGGCTAGGAGGTATCAAATATAGGAGTTGTTTGGCAATTTCTGATTTGGTGTTATTTTACTCGGTTCTCTGTTCCTCATTCAATATATTTTGTGACAAATAAGCTGAACTATTCAACTATGTAGGTTTGCAATTCTATCTGGGCCTACCATTCCTATTATTGGTGAGGGTGATGAAGAGGCAAATGATAGGTAAATTAATAATGATATTGTATAGCTGTGGGGTCTTTACCATTTACTTATCATTAAATAATTGTTCTTGAGCACCATGAGTAGTCTCACCATCTCCATTCTCATTTCCCTTCAAATTGGAGTTTCAAATATTTGGACTTGTGAGGCTTCGGTTTCTTTTGTTCTATTCTCTTCAGCATGTTCAAATTTTGTTGTGAAGTAATCATGCCAGATAACTAATAATGATTTGTGTTAATCTGATATAAACCAAATATCTACAATCCATGCAGGTATGTAGAGCAATTAGTTGCAAGTGCAGAGGCTGCTGTGGATGAAGTTATCCGGCGTGGGGTAAGCTTTACTTTTACTGTATGGAATATATAAAGTTGCCAATCCAATTGAAATATGAAAGACACAAGCGTTTCTGAGTTGTCGCTAATCACATCTAGGTAGCCCATCCAAAGAAAATAGCTGTTGGTGGGCATTCCTATGGTGCATTCATGACTGCCAACCTCCTGGCACATGCACCTCATCTTTTCTGCTGTGGAATTGCCCGGTCTGGTGCTTACAACAGAACGCTTACACCTTTTGGTTTCCAGGTACTTCCCATAACGGCTTGGATTTTTTAGCTTCCATTGGCTAAGTAATTCCCATAAATTGTCTTTCTTTTATCCTACAGTTCCTTTTAATCTGCTTTCACAACTTTTTATTTGAACTGTATGTTACCTTATGAGTGTATATTAGAAACAAAGGTCTTACATCTTTCTCCACTTCCTTCTCTAGAATGAAGACAGAACTCTTTGGGAGGCGACTAATACTTATGTAGAGATGAGTCCTTTTATTTCAGCTAATAAAATTAAGAAGCCCATCTTGCTTATCCATGGGGAAGAGGATAATAATCCAGGAACATTAACTATGCAGGTAAGAGAGGAATTCCCACCTGTGCTATTCTCATAAGCTCTTATTAATTAATTGACTATTGCAGTATTTTGGGAAACACGAATAAATACTCCTGGAGTCTTACTTTAGCCAATTGGTTGCTGCTTCTACCTTTTGCCTTGCTGTGCAGTCAGACAGGTTTTTCAATGCTCTGAAAGGTCATGGTGCTCTTTGTCGGCTAGTGATTTTGCCTCATGAGAGTCACGGTTATAGTGCCAGAGAAAGCATCATGCATGTCCTTTGGGAAACAGATAGATGGCTGCATAAATACTGTGTGTCAAACGGTTCTGATGCTGGAGAAGATCATGCTTCTGGCACAGTCAAAGAATATGCTGGCCAAGGAACTACAGATGCTGAAAGCAAAGTGGTTGCAACTAGTGGAGGTGGCAGCGGAGAGGTGTCTGAATTTGAGTTTGAAGAATTTCATTCTCTGCCAAGGTCATCCTTGTGGTAAACTCTTCATCCTTTAAATTTTAACACCATATAAAGCACCTTCGACTGAAAGTTAACTATTTCTTGATAATGGTAAGTTTGCTAACAGTAAATCCCTGTATAGCATGGACATATTCTTGTTAGCTTGTGAAGAATAGTAGGTAAGCATGCCTACCTGCTGCTATTTTATTTTTTAAATGTAATTCTGGCATTTCACGGTGGACCTTTAGCAACCATTATAGTAAGAAATGAATGATTCTTACTGGGCATTTTCTCCATGACATTATTTTTTACCTTGAACTTTTAATGATGTAGAAGAATTATCTGATCTTTGACTGCCAAGAGCTAGAATAAAAGCATTCAAATGATGCATGTGGAAGACAGCAGCAATATGCCCTTCACTGTGAGAATAGAACACGTTCAAGTTGACGAGGATTACTTATACCGCAAGTGTTGGATATCAAATGCACTCCATGATGTCAAAGAGACCTTTAAAAACTATTATAGCAATAATTGCATTCCTGGGTGCGGTGGCAAGTTGCCAAAATATGGTCATGAACCAGGACGATTCATCTATTGCACGTGCTTTCAGAAGGGTCCTCAGCGGCTAAGCTGAGTTATTTGGCAAAGCAATTTAATTATTTGAGGAATAACCAAACTACTACTTATTCTACCTATGCAGTTTGGGCTTGCTTCTGATCTTGCCTTCCTAATTGTGGAGTTGTGATTCTTTTAACTGCATCTGCAATTGTATTCTGACGGCGGATCTAGAAGCTTGGCATGATATTTGACTACAATAAACGCTGCATATTTTTGCGGGGCAAGTCTGACAAATTCAACATTTTCCCATAAAACTTGAGAAATTAGGCTTGATAAATATAACTTTATGACGCGCCTACAGAAATCTCTTATAAAAGTGCTGATTTGAATTTTCTTGATCGTGGAATATTTGGTTTAAAATATTTAAGGTCATTTTTGTTTCAGAAAACTGTTTATTTTATTTGTCTTCTGTCTATAAAATAAAACTTTTATTAAAAAAATTACGAAATTGAGAAATATTATTTTCATTTTTTATTCAAATATTTAAAAGAACAAAATTTAGATGTAGTATTTTAAGTATTCATAATTATTTTAATCAAAATTTAACATCTACCTAGATAAAAAGGAAGTTAATGACACATTTTTACAATCATTTGTGAAAACAGAAAAGCAAAAAGAATACTTCTCTCAAGTCAAACAAATTCTTAAACTTTTGTAAGGTATTGAAAAATAATTTATTTTACGCGAAGTAACAATATTCATGAACAGGATACGATTTGGTAGGAAATGCTAGTTCAACAATCCAACGTGATTTCGCCGCTGAAATTTCAATTTACGTACAACGTACGTGCGAATTTCTACTAGGACATAATTCGTCAGTGCTTCACATATATTTTCTCTTTTGTACGGAAATTTGCATTTGTAATTTCAACAGAAACACCTGACTTAATATTTCTCTCATTGAATCCTTCAGAAGCACTTTATTTAGTTGTAAAAAAAAGTTTAAATCAGCAGAGAAAAGAATACTGAAAACATCAGTTGTGCAGCTAGAAGAAAATAACTTCGCAGTTAAAAACAATAAAATACAGCTTTATGAACTTTCTTTCGGTCAACAATAATATAGACCGCAATTTAGTGCAAGAAACTTATTCCTCAAGAGCCATTTGAACAAAGAAAAAATGTATAAAAATGGAGAGCCTAGCCTCAAAACATGACCATTTTTATTTTTCCTCCGCAATAACACTAATCTCACCTTTTTCCAGCAAATCATAAAATGTCCTGACCTTTTTCTGTTCATTCCAGTGATGCATCTTCCAGACACTGCCAGCAGCTATGCCAAGTACTATTCCAATACATATCTCCTTCACAACACTTGGTCCTTTCAAAGTAGCATGAGCAATCCTAGGACCAGCCATTTGCTTCACTGTCTATAAGCTTGTCAAGTCTACAAGTTACAAAACACTGGCCGATTAAATATAAAGCTGAGATGCAGTTCAAACTTTCCCAACAATCAAACTGATGGTAAAGGAACGCATGGAGAGCAAAGGGAAGGGCAAGGGGGAGGAAAGATACTTAAATTATTGTTAGGCAGTTTTTCTCTGATCATTAACGAAGATTGCCATTCCCCCACGTTCACCCCCAAGACAAAGAAGGAAGAAAATAAATATAAGAGTAGTTGCATGATTAGAATAGCTTATTTTTTAAAAATTATTTCTAAATTTTTAGATTTTGTTCAAGAAACTGACAAAAAAAATTAAAAATAAATTGAACCAAGCACGTGTTAGGCCATGAGGGTACTGCGGTGGGAGTGAATAATGTAAAAATAGAATTGCTCAGTAAAAATAACAATTAGATTTCACTTACCTATTTAGTTTGAGAAAATATATTTTTTCGCCAATAATTACAAAAGAGTTACAGCTTTATGGTTTTTAACACAAATCCTTAAATATGAAAAAACAAAATAACATAAATTGCAATTTTTATAATTATTGCAATATGAATGAATGAATCTAATCATAGGAATTGACGTCAGATTGAGGCCACTAATCAATAACAAGCTGAGAGAGGAAATAAATACATAAATCCTTTTTCTATATCATTCATACTGACAGCCGTATTAAAACAAACACTTCCTCCGCAATCAAAACCAGCTGCGCGTCCAAGAAATTGTCATTAAAACTAGGCAATGAAATGGAAGTTATGGCAATGCATCCTCTAAGGCAAGCTTTATCCTTGGTCCACTCGTTCATACGGACCAAAGTACCAGTTCGATAAAGCCCATTTTGGTTGCAAAATTTTCTTAAATCATTAGATAAAAGGAACCTAAAATTCTAACGTGGCCGCAAATTAACCATTAGTTTTCCAAAAAAATGTCGTAAATCAAAGAAATCAACTGCAGAAACAATCCAAACAGTGAGCGAGGAAATTAATCCCAGTTGATAAATCGATCGATAACCTACCATTACAACTAGGAATTGAAGATCCAATATTAATCTTGTAGCGAAATTAGAGGACTCACCAGAGGTTGTGACTCGGGATCCGTTCCTCACTACGTTTCTCGTTGGTGCTTGGGAAGGACGGTATATACACTTTGGAAGGAGGCCCATCAGCCCAACCCAAATCCATTTGGGCCCAAATATGCAAGCGTTAATAAAGGAAAAATGTGAGAAAGGTTGATCTACGCGGACAAACTGGTTTGAAGGTGTAAATAAGGCTTTAAATCATGGTATAGACTTGTACTAAGTACGATTAAAGACTAATTTAAGGTATCTTAAGCAATAATAATAATAATAATAATAATAACTTAAGTGGGACACGAGGGAGAGAGAGGAGATACCGTTTCAGTCAAGATGGAAGCAGGTAAATTTGGACTGTATAGTTCTAATTGATAAATTGATCGTTTAGCTTAATTTTATTTTATAAACAAAACATAATTTATGAGTTAGTATATTGGTTCATGTTTTATTTACTTATTTATATACTCATGGTTAAGTATATTAATTTAAATAGTTTATTTAATGAAATTACATTGGGAGTTTTAAAGATATTTTAAATCTTGAAAATACTTTTATTATTTTAAAATATTGTTTTGAAAATATAATTAGGTCGAAACTCAATTCATTAATTAGTTTGTCAGCTTAATTCATCAATCATATGAGCTACTTAAATTGAAAATTTAACACATTCGATAAATAAATAGAACTTGAGTCAAGTATAATTAAATTCATTTAATTTGTGTATGAAAGTTAGGAGTGTATCACCCTTCACGTACCGGTGTATAGACTAGCATCCTTTGTATTTTTATTAAAAATATTTTATAAAAAAATATATAATTATTAGATTGAAATTATAAAAATACAATAATTTTTTAAAATAAAATTTTAATATTATTAATTAATTATCCTCGAATTGAAGTTATTAAAAATCTTTTATTTAAACTAAAAAACTGACTTTTTTATTGTTAATAATAGTATTTTTTATTTTTTTAAATATAATTAATAAATTATTCAAAAAAATATTTCACCTATTTTCTCTCTCATTATATTTTTATAATTTTTTATTATTAATATATATGCAAGAGTGTAAATTTTTGTTATAGATAAAATATATATTATTAAAAAGAATTTTTAAAAAAATCAAAATTTATATACACATAGCAAAAAAAAAGTAACACAGAAAAATAATGCAAGAGTGCAAGTTACCATCTTTAAGCATAATCACGTAATTTTTGTAATATTCTTTTTCCTTCTACGTATGAATAATGTAACGATGACATGCCATTGTCACGATCTATATTCTTCAGGCAAATTTGAGCAGCAGGTGTTTGTATCATTTGAGATGATAATTAAATACTCTTAAACTGTGTAAGGGAGAAATTAAACCATTGAAAATTATGAATTTATAGTTATATAATTAACTAAAAATATATTAAAAGATTAAAAAATATTTAACATTCTATTAATATAATATTACAGTTAAATACGTTATAAGTTCATAATACCCAACAGACTAAGTGAAAAAATATTGTTGAAAATTTTAGAAAACAAAAAAACTTTACTATTCAGTATTTACAATTTGCTTGACAACAAAGAAAAGGAAAGGTGTACTTTTAATCCAAATAAAAATATTGTTAGTCAAAATTAATTATTAGTCAACATTGATGGCTCAATTTTTCCGCTTGATAGGCACCTTCCAATGATTTGTCAAATTGCTACAGTCGCTTGGTAGGCACCGTCCATGATTTGTCAAATTGCTACAGTCAACATTGAAAAAATAACGAGTTACTGTAGCAATTTTTTGCCTATAAAAGGCAATGAATTACGAAAGGTCGAGATACGGAAATCGATCATTCACTGATCAGAAGAAGAAATTTGAGAGTGTTATTTTGTAGCTCTTATTCCATTCTGAGAGAGTATTTATTGAGAGAAAAAATAGAGTGATTTATTACTCTTTGTCCTCATAATTTTAGAGGACTTTTTGTACTCTCTCTTTTACATAGTAGAATCATTTTGCTCGTCGTTGTCCGTGGGTTTTTTCTCCGATTTGGAGTTTTTCCCACGTTAAAATTTTGTCTCCATTATTCTCTTACTTCTCTTTATTTCCAATTAAATTCGATCCAGTCTTCCGCATTGAGTTGATACCCCTAACAAGTGGTATCAGAGCAATTATTTAATTGGAAATGTCTACTGTTACAAAATTTGACATTGAGAAGTTTGATGGCAAGATTAGCTTTTCTATTTGGAAAGTCCAAATGAGAGCCGTTCTCACTCAGAACGGATTAAAGAAAGTTTTAGATGGAAAGTTAAAAAAATCGGCTTCCATGACCGATGAGCAATGGGATGAGTTGGATGAAAAGGCGCTTTCAGCAATCCAACTTTGCTTGTCCAAGGAGGTTCTACGTGAAGTGGCCGATGTAACCACCGCTGCGGAATTGTGGTTAAGGTTGGAAACTTTGTATATGACTAAAAGCCTCGCCAACAAGCTTCGTCTCAAGGAGCGATTATATACGTTCTGTATGATAGAAGGTACTCCCATTCAATCTCATCTTGACGAGTTTAATTCTATTATTATGGATCTACAAAATATCGATATTAAAATTGATGATGAAGATAAAGCTGTTTTGTTGGTTGTCACTTTACCTTCTACCTACAAACACTTCAAGGAAATTATGTTGTATGGTAATAATGACACCTTATCCTTTGAAGATGTTAAATCTAATTTATTATCCAAAGAAAAATTTGATCTTGAAATTCATTCTGAGGACAAGGGTGAGGGTCTAAGTGTTAGAGGTAGAACTTAAGTCAAAGGGAGTACTAGTCACAAAAAGAGTAGATCCAAATCTAGGGGACGAAAATCCAACACTACCTGTCGTTATTGCAAAAAATATGGGCATGCTATTTCTGATTGTTTTATCTTAAAGAAAAAAGAAGAAAATAAACAAAAGAAAGAAAAAGGTAAACAACCTGTTGAAGCTGCTAATATTGAGACTGATTCTGATGGAGATGTTATGGCATCTGTTGTCTCTTCTGACAAGAGAAGTAAAAATAAGTGGCTTCTTGACTCTGCATGCACATACCACACGTGTGCTTATAGGGATCTATTTACCACTTTTGAACCAATTAATGATGGTATTGTCTTAATGGCTAATGATACCCAATGCAAAGTTGAAGGAATAGGTACTATTCAGATCAAGGCTCATGATGGTGTTGTCAGGACTCTGACTAATGTTTGCTTTATTCCTGAATTAAAGCGGAATCTTATCTCTCTTGGCACCCTTGAATCTCTTGGGTGCAAGTTTTCATCTGAAAGTGGAGTCCTAAAGGTATCAAAAGGTGTCCTTATTTTGTTGAAAGGTAACCGAGTTGGTACTTTATATTTCTTGCAAGGTTCTGTTGTGACAGGTTCAGCAGCTGTATCTTCTTCTATGCTTGATAATGATGTCACCAAATTATGGCACATGCGCCTGGGCCATATGAGTGAAAAAGGCATGCATCTTTTGAGCAAGCAAGGTCTCCTTGGTAATCAAGGTATCAGTAAGTTGGAGTTTTGTGAACATTGTGTCTTTGGGAAACAGAAAAAAGTAAGCTTCTCTACTGCAACTCACCGTACAAAGGGTATTCTTGATTACATTCATTCTGATCTCTGGGGGCCTTCTAAACTTCCCTCTTATGGAGGACGCCGTTATATGATGACTATTATTGATGATTTTTCTCGCAAAGTTTGGGTTTATTTTCTCAGGTATAAAAATGAGACCTTCCCCACTTTTAAGAAGTGGAAAACTCTTGTTGAAACCCAGACAGGGAGAAAAATCAAGAAGCTCAGAACGGATAATGGATTAGAGTTCTGTGACGGTGAATTTAATGAGTTCTGCGCAAATCATGGAATTGCTAGACATAAAACCATTCCAAGAACACCCCAGCAAAATGGTGTTGCAGAACGAATGAACAGGACTCTACTTGAGAGAGCTCGTTGTATGCTCTCAAATGCTGGGTTATGGCATCGACGTGAATTTTGGGCCGAGGCAGTATCAACTGCTTGTTACTTGGTCAATCGTTCTCCACACTCGTCACTTAATTTGAAAATTCCAGAAGAAATTTGGTCAGGTAATCCTGTTAATTATTCCAATTTGAGAATCTTTGGATGTCCTGCTTATGCACATGTCAATGATGGCAAATTAGCTCCAAGAGCTGTCAAGTGCATATTTCTTGGTTATGCATCTGAATCTAAAGGATATCGTTTATGGAATCCTAAGTCACAAAAATTAATTCTCAGTAGAGATGTGACTTTTAATGAGGATGCTTTATTATCTTCTGGAAAACAAACTTCTGTGATTTCTTCTACTAGTACTAATAATCTGCAGGGTACTAGCGAGAAGGTGGAGTTGGAGTTGAAATCTACAACTCCTAATGTTGATGTTCCATCTTCTTTTATCGATGAGTCTAGCGCTGATATTTGTGATAATGATGATGTTGATGAGATTACCACTTCTCCAATTCAGCCGCAGGAAGAGGAGTATTCCATTGCCCAAAACAGATCAAGAAGGACGATTACTAAGCCAGCTAGATATGCAAATTATGCTTATGATGATAATTTAATTGCATATGCATTATCTGTTACACAAGAAATAAATAATGACATTGAACCAGCCAGTTATACTGAGGCTGTTTCTTGTGCTGATTCTTCAAAATGGCTAGTGGCTATGAATGAAGAAATTGAAAGTCTTCATAAGAATGGTACTTGGAGTTTAACAGAACTTCCCAAGGGCAAACGGCCTTTGAAATGCAAATGGGTCTATAAGAAGAAAGACGACATTTCCGGGGTTGAAGATCCTAGATGCAAGGCACGATTGGTTGTTAAAGGTTTCAGCCAAAAGGAAGGTATTGACTTTAATGAGATTTTCTCACCTGTTGTTCGTCATACCTCCATACGTGTTTTGCTTGCTTTTGTTGCTTTATTTGACTTGGAATTGGAGCAACTTGATGTTAAGACAGCTTTTCTGCATGGAGAGCTGGAAGAGGAAATTTATATGGAGCAACCTGAGGGATTTATTGTTTCTGGTAAGGAGCATCTTGTCTGCCGATTGAAGAAATCTTTATATGGACTCAAATAAGCTCTGAGACAATGGTATAAAAGGTTTGATTCCTTTATGATTGGGCAAGGTTATTGCAGAAGTCAATATGACGATTGTATTTATTTTCAAAAACTTCCTGATGAATCTTACATATACTTGTTACTATATGTTGATGATATGTTGATTGCATCACGTGACAAGTCTCTGATCAGAAAATTAAAAACTCAACTCAATAATGAGTTTGAGATGAAAGAATTGGGTGCAGCTAAGAAGATTCTTGGTATGGAGATTTGCAGGGATCGTCAAGCTGGTAAATTGTTCCTATCTCAACAAAAATACGTTGAGAAAGTGCTTGACAGGTTTAATATGTCTAATTGCAAACCTGTTTCTACTCCACTTGCTGCACATTTCAAGTTATCATCTGATCTTTGTCCTGAGACAGAGGAAAACATGGAGCGTATGTCACGCGTTCCTTATGCTAGTGCTGTTGGCAGTCTTATGTATGTTATGGTATGCACTAGACCTGATTTAGCATATGCCGTTAGCATGGTGAGTCGGTATATGCATAATCCTGGAAAGGATCATTGGAGTGCTGTAAAATGGATTTTTCAGTATCTCAAAGGTACTTCTGATATTGGCTTGGTATTCGATAGAAATCATGCAACAACTGAAGTTACAGGTTTTGTTGATTCGGATAATGGTGGCGATCTTGACAAAAGAAGATCTCTTTCTAGTTACATATTTACTCTCTATAACTGTGCTATTAGTTGGAAAGCTCAGCTTCAGTCTCTTCCATCATTGTCTACGACTGAAGCTGAATATGTTGCAACAACAGAGGGTGTGAAAGAGGCTCTTTGGCTTAAAGGTCTGATTAATGAACTTGGTCTTACACAGGATGTTCTTACTGTGTTTTGTGATAGTCAGAGTGCTATTTACTTAACCAAGAATAACCGCTATCATGATAGGACAAAACATATTGATGTGAGACATCATTTTATCCGAGAAATTGTCGCTAAGGGTGAAGTCGTGGTTCAGAAGATTCATACATCTGAGAATCCAGCTGATATGCTTACTAAGCCTCTTCCAAAAACCAAGTTCCAACATTGTTTGGACTTGGTTGGTCTTTACAGCACTTGAACACCCTTCGGGGTTTAAACGACGTCAAGCAATTTATCAAAATTGATCCAAGGTGGAGATTGTTAGTCAAAATTAATTGTTAGTCAACATTGATGGCTCAATTTTTTCGCTTGATAGGCACCGTCCAATGATTTGTCAAATTGCTACAGTCGCTTGGTAGGCACCGTCCATGATTTGTCAAATTGCTACAGTCAACATTGAAAAAATAACGAGTTACTGTAGCAGTTTTTTTCCTATAAAAGGCAATGAATTACGAAAGGTCGAGATACGGAAATCGATCATTCACTGATCAGAAGAAGAAATTTGAGAGTGTTATTTTGTAGCTCTTATTCCATTCTGAGAGAGTATTTATTGAGAGAAAAAATAGAGTGATTTATTACTCTTTGTCCTCATAATTTTAGAGGACTTTTTGTACTCTCTCTTTTACATAGTGGAATCATTTTGCTCGTCGTTATCCGTGGGTTTTTTCTCCGATTTAGAGTTTTTCCCACGTTAAAATTTTATCTCCATTATTCTCTTACTTCTCTTCCGCATTGAGTTGATACCCCCAACAAATATAAAGAATATTAATTTACGCATTAATAAAAATTAACAATCCTCATCCATACATGTATGAGCTGGGTAAGGATATATATTCCCATACGTTTTATCTTATTATTTGGGTAGGCGACTAAAATCTAAAAAGGATAAATAAAAATGTTAATTATATAAATAACTGTGCACTTCTTTTATAAATTAAAAAATGATTTTATAAAAGATTTTCTGAATAAAAAACGTTATAAAATATTATTAAATTCAAAGAGATTAGTTTAAAATTTAAGTTATATAATAAAATTTAAAATGAATGTATATCGATTTTGTGTGAATTTAATCTATGCCTACCTTAGCTGCAACGGAATTTAGAGCACGAGAATTCGTTGTCAATTCTACCAGAAGATGACACAATAAAACTGAAGAACGAAAGCCATTGGGAGTAAAATAACCTAAAGTACGTTGAATAATATATAGCATGAATTTAATTTTTATGACTAAATAGCTCCTTTTTTCAGGTGACGTAAAACTCTATTAAGTAGTTGCCGTACACAGCAAATGAAAAGCAAATCCAGATATACAGTACTCTTCCGCAAAATCATCTTGGCCTTGCAAGATACGCAAAAGAGACGACAGCTGTACATTGTGATTAAATATTTAAATGAGATATATTATTTTTATAATTCAATTTTTTTATTTCTTTTTGTTATAAAGAAAATTCTACAATTATTTAATATGGGGGGTACAAGGTGTTTTTATTAGTCTGATCTGGATGACCTGTAAAAGGGGTTCATCGCTTGGGTTTATTCTTATCTTAGTTTTAAAATAAAAATGGTGGGGCCCTTGGCTATAAATAAATCTACAAAACCTATGAATTCATATAAACGACTGAGAGTAAAGTTTCTCTCACATCAGGTTTGATACAATACTTTCTACGTTTCTTACTTAGGAATAGAATTACAATACTTTTTTAATAAGAATTTAATGTAATTTTTAGATAATTTTTTTAGATAAGTTATAATTTAAGAGTGGGTTAAATTTAATTTTTTTTACATATTATTAGAGCCTATTTAATTTTTTTTACAACTGTAGATGTTTAATCCTACAAATTTCGGATGTTCAGCCGAATGCTAGAAGAGCAATTTATATCATATGACATGCCTAAAGTTAATTGAAAGAATATAAAATATTTTCACAAAAAAATTTAAAACATAAAAAATTTAAACAAATTAAATTAAAGAAGTGAGATAAATATTAATTATTGGTAAATATTTAAATTAAAAAATGTTATCCATTCACTTTGTCGTATTTTTAATATCGTTAATATTTTTACAACGTTTTTTTGTTATAATAAAAATTTCTATCTCTCTTTTACATTATTTATCTTATCACTTTTTTATTTATAGAAAATTATATATATATATATATATATATATTTATTATACAATTATCATTTCACTTTAAATTAATGGCATAACCCAAGGAAACTGGTTTCCATCACCAGTTCTGCATCGTAAACCCATGGATACCAGGAAATATGAGAAGGATTCTGGATCACAATGGTTTTTGTCTTTAACTTCATTCTCTTAATATTGGGATATATTAATTAATTAATTATTCTCTGCAAGTTCCATTATCTAATCGTGCATGAACCATGACACTACCAAATCTCCGTCTAACGACTATCATTGACTTGTTTTGAAGCATAATTTTCATCAATGGAGAGACAGAGAAGTTTCTCTTTCAAACCCACCAGGCTTTTGGTCTTCTCATTCACAATCTTTTCCTCTATTCTCTTCCTTTCTACCTTCACCATCTGGCTCACCAATTCCACTTCTTCTGTTCACCAGCACACTCATCTTCACTTTAACACTTCTTCTTCTTCTTCTTTTGTCGGTGAAAGGGTTAATGTGAGTCTTCAACCTTTAACTGTTCAGGCTTTGACTGGTTTAACCAAAAACTTCACTGTAACTGGTGTCGTTCCAACTTTGATTCATAACCGTCTTGCTGGGACTGAGAAAAACATCTCTGGATCCAAATCTGAAGTTGTAGGAAACCATGTTGTTGCTTCAACTGTTAATTTCACGGTAATTCAAGACAATGGAACTTCACCTAAGAAGGGTTTCAGTGAGGAACAGAAGCAGTTAGTAGCAGCTGGTTTTGTTGGGAAAACTAAAGTTCCGACTTTGAATAAGTTTGAGCAGAAGAGAGTTGAAGGGTGTGATTTAATAAAAGGGTATTGGGTTTTTGACGAAACGTATCCTCTTTATTCCAAAGATTCGTGTCCTTTTATAGATGAAGGTTTTGATTGTGAGGGAAACGGAAGATTGGATAGAAACTATTCAAAGTGGAGATGGCAGCCCAAAGATTGTGACATTCCAAGGTATTCTCGTTTTCAATCTTTTATGACCTTTTCTTCTGTCTCTGTTTTCCAGCATCTAGCAAGTTTAGGAACTGCATTTTCCTATATTGAGGCAATATTTGGGAACAAAATGATTTTTTTTTTTAGGGTACAGTTTTTATTTTTTCTTAATTTTTTGGCAAAGGTTCAATGCAACAAAAATGCTGGAGTTGATAAGAGGGAAAAGGCTAGTTTTTGTGGGTGATTCGATTAATAGGAACCAATGGGAATCGATGTTGTGCATGTTATTGGGTGCTATTAAAGATCCAAAGAGAGTGTATGAGACACATGGAAGGAAAATTACCAAGGAGAAGGGAAATTATAGTTTCAGGTTTCTGGTAATTCTGCTGAACCTTGAATTTTGTATTGTGTATATATATGCTTGGTCCCGGCGTGTTAGATGTTTCATACTTTCATATTTTCCCTTTCAACAAACCTTGCAGGATTATCAATGTACAGTTGAATACTATGTGAGCCATTTCTTAGTTCATGAAAGCAAGGCAAGAATAGGGCAGAAACGAAGACCAACCTTGCGAATTGATGCCATTGATCATGGTTCATCGAGATGGAGGGGTGCTGATATTTTGATTTTCAACACTGCACATTGGTGGTCACATTACAAAACAAAAGCTGGGTTAGCACTTCTCTTTATCTTTTTTATTTGTTAGGCCTTGAAACCTTTGCTGGTGTGTGCATCCTTCATTGCTAGTATGATATACTTCCATAATCTTTTCATCTTCAAAGCAGGGCAATTCAGTGTGTAATTATGTTAAAGAAAGGGTTTAACCCGACATGATTCCTCTTTGCTGAAATAGAATGCTTGAACATTTATAGAGGCTAATGGCTTGCTGAAAAAAGAATGGTTTTATTCTAGACATTGGGGGTCATAAACAGCAAAAATTGGCATGTGCTGTAACATCCTAATTTTGAAAAATGAGCAATTATAGCTTAATCATTGAATCTTTTTATCACTTAGTGCATGTTTGGTTCAAAATATAATTGTTTAGTTTTGCCAGCTTTCTAAGAGAATTTTGAAAAATAAACGATTATTTCTCCATATTTAACCATTTCCAAACATACACTTTTATATCTCCTTTTTCTTTCAGTAATACCTTTGACAAACCTTTGGCCATATGACAGGATTTATTACTACCAAGAAGGAAGTCTAGTTCATCCTCAGTTAAATGTTTCTACAGCTTTCAGGAAAGCCTTAATGACTTGGGCTTCATGGGTGGACAAACGCATAGATCCTAGAAAAACCCGAGTTTTCTTTCGAAGTTCAGCACCATCCCATTTCAGGTTTGCTTCTGATATCATTCACTCTGTGATCCCTTTTTGTTGTTTCCAAAAACCAAAATGGTTACAAGATGCTAATTAGTGAATTTGATCCTTTGCAACAGGGATGGTAATTGGAATTCAGGAGGACATTGTGCTGAAGCCACTCATCCTCTAAATGAAACCTTAAGAACTACTTATCCTGAGAAAAATATAATCATAGAAGAGATAATAAAGCAAATGAAAATTCCCGTGACATTGTTGAATATAACTAGTTTGTCAGAATATAGGATAGATGGTCACCCATCGATTTATGGGAGAAAAACAAAGTCATCTAGCATTCAAGATTGTAGTCATTGGTGTCTTCCAGGGGTTCCTGATGCATGGAATGAACTGTTATATTTTCATTTACAAAGTATATGAGGTTGACTTGTTCAAACTAGTGTGTGCTCTTCATGTTTGTTCGACGTGTACATATTTGCATGTAAGCATAGTACGATTGCACTGCACCTTATTCTAAATGTTAGAGAAGTAAAAACTTCAAAATTTGAAGAACAGTTAAATGGTTTGAACTGTATCCTTGATATAATAGGGTGTGTATTCGTTTTCATGGTCAGTGAATTAGAACCGAGCTAGTAGGATCCATGTTATGCACGAAATAAATTAAAATATTTTAAAAAATAGCTGTTAAAGCTTCAAAGAGTCTTAACTTCATAAGTGTTTAACCCGACCAAATTTGGCAATAATTGAATTTGAAAGTGACTTTTAGAACAACTTTTAAATAAGAACAGGAGCCGTCATTAAATTAGCTATAATTCTGGTTTGTTTGTTTAAAATCAATTGAATTGATATTACTTTGATATATACATTTTGAGAATTATATGTTGTGAGAAATTAAGATTAAATTTTAAAATTTATTTGACAAGCAAATAACTAAACCGTTTTAAGATGATGCAAGTTTATGTAGGAAGTTATAGACAACATTGTGTATAAAATGATAAATAGAAATGAGGATTTAAAAGTAAGTAATTGCACCCTTATTCATTAATACAATAAATAGTTGAATTAATTTAAGTTTTTAAAATAAGAATAATTAAGTTATTATTGGTTAAAAAATTTTATAACGTTAAAATTAAATTACTTATTGATCTAACATTTGAATTTGATTCAATTTTTCTCAAAATTGGAACATAGAAATTGGATTTGATCAATTGACTATTTTATCAAGAAACTAAATTTCAGAAATCACAAACTATTTTATAAAAAAATAATTTTAAAATCAATTGCCAAATGATTTTTAATAACTTTTTAACAATATATTAAACTCTCTTCTAAAACTTAAATTTTGAAAGTTAAAAAAGGCTTAGAAAAGAAGAGTGCAAATAGAAAAAATAGCGTTCCCATTGTTTCATGGTCCTGGCTTGCGGGTTATTAGGCCCAATATTTTGGCCAGACCAACAAAAAGATGTGACCCAAGTTTTCAATGGAAGACAACCCGTTCTGTTACGTAAGGTTACAGTAAAAATCACAGTAAATAAAGTATCTCATGAATATTTACAAAATTTACTTGTAATAAGTAAAATATTTATTCATTATATAAGTATAGATATAAATATAGATAAATATCTATAAATTTTGTTAAATATATACAATATATAATTAAATTTTATTCTATAACTATGTATTAAAATTTTATTTTATTATATTATTTATGTAAAGTTATATAATATTAAATAAAAATATATTTAATAATAAAGTAAATTAAAAAATTTATTTTAGTTTATATTTTTAATAGAAAAATTTATTTACTATTTTATATTATTTAATTAAACTAATATAATTTAATTATTACACAATTGATATGAGATTAAATTTTTTTAAAAAAATTATTTGTATATGACACACATATAAAATAATTTTTACATAAATATTTTTGTTAATAAAATCATATTGATATTTAAATTATAAATTAAATAATAAATAATAAACATATTATAAATATTTTATAAATTTTACAATCACCTACTATTATCATAAACTTATTATTTATTGATAATATTTAAATTTTATTTTTTATATTTTAATAATATTTTTCTATACAACATGTGTTTTACAAGTACAATTATAATCTATTGAATCTAAATAATATTATTTTTACTATTTATTTACATTTAAAGAAATTTTTGAAAAGATAAAATATAAAAAAATATATCATTAATTCCTATTTGTTAATTTTTTCTTCAAATAAAAAATATAATTTTTTTGATATACAAATATATTTCTTTATTATAAAATTTATATAATTTTAAATATTTAATTCATTAAAATATTTTTTCAAATATTTGTATTTTTGACAAAATACTCTTGTATAGTACATGAGTTAAAAATATTATTATTAATATATATATATATTATTTTAATTAAATCTGTTATTTTTCTTATAATTTTAAATTTAAAAATTAAAAAAAGAATATTTATGTATCCACTTTTTGTTATTATTTAGTACTTAAATTTTTCAGCCTTAACTTTACTCTTATTCTCAATATTTGCTTCGTTAAAACCTAATAATTATGAAACGTTATTCATTAAAATTAGTTGTTAATATCGCCACAAAAAGTCATCGAGTGATCCTACACAAAAGGTCATCTATTGTGCAAATCTATTTCTTTGTTACTCTGATATTGTCAATCCATCAAATCTCACACAAGATAAAGTCATTACTTACAAATAGTTAATGTGTTTAATTTTGCTTATGATTTCTAATAATCTTAATTTATAAAATTATTGTATAAATATACATTTAGCACTTATGATTTTTAAATATTTATTTTTATTTATGTTTGTATCTTATTCAACAACTACTTATTAAATTTTTATATTATTATACTATTTATGTGAAATTATATAAATATATATTTTTTTAAATAAACATAGATAATAAGTACATGATAAATATATAGGTATCCAAATAATATAAAATTAATGTTAAAACTCATACAAATATATGACATTGAATACGAATATTTTTTTAAAATGCAAATGTAAAAATAGGTATTATACTACCTTACTCTTACCCTAACTATTTCCATCCAAGATGTCAGATTTCGTTGATAGCTGAAAAAGCGGGTCCTTTGTCATTTGCGTTAATCCTTTGTACCCTTTATTTATTTTTTCTTTGACTGCATTACCAGCCTTTTCTTTCTTTGCTGGTGAGGAACTTATAATTCCTTTTAATTAAGTTAATTTACTCGGTAGAACAAAAAAATACTTACATAAAAAAATTATACATTTAGTCTACAAAAATAGTTTATATATTTAAAAAATTGTTTTATTTACTGTATGAATATTTTGTTATATTTTGATCTTTATCATTAAAGAGTAAAATATAAGTTTTCTGAAGCGTAAAAACTAATTTGTAATATTAATTATAAGAATTAAATTTATATTTTAAACATAAATAAATAAAAATATTCTTGATAAACTGATCTGGAAAAAATAAAATATTAAATAAAAGAATTAAATTTTAAAAAATACTAAAACATATTTAAATTAAAGATTATTTATAATTTAAAATTATATATACATATTAATAAAATTTATTCAGTAAATATATAAATTAATAAAATAATAAATGTTAGAGTTAATAAAATACTAAGAATAATTAATATATGATATTTTTTATTATAATTAAAAAAAATAAACATATTTAATTTTTTGAGTTAATAAAATAAATATATCTATATATTTTTTAATCTAATTGAGAAAAAATAAATTAACTAATAATATTTTAAATCGATATAATAAAAATTGTTACACCAAGATAAAAAAATTTATGAATTTATTCATAACTTTGTTAACAACCCTGGGCTAATGTAGTAATGTCTAAACTGATCTCAAAATAGAATTGTTTAATCTTCTGCCGATTTATTGTTCAACTCCATCATCCATAATATTATACATATTAGCGTTTGATATTGGTATCCTCATGACAGTTACTCTTGGTTATACTATAGGATGCCCATACGTCCTGGACCTTGGTCCTTGGCTATGGCTCATCAATGAGACTGGTGTTTCTTTGCTTTGCTCTGAGAAGCTGCTGATTCCTCTTTCTTGGCTTTCTCAGCTTTCAGTTTACGAATCCATGGCGGTGATTGATCTGGACCATAAAAATAATCATAGAATAGCTCCTCACCAGCTTTAATGTTCTCCTTGGCAAATATGCCAACTCGATGATCCCCTGCAACGAGCATCACCTATGCAACCGATACAATAGCCCAATCATTATGATAATCTCATAGTGGAGTTCAACGTGCTGAGATCAAAGGGGAAGATTCATATCTCCCCAAAACTGGGGGTTTCTGGACTGACCTTAGCATAGCAGTTGGGTTTTGATGAGTGGTTCGCAAATTTCAACTTGTCTCCTATGCGATAAGCATCAAGAACGTACTGTAGAAAAACAGGCAGCAGATTGAATGGTTGATGAGAGATGTGTGAGGAAAAAACTTAAATCATCAGTTTCAAATCCCAATATATTGCCATGAAAGCGGTGGGGGAAAAGAGAGATTGATGAAAAGCTAATAGAAAGATAATAAAACAATTAGTAGTTCTGCCAAATCAGAGCTATTAGGTAGCAGGTTTTAGATCTTACATCATCCGAGTACCCTCTTATGAAATTACAAGAAAACAACGTCAATGGGAGAAGCACAAGAACAGGCTCAAGTTAAGAGAAAATGTTGTTGATAAGAGACACTTGCCTGATCATTAAGATTAAAAAGGAATGAGTAATTTGCACGATCATATAGTTTCCCTCGCTTCTCTGCTTCTTTCTGACCGATTAGTTCACCCGTGTACTCTCCTAGGCAATCATTTTTGTTAACTGGGTTCTGAAATGCATCATCAATTAGTGAGGAGAATACGCAGTCACCTTATTTGAAAACAAAAAAAGTACAGACATCTCAACCTTTGAGAAGGCTCCCCATCCTGCAACATCAGACTTTGCCCAAAGAATCTGACAGATATAGGAAAAACAATGTGAGATACTGATGTTCATGTACTCATGATTTTATTCATGAATGAAAAACAGATAATTTAAAGAGCAAAATAATTTCTGACCCTCTGTTTTTGTCTTAAAAGAAGCATCATGTTTCCACATTGACCATCTCCACGTCGAGCTGGCTGCCCTAATGAACCATCGCCGCAACTGTAAAAAAGAGTCATTTAAAATAGGGAAGGATACAGCTCAGTTCATTCGGTTGTAGCTGAAATGGTAAATAAAACAGAAAATGGAGATATCAGTCAGCTCAACTCCATTCATGTATAGCAGCAAAAGATACATGGCATCTTTCCAGACAGTCCATATCCCAGTGTCAAAAATGATAGAAGTAATGGTAAGTCACAATTAGTAGATTTCTTTCAGACGAGTGATCAGTGATGAATCATAGCCGATTGCACTGTACATGTTTGAACCCATTTGATCTTTTGTTTTTAATGTGGTACAATAAAGAAACACCCAAGGTCATCTTCAATCATCTAAACTTGGAACATTTTCTTACTTATGTAAGAAATTTTACTGAAGCACGAAAACTAATACTAAGAAATGGAAAACTGTAATAGTTGAGTATTTAAACAAGTGAATATCTTCAAATCAGCCAAGATATACAGATATGGGAATGCGACCATGTTGTCGCATGAGCGGAGGCTACTGAATAATCAGGACCAAAAACATTACCTTACCTATGAGTCTGACTTTCTCAATCAGTCGAAGTAAAATCCAAGAAATGTTGATAAAGAAAAAGGCTACATAAAATCACGTTCAAAATCACCAAAAAAAAATAAGGACATTACCTAACCCAACAATTTCGACAGACATCTGGGTCACATTCACGGTTGGCTGCAAAGCATGGGCATTGTCGACTTCTGCATTGACTTTTAACACAGTGACATCCTCTGAATCGGTTCTTGCAGATCTTTGAACACCTGAAGGTACAAAGCTTATTTATCACGACATTCAAAACATAATTGTTTAACAAATAATTATTCCAAGTCTCTAAAATAGTTCCAGTTTATGTTGAGAAAACATTTTTCCAGCCTTGTAAAGCACGGTTTTATTTTAATAGCTTTCCGTCCACACATGTGTCTATCGTAGCACTCCAAGAGAAATCATGCGTCTTTCCGTTTGAGTTAAAATGCTTAGGTAACCATATATGATAACGTATACAGATCACCTCTTTAGACTTGGATCTTCTGGCTAGATACCCCACAAAGACAGTTAACAAAACAATTCCAATGGACCAACAAATGGCCATGAGAAATATGAAATATCCTGCAACTATTGTGTATTTCTTTAATAGAAAAGGTAAATAATTTAATGAAAATCCACATACCCACAATATTTTTCGCAGCAAGTTCCGTTACGAAGACAAGGACATTGTTTTCCACACATTCCACGGCACCCACATGGAGTATACTGCTTGTTACCCAGATTTTTTCCATGAGCAATTCTCCATGTAGACGGGAGGCCGGCAGACTTCCGAGAAGATGTGAACTTCCTGGGTTTGCCCCTTTTCCGCAGCAACCGTGATCTTGATGGCACTTCTTGGTCCTAGCAAAACAACTCTGGTTCACAAGTGGTTTGATGCTAAAAGCTGAACGTTCAGAATTATAATTTTCCAATAATGGATTTAAAAAGTTCGTCAAGGAAGTACAACACATGAATCCTTAGATACCACGAATGCAAGAGTATAGCGGTTATAAACACACACGTCAGCTTTAAAGTGTAACCCAACCCCTTTTGCAAGTCTGACCAGAAAACACCCTTCCTATCAGGCTACACGGAATATAAAATCTGGGAAGCCCATCGAAGATAATAAGAACTCAAATTTTACCAACTAGTGATGTTGAGTTAATTTTTTTATGTGAGCAAGTCATTTCAGAATATATTAATGTTCTCTACTTAAATTTGTTTCTTCAATAAATGCCATCATAACTTATGCCATGCAATATGTAAGGAAGAGCTAAATTTCCATCTTCGTCCAACCACTCCTCTCCACCTCCTTAAAAAAATGATCAAGACGATAGAAGAAAACATAAAGAAAGGGAAACGAGTGCTTGTAATTCTCACTGTGTTCTCTGTATTAATCTTTTCAATTTTGTCCATGATTGATCCTGCTATGGATTTGTGGGCCATTGACTCTCCCCCAGCACACATATATGTAGCTACTTCCATGCAAGTCTTCATGCCAGAAAGTAAGTTCCGGGCTATAAGGCAACTGCAGATCGTGAGTAGCACATGAGCAAAAACCAAAAAAATAAAAAAAAATAAAAAAAATCACAATTGACATAGGTAGCTGCAACGGTATTTACAATACAAACATTTTAAAGTTGCTCTATCACTGCAACGTTTGGGAGATATCAAATAGTGACCTAAAAATGCAATCAGACCTCAAAAGAAAAACACCGACTGCTTATTAAGAGGAAAAATACCTCGGTAGAGCTTAATTCTTGCACAAGAAAGAATATTTTACACATGTACAAGCACAAATACTATAAAAAGAAAACTATTGCAAAATATTCATTGTACCCACTCTTTACTAAATGCTAGTAATATGCCCTCGACACATTCTTTTATATATTTTCTTTATTATTCACTTAAATTTGTATTGATCTTACTAAATAATAATGCTAGTCTCATTCCTTATTTTGTGGATGAGTAGAGAGCCCTCTCCCTGGGTGGCGGACTTAACATGAAAATCAATAAATAATAAAAGGTTATAAAATGTGTTGGATCCCACTTTTTAACTTTACTGGTTCCACGGGACTGCATAGGTTGACAACGAAACACATGCCAGGAACAAAACAGCACCTCCAAACACACACACACACAGCTAAATTTGATGCCTCCATTTCTGTACACAGTACAAAGCTTTTGGAAGAAAAATACTAACAAACATGGTCCAAGTATTAGAAGTAAGATGAAGAAAAAGATAGCTCCATACCTATTTCTCCCAAACATTTCTACTCCCTTCAAATATAAGTCTTTCTCCAGAAGTTTCCAATCTGAGATACTTGGCATCTCATCAACTTGCATTTCCGTTGAATTAGAATGCTGCTCAAATTCTATCTCTTTTGTGAGATCTTTTCGTCCATCCTCAACTCCCTTGTCATGCTCACCACGGCAGCTGCTACCAGAAACTAACAATTTATTTGAAGTATGTTCAGCAAGGTTTGTCAAAGATGAAGAATTAATTGTGCGTTTTTCTTCATCACAAGCATCCAAATTTAGGTCCTTGTTGTGATTGCCATTTGCGGTAACTACATCATCTGAGATTTTCTTCAGCTTTTTACAAGAACTGAGAGACTCATCGGGAGGCATCAGAGACTCAGCAGGAGGCAATGTTGAGTCATGCAGTACTGAGTCTGACGGATTAATGACCTTCCTTTTCCCCATACTTTCTGATACAGGCACATCCGAATTGGGATCTCCATGAGAACAAATTTCTGTTGTAAGAGGTACTGTCACATAACGGGATCTTTCTTTCTGCCAGTTAGCTTTGGTACTCTGATGATTACCAGGCTCCTTTGAACTGGAGGGTGTCAATATCCCTTCTACCTCTAACATTGGTTTAATTTTTTTATCCTGAGAAGACCCTAGAGCTGAATTTTCTTTCAACTGCGAAAAGATGAAATGGAGCCAATTCAATATCTTGCGCATATTTTTAATAAAATTTTATCATTTTTATATGCTAAAGACTAGCATCAAAAATTGATATTACTATTTTTTTCTTAATTGAGTTGCTAGCTACTTTGTGCAAGGTTCCATTAAATACAATAATCTAACTATTTTTTTAAAATAATTTAAGAATTTATTAAATATTTAAATTAATGACTTAGGTTTTAAATTATTTTAAAAAATTTATTACTTCAATTAAGTTATATAAATACGTAAGAACCAAAAAGTTAATTTTACTTAAATGTTATTGTTTCAATGAATTAGAAAGCATTTATTATTGAAGAATTTATGCCAATACAGGTCAACAAAGCGCTTATCGTAGAGGCATTGTCATTTTTTGTTGTATACTAATCCCGCGGACTATAAAAATTTGCTTCTGTCACTTTTTTTTTTTTTTAATAATTTTCCTTTCATTTTGTTAAAATAATAACTAATTAAAAAAACTGTATGCATTCATTATTTTGAAAGAATAATTCTAATTTTTTTATCATTTGATCCTACAAATGTTTTTAGTTATTAAATAAAAAACTTTATGCATTCATTGTTTTCAAATAATAAATACATATACTTTTTATTTAATATTTACTTTATAAATTAATAAGAATATTATAATTTTATTAACTAGTGTCTTAAGATATTATTTAAAAAAATAAAAAATAGTAAACTTTTATTAAACAAACATATTAAAAATTATAAAAATAAATGAATTATTACGTTTTTAAATAATTTTTTATTTTAATTTATTAACCAGTGGAGGAGGATATAACAAAACTCATTTTGTCAGTATAAAACATATTTAATATTTTTTATTTAGTAATTAAAGATATGGGCTTTGCTATATTTTCCTACAGATTTATCTAAGGAGATTTGTGATAATAACAGGTTGGAGAATTTTTAAATTATTCTTCAAACAATTTCAGCAGGGTAAAAAACACTTTTACTGTACCACTTTGGTATATTTTTTGAGAGATTGTATAAGTTATTTCATAAGATAAATAAATAAATTATAAATTAAATTATAAATTATATTAAAAATTATAATAACTATATTTAACGTTTTATAGACATTAGTTGACTTAATATGAAATTATTTAACATTAGGTAACTTGCCCAAATCCTAACTTGAACTCTATGACATAGTAAAAAAAAAAAAAATCTATGACAAAGGAGAAGAACAATACCAGAAGGTAACACTGATCACTGCATGGTTCCCTCTCACCTTCAGGTTCGGACCAAATTGGCTGCTTTTCACTCTGAAATAAATCATGAAATTGACTTACTGGTGGAGTTCGAAACACATATTAAGCTAAAAAGAACATGGAGCCCGGTTCCTTACAGGATATATTAAAGGTTGAGAACAGCCATGCACAGGACAGTCATAGACCCGCTGGAAGAATTACAAAAAAAGCATAGACACACAAAATAGTTAATATCATATTAGACACCATGGCAATGAGAAGAATGTTAAAAGGTTCCTGTTGTAGAATGTACGATGCACTGGCGACAAAAAAGATTATCGAAAAAATCTAAAGCATCATTCAAGCTTTTCTCCAAACATATGCCAGTAAGAGATTCACATCCTCCAGAATCTTCAGAATGCTGCTCTAGACTCCTCATATTCTTCTCCTTGAGATTTTCATACCTCTCCTGCATATTTTTATGGAAAAAGACAACTCCCAGACGTGAAAATGGCTGCTCAAAATATCCATGGCGCAAAGGCTGTTAATCATGTCTAGAAGTTACACTAGATTACCTTAATCTCTGATTCTGAACCAAGAACAAACAGCCTAACGATGCTCATTACCTCCTCAATCAACCCAAGTTCCTCATATGCCATCCTAATATATTCAAGAGTCAAGATAGTAATTTTAGAATGGAGAAGCTTCAAACATTTAAATAAAGTAGAAAATAGATCCACAATAAATTTAAATTTGGTATGAAATTTAAATATCACGTGTGATGACGATAAGGGTCTCGTTTCCTGAACAGCAACAAGGAAAGCCACTGGAGGTCCAGTGAGGCTTCTATTTCAGCAAAATAAATAAATTAAGGATTTATATCTTTGACGAAAAAGACTGCAGTCAGGATCTCTAACTACTGCAGTAATTTCATTTTTCTTCATAAAAGAAAACAGAGAACTTCTACATGTAAGCATAATCTCCATCTTAAATTTACCTCAGAATTTCGTCTTCAGCCTCAGTGAACTTATGTTCCTCTTCCGCAGGTTCGTCTTCATCACTGTCACTGCATATCAGCGTTTCACCTCCATGTTGATCATAGTATATTTGCCTTTTCCCAATAACAGACTGATCTGGGGCCATTCTCTGATTTCTGTTTTGCGTGAAAGATTTTGAAAAATCACAAATACATGACATGATCAGTGTACAGATTGATCAATAATATTTGAAATGGATGTCTCTGTCTGAAAAGAAAATACAGTTCAGGAAGCATGTATTTTTCACATTGGCGAAATTTGCATTACTGCACATCAGGGACGTCTGAACAGAAAATTAGTCTTTGAAACTTGAAAATCAAATGCACCTGATCAAATGTACCCAAGCTGTATATCGTGGTACTTTTTCCATGTATGGTATCTTGATGCTTGTTTCAGATAATATGTCCTCGAAGTCCATCTCTACCAAACCACCTTGAGGGAAACCACTGAATATACGTAAAGGGCGTTCAATTCTTGAAGCAAGCATATTGGTATTTTCCTCAGTCTCCAATGAGTCCCTACTTGATATTTCTGACATGACCATTACAAGCTGGCTTTCAACAGTCTCCCAGTTATTCCGGAGCTTTTCCTGTGGAAATTAACATAACTCAGATTAATTGAAAGTGCAGCTAACCAGCAGTGAGTACAACAAGAACCCATCTCAACCTTGCATTTTGCAATTGAGGAAAACAAATTCAAGTATGTAATAATAAGGCTGTAGGCAAGGAAAGAGTCCATTATGCCAACTTGCAACACGTTTTATTTTTCAATATTTGTCTTCACCTTTGTGCATTATCCAATTCTCCACAGAAAAAACTAGGAACAGTAATTCCAGAAAATCAATTTAACTTTGCAGATAGCATAAATAACAAAGAAGCTGACTGTCCAATATACATAAGAACACAGAGATGAACCATTTCCCAGAATCAGACCACCCGATCGGAAACTTACATCGATTGATCCCTTTCTCCTCCAATGGGTTTGCTCTATCAACTGATTTATCTTGGTCAACAAGTTTCTAATAGGATCTGATATTGCTTTTCCAGGTTGTTTCTGTCAACATTATATCATACAATAAAATATTACAAAAAAAACTTCAAAAATTAAATAAAATAAAAAACACAAAACTCCTTATAATTTTACGTAAAAAAATAAAAATTTGTATATCACGTTTGGCCACCAAAAAAAAAAGTAACGAACGCGAAGTTCAATCCTCATGCACTGAAGCAATGGAACTACGCGTTCCTTTTTCAAAAGGAATTATCGACATCCAAACACGGTGCGAAATTCCGGAACTCAAATGTCGTTTGTGGCTGTACTATTACACACAGAGATAGAGGAAAGAGAGTTCGTTTCGTTTCACCCTTCAATATCCGATTAGATGCAAAATAGAGTCTAATCATCTGAGTTTAACTCTGAACCGTCGTTGCGATACGATTTCAAAGAACAGAATGAGATTTAAAAAAAAATAAAAATCTAATTAATTATAAATTAAAGGAAATGAAGATATCGAGAGAGTGTAAAGAGAAACAGACTAGAGTCCTGGAGCTGGATGCAGAGTTGGAGACCATGGATGCGCGCAGAGTTTGGTGAAAGGAGAAAGAGTGAATCGAAGAAGAAGAAGAGGAGGAGGAGAGAGTGAATGAAGCGAGTAACGCTCTCTAGAAATGACATGGCATACCGCCAACACTGCCTAATTTATGGTGCCGTTTCATGCGCTATTCACTGTTCCTTCCCTTCTACGTACTACGTGGGGACCACCATCCTCAAATTCAACGTGTTTATCTAACAACTCTTACATCTATTTTTAATTTTTTATTACATCATTAATTATATTTCATTTTTTTAATTTTTAATTTTTCCCTCCATTCACTTTATATTTAAAAGGGAGGGAATAAAAATTTTCCGTTTCTCACCGTAATAGTATTTTAATAATATTTTTAGAATTTTATTTAAATATATTATTAATGTATAAAAATTTATATTATAATTTAATCTTAATTGCTGTTATATCATTAAACATCATTGATTTTTTGATAATTAATATAAAATTTACTTTTACAATATATTCTAATGATTTGAATGTAATTTTTTTAAAAATAATAATATATTAAAATTAAACTTATATTTTTAAGAGGTGAAATGTATCTTCTTAATTACTTAATATCAATTTTATTAATTAAAAGTAAATAATTTTACTATATTAAAAAATTATAGGTATTTATTATTTTCCTCATTCACTAATTAAAGATTTATTTGAAATATTTTTTCTCAAAAATAAATAATTATAAAAAGAAAGAAATTTATAATTGTTCTATTTTTAGCATATGTCCACATGAATTGCCATCAAATAAAACAAAATTCAATACTTGTATCCTATTTTAATTTAATGTGCATCAAAATAAAGGTAAATTATTTTATAGTATCATCTCATTTTATATTGTTATTTTATTAAAAAATAAATATATTTTTTTAAGACAAACATATATTATATATATTCATTGTTGTTAAAAGTTTTCTAAAATATGGTATATAGATTTAGAAAAATGTTAATTTTAAAGGAGTGTATAAAGAACTAAAAATGCTAATTTATATTGAAAGATTTTATTTATTTTTTAAAATGATAAAAAAATAATAAATGCTATCTATTTTAACAAAAAAATACACTATCTTTAAATGCTTAAAATTAATCAGCTCAGGTTAATAAAAGTGATAAATTTATTAAGTGTCGTTCTATATTTACAAGTTTTTCTAAATGTCAAATAATAATATATTGAAATTAGCTCATTCAATTTTCAAAAAGTTACAATTAAATTGTATTAAATAAATTATAATTCGGATTTGTTCGCACATAAAATAAACTAACATAGATGTAATCATAAACTTATAAAGTATAATTCAAGACTATATATTTTAATTTTGATAATTATGTGACTAAAATTTACTTTGTTTTCCTAATATTTGACAATTATTGCCAAAAAAAAAAAGAGTACTGGATAACTAGTCAGTACTCACATTCAAGTTGTGTAAGTAAGTAAAGTGAATATTTATTTTCTTTTATTTAAAAATAAATAGATTAGTTTCTAAAGACTTGGAAAACGTATTTAATATTTAATTTATTTTTTTATTAATGAATTTATAGTTCATTACTATTTAATTATATGTAACTATTTATTTGCATTTGATAAATAATTAATAACTGATATCGTCGACTGTTCATCAATTCAAACTTATTCAGGTTATCGATAATTGAAGGATATTCAAAATAGGTTTAAATGAGTCATCCTTTCAATTGTTAAAAATGCTATCTTTAAAAAATCTAAACAAAATTATTAAAATTTAATACCAGACATTTGATAGATATTTATCCCAATAAATTTAGAATTTTAAAACATTTAATATGAACTCTTATATTTTACAATTTTTTAATATTTATTGATTTTTATTTCTTTTTAAATTTTATCACATTATTAATTATATCTTTTTTTTCCTGATTCTCTCTTACTTTCACTCACTTTACACCGGAAAAAGTATATATATATATATATATATATATATATATATATATATATATACTAAAATTAATGTACTATGTATTTTTAAAAAATATAAAAATAAAGATTATTTAATTACATTCTTATAAAATTCTGTTTCATAAAATTTAATATAAATAATCAAACTAATATTTTGTTATAATTTATCATGTTGATAAAAAATATATTTTATAAAAAAATAAGATTTATAAAAAACAAGCTCAAACTATTCAATTTGAGTAACTTGATAACTATATTTAGGAAAGAGACGTTCAATAATCAGTAAAATTAAATTGAATCACATGGTTGACATTTTTTTAAAATATATTTTTCTATTTTTAAATAATATTTTTCATTTTTAAATTTTTTAACAAATTTATCTCTCTAACATAAATAGATTATACTATTAAAAAATAAGATATTGTGAAATTATTCAATTTGAGGGATTTGATAATTAAGAAAGAGACGTTCAAATTGAATTTTTTTATTTTCTATTTATTCATTTATAGTTTTAATTTTTGTTAACACTTTTAAAGAAATTCTTAACAAATATATATTATACTATACAAAATTTGTCTATTTATTCAATTTAAATCATTAAATAATTTAAAAATTCAACAATTATTTTTTATGAATAAATTCAATAATTAATAAAATCAGATGGAATGTATCTCATGCAGATGTGGGTTCAAATTCCAATGGTGACGTACAAAATTTATTAGTTGGTGATTTGTAAGTATTTTTGTGAAACCTCCATGCACCCTCTTGAACTACGAGATCCAACTCACCTGAATATTTTGCTATATATAACAAACAAAAATTGTCTAATTGAATTTATTTACTAACCAGTATTTTTATTTTATATTTTAATTTGAATTTTTTATATTTTAACAAATTTATATCTTAATGTATGTAGAGGTAGAGTATTTTTTTTTTAAACCACAATTTTTTTTTGCAAAAGACAATTCTATTATTATTAAGAATAATAAAAATTTTCATTTAAATATTTAATATAACAAAAATACTATTTGATATAAAAATTTCATTCAAATTATTTAATTTGAATCACTTAATAATTAAAAGAAGTGACCAATAATTATAACAATTAAATTGGGTCGTCCGATTAAAATTTTTAAATAAATTTAATTTTTTTCTATTTTAAAATAAAATCTATTTTTTTTAACATAATAACAATTGTTCCCTCTTAACATATATAAGTCATATCATTTGATAAAAAAATCAAAATATTCAATTTGAATGTTTTGACCACTACAAATTAGATAATAAAAGAAATAAAAAAAATAATGGAGATGATCAATAATCATTAAAATTTTGACTAGTTAAATTAAAAGTATATTTTTTAGTTTTAAATATTTACTTTTTAAAATATGTTAATAATAATCAATTTAACCAACTAATATATAAACATAAAACTTTTTATTAAATAAATTGAGCATATATTATCACGTTGTTTAATAATTAAGTTAATAATATTTTTATTAAAAAATATATAAAGAGACAAAATATTTCTTATACTGATATAAGTTTAAAAACTCGTGCACCTAATTTCAACATTTCATTTAACTTATATCGAACAAGTTATAATTTATTATTTTATTAGTTGTTAGATGTAAGTTAAATGAAAAGTTCAGATTGAATGTAAGAATTTTTAGACTTATACTAATATAAAAATATCCTTCCCTCTATATAAAATATTATATTTATAAAATTTAACCTCTGACATCTATTCTTCATATTGTGTATAAAATTTATTATCCTTTCTTATGTCTATACTTTTGGAAATATTATTTTTCTAAGGATCAATTAGATTATTTTTCATATAAGAAAGGTTGTTTAAATATTATTTTACACAATGGAAATTGTTTATGGTGTAAAAAAGTATTTAAATATTTTTTTAAAAAGAATCGTATATACGCTTATCTTTTCTCACATTCATCTTTATATAACTATTACTGGTATAAATATTAAAAAACTTGTTTACGATAATCAAATTAGACTATTTCTCGTGTGAGGGAAAAGGCTTCTTTTTTTAAAAATATTTTGCACAACGGGAATTGCTGGTTGCTACCTTATATGGTTTACATGTTATGTAGCAGACACTTTCATCAAATTAAATGGAGTTCTGTTAATGAAGGAACTAATGTGTCTTGCATAAGCAATTTCAAGTGAATCTTCGATATATTTTTAGAACCCAAATCAGCTTCTTACTCAATAACTAAATTTTTTTATAGATGATTATCTATACTTACATTCAAACTGATTTAATGGATAAAATGTATACTCATTGTGAGTCAATTTTGTGAATATCCATTAAACGCGTAAAATATATACTTATTAATTAAACGGACCCTACTATATTCTTTATTCTCCCTCCCCTCAACCAAAAGACATAAATTAATCAGAGGATCTTAGGAACAACCAAAAAAATGTCCTCTTGGGACAACCAATGCGAAAATTGTTTTTATTTATGGTTATTTATTATTATTTGTATTTTTTTGGCTAAATATTATTTGTGGGAAATGATTATAGTAAGAGTTAATATTTTTTTTATAATGAAGTACAAACAAGTTTTCACTATACGAACATGAAGTCGCTTTTCAGTAGCTACTGATCTTTTATTTATTATTTTCAAGTTTAAGAATAAATCACATTTAACTAAATGTAAACAAACAATTAATACGTAAGAGCTGTGAATAGTTAATAACTGATTTTAAAGAGTGTTTTCAAATAAAAAAAATACAAATTTTAATGAATAATTTATTATGCCAAACATTTTGTAATGAAACAATAATAAATTAATGCATACAGTTTCTATTTTCTCGGTTTCCAGAGTTTATATACGTAAGAGCTGGAAAAGTAGATTCATGGTGATTTATTTTTGAATCAATCCCCAACTATTTAATTAAACGAATACATCATTTTCCAAATATCAAACACTGTAACGGATTAATCTTTCATTATTTTTAAGTGTCAAAAACGCATTAAATGCATTTATCGTACTTTATATCTAGAATTTGAAAATCACCTCATTTTAAAGAGTAGAAATTGAGTTTCATTCACAAGTACCATGTTTGACAAAATTATACATGTTTAATTCTGTTACACTTTGGCAATCAAAATACTGGACATGCATGTTATACAATCCACAAAATACATAAAACAAACAAGCCTTCCGAGGGAATAAGAAGGGAACTTAACTTCGTATTTTTACAAATGAATCATGTGTTTGGAAGTGTGAAGTACCCTCAAAAGTAAATTTATTTTAACATTACATGTTATAACTCATTTTAAACATACTTTTAAAAGATTTTTCTTGCTTTACAAACACACACTGAATATATCACTATCAAGTGTCCCCCAAAAACAATCTCAAAGAAACCTCCAAGCTGAGATTGAATGCAAAGGAGTCCCCTTCCATCCAACAACGAGACCCTTGCCATTCTTGTCAATAGTGCAGAATTTACCAAAAGCAAACTCTTTGGCGACCAACTCAGCTTGGTACATAGATGACTCACTAAACCCGGTTTCCACCATTCGATACCTTGCAAAGAACCTTCTCCAAACATCTATTTTCACATTCCTTACTGTCCTTTCCCTTCCTTCCATAGCAACAATGTTTCGTATCCCTTCAGATAATATTGCTTCAGTTGTCATTCTACACCCAGTCTCCTCTTTTATGCAGGTTTCAAGGCAATCAAAAAAGGCTGAGTAGGAGAACAACGCTTCAATGAAGCGATTCACAAAGGAGGGAGAGTTGTGGTTTGCTTCTACTTCAAGTACTATCATTATTCTTGGCTTAATATTTCTTATAACCCACATCAAATTTTCCATACACTTGGGCCTTGACACCAAGTACCTTAGAAAATATGGGGAATATACAGCAACAGCTTCATCATCTTCCATTTCAAAATGATCTTCCCTTATTTCTGCCATATCTATAACGAAAATTGCCTTATATGAAAAGGGTAAGTTCAAGGATTCAGCAAAACTAGCTAACCTTTTGCCTGTTTCTTCTATCATGGCTTTGCATGTCTCAAGTGCAATGGCAGTGATCTTAAAAAGTTCCACTGAGTAATTCTGGCGTTCTGTCAGTGCTTGCATCAAAGCTGTGCAATGCACCCCATTTTTTATTTCAAGATCTATAAGATGGATTTTTGTCTCACATGCAACATGTTCCACTATAGTTTGTATTCCAGTGAATTGCATCACTTGATTGAATGGAATATTTTGATGGCATGTGAGGGAAGTGTTGGTATCCATCTTTTGAATTAACTCCCTTTCTTCATTTTTCTCCGATACCTTAAGTGTCATCCTTCCTGTTTCTTTGTCTATTCTCTCTCGAAGTGCTTGAGCGAAATGAAAAATAACTCTTTGAACAGGACTTGCACTTCTAGATGAATTCCATTGACAATGTTGAAGTAACCTGCTAGCACGTTCAAATTGTTTGCACCCTACCCTCTCAGCTGCAGCTAGGAGAAACTGAGCAAGTTCCACATCTCTATTTTCTTCCTCGGACAAACTCCCAAGTTCCAATCCATATGGGTGCATAGGTAGACAAAAACTATCATTCCAATGTGCAGAGTATTGGACATACCTGTTGAGAAGCACATGATCATAAGAGAGAAATTGAGAAAAATTAGAAATGTGTTGTTGCTTGAAAATGAGAAAGATGATACAAATCAGCCATGGGTGTAGCTTATATATAAGTGGAAAATAAATAATCCAATTAACTCTAACTTCGTAATCAATATTTTGTAACGTATTTACGAGAGTACAAAATAAAAAAAAAACTTATTAAAAAATTATAATATTTAATATTATAAATATGATAGATCTTATAATATTTTATAATTTTTAATAAATATCTACTGTATATAGCTTCTTATTACTTGTTCTTCTACACACCTTAGAAAAATGGTTTAATTAATATATGTAACAATACCTTGCTCCGGCCAATCTTATTATTTCTTCAGTTGACATCTTCTGGTGATCCAAAGAAGTTTCAATATTGCTAAAGGTGCTTGTACTTGGTTCGCTTAGCTTCTTGAACCTGCTTCCGTAATTTCGCAGAAGCTCTAAGGATGCGAAAGAGGGTGGCGTCTGTTTATTGTATTCAACTGATTCTGAATTTGCCACTCCATGTTTCTTTAGCCTTGTAGTTTCCTGAAATAGTTGTGTTGGTTGCACTTGCATATCAGGGTCGAAGTAGTTGATCTCTTCTAACATCAAGTTATCAACTTTAGGTTGTTCTTGCTGCTGCTGATTTTGACCTTCGAACAAATTAGCTCCTTTTCCATTCTCAGGAGGCAGGGGATCAATCTCTCCCATCAATTCCATTTCAGAGAAATTGTCTTTCCCTTGGAATACAACCTCTTCTATAGAGCCATAATCCTCATGAATTCCTTTGAAATTTAAAGTTGTGGAAGAAAATTGGTCAATTTTCATGTTGGATTACAACAGAAAACATGAATGATTTCAACAATTTACACTGAAGACACTGCGCTTGTCTAGATAAACATCGAAGAGAGGGTGTCCATTATCATCATTCGTTCTGAAAAAATGAACATTTTTAACATTACTATAAGTGCTTGAATAAACTTACCATCACGAAATATATAAATAAATGTGACTAGGAACATGTACGTAACTTTGATGGTGATGTCGTCGATGTTTTCATTGCAGTCGTAAGCCAGCAGTTATAAAATATCTAATATTTTAATAGAACAAAACCGTTAGCTGGTGATAGTTGAAGTCTGCCATAACAATTACAGATTAGTATTTGATTATCAATAATTTTGTCGTTGTGGAAACTATAGTAATGGTCTGAAGAAGCCACGAAGTTTTGTTTCTTTACAAATTTGTATTAATAATCTTCCTTTTATTTTATAAAGTATATATTGAATAATTATAAATATTTTTATTTAGAAATGGTTAAATATAAATGTTTATTATATTGGAATCATAAAAATTGTTCAATATTTTTATTTAATAATTAGAAATATTTACATGCATAAAAAGTAGAAAGATTTAATATTCTATATATGAATGATTTTCATAAGAAATTCAGCCCAAGTTGATTGGACGGTCCAAGAAAATGGAGGAGGGATTTAAATAAAAGTGGCGGGTTGGCTGCTTCCAAGAAAACAAGGGGGTCAAACAACACCGAAATGTCTTTATGTGTTTTTCTAATACAAAATTTATCAGTTTATATGCAATTAAGCGTTAGAAATATTCTATAACAAATAATCATATACTACATAGAATAAAAAAAAAATTACTACGTAAAGCGTGTTAGGAAACAATATGCTATGAGAATTAATAACTAATTCCGCAAATTGTTTGAGTGAAATGAAATGTTTGCTTGTGGTTTTGTTACAGCATAATGTTGTCGATTCAAATTGCGGTGGAGGGCTGCTGTCTGGGGGCGAGGGCTTATTTATCAATTCAAACTTTATATTACATATAATGGGCCACAGTTAGCTACTATTGCTCAATACAAGCCCACATTCACCCTTTGTTTTATAGGGATAAGAGCCTGTTTTGTTAAAGTTTCTTTTTTATTTCATGTTATTAAATCACTTCTTTTTTCTTGAAACTTAAAACAAACGGGTATTGAGTGAAACCGAATCGAATATCATTTCAAGGTGACACAAAAAAGTAGTTAGTTGATTTTTGTTGGAAGGGGCGTAATTAGAAATTACTTCGCTCATGCTGTTAAAGAAGCCTCGAGAAAAAATAAAAATGTGGGTCTATTATGGTTTTATGTATCATTCCATTCTTATGTTGCCTTCTTGTGCCTTGCAAGTCATACTACAATATTCATGATATAATGTTTTCCGATAACTCGTTTTGGAATTGAAGAACTCAACAATTGAGTTATGTATATCAAATAAGTAAATTATAATAACGTGTTACACATCTCAAGAAGGTATAAATGTGCGATACTGTAGTGTCTCTAAACAGAGAAGAGAATGGAAAAATTATGGAGTGGGGAAAAAATAAAATTAAAAGAATCACAATGTTGGTAAAATCTACACCTTATCATCGTTCTCACTAGGCTGTACCATTGAAATTTCTGAAGCTCTTCTTCTAAGACAAATCATGGCCATCCACACAAGACCCTTCACAATCCTCACCATCCCAATTGTGACAATAACATAATAGAGCCACCACCCAACAAAGTCAATTAGTCTCACATCCATCAATAGCTCTTTCTTTGCTTCAACCATAATCACCAAAGTCTCCACCTCTTCCCTCAACCTCCACCACCACAACATGCCTAAGCTAGCAGCCATACCCACCCTCTCAACCCATCTTTCTTTTCTCAAAACACCGAACACCGTGTCATCCACCACTGGCCTCACCACCATTCTACACCAAACCTGCGTTGTCTCGTGCAAACCCAAGAGAAAAACCACTCTGCTCAGAAGACTCCTTTCAACGCCAAAACTCGAGTCAGTGTCATAAAGCCCCGCCTCAATGCTTCCCTCAATGCCCAAACCCACACAAACTTGGAAAGTGCAAAGGAGAATCCATGCAGTGTAGAGACGAGGATGAAGAACACTACTTGATGTTGATGATGATGATGACTCATTCAAAATGGTGATTTTACCCGTCAAGCTGTGGATAAGGGAAACTATGCTAACAAAGGACACGAGAACGTTGAGAATGAAGGGGTTGATATGCATGGCAAGTGTTAAAACATAGGGAAAGGGGTTTGGTGAATGGTACCAAGTGAAGCTTTGAAGAAAGTATTGAGCATCGGAGAATCTTGCAAGGAGAAGAAACGAGAGGGGTAGGAGGAGGGTGAGGATGGTAAGGGTGAAGAGGTAGAAGACCTCTTTTGGTGTTGAAGTTGCGTAGTCGAAGAGGTTTTTGGATTTCTGCTGCAAACCCATAGCCACAATGATTGTGTGCAGCAAACACGTCCTTATTTATTTACAAGCCACGAGAAGTTCAACGTTAAGGTGTGTGTCTCTCTTTATATGTGACTTAACAACTTGTTGCTGGAAAAGGAATTTAAAGTGGTTGTCACGTCCCTTGTTTGTTTAGTTGACATTTTTATAGTGCATGGTCTGGAATCCTGTTAGCAATATATAGGTATCTGTGTCCATCAATATAATTAAATTATATCAACTTGGTTTTTCTCTTTTTCGTTTGCGCGTTGGTTTGGCACAAATGATGGTATCGGTACTTCGGAGTTTGGATTGGACTTAGGGGGTGTTTGGCTCTAAATTTGGCAGATAACAAGCCATTTGGAAATTTAGAGGACATCTATTTGGCAGTTCCGTGGCTCCCACCTTCAATTGTTTTATAAGATTGACCCAACAAAACATCCATAATACATTTTTTATACGTTTTAAATTTTGGCATGTCTTTAATATAAAATAATCGGAAGATGGAGAATCATTATTCCACAAACAGGGTTTTAGTAATCAATCTTTGTATTATACATTTTAATAATTATTCGTGAAAAAATTTTATAATTATGTGGACATCTTGATCTTGTGACATGTGTTTTATGAGTTTTCATATGAAACTAAATTCATATTTTTTCTTTCATCAATTTTCCAAACAAGTGAGATTTAAATATTTTTATAAATATATAATTTTTTCCATCAACACTAAATATAATTAAAAATTTGCAAATTATTATTAAAACAATGTTTTATTGAAAATTTTAAATTTTATAATTTTAAGAACTTTAAAACATATCATTCTTTTTATTTTTTAATTTAATTTTTCATTACCAATGAAAACATTTTTCTTAATGTTTAAAAATGTTTACATATATTTATTTGTAAATTAACTTGTACAATACAACTAATATTTAATAGTTTAGTATAATAACATTGGCAAATTTACTAGTTAATAAAGTAGGGGTTTGTGCCAAAAAAAAGAAGAAGGAAGAGGTAAACTATTACTAAAGTTCAGAATTAGATGATCTCCAAAAAACACTCTCGCAAACATCAAACTCAGTCATCCACGTTACATCTCTAAGTTCAAAATAAATGCATGTTGTTAGATGCATTTAATGGTTAAAAATTAAAACCCAGAAGAACAAGCATGTTGGAATATTCTAATATCACGTTAGGATTTAAACATTTTGATTTCATACAGTAAGCAATTCAGTAGATAGTGCTTGTGTTTATTAACGATAAGTAGGAAGAAACTCTTGACGATGGAGAGTGAGTGTCAGCAATAGGTGACTCTTGAAGTTTTAACTACCAATGGAATGGATTAATTTTAAAGGTTGGGCAGTTATCTTACAACAAAGGTAGAGAGTCCTTGTTTGGATGGATTATTTCCTTTTCTTTCTTTATGTCCTGTTTTGTATGGGACAAGAAAGCTCATAAAATGGCTTTCCTCAACTCACAGCTGATTCGAATTCGCCTACTGAAACACTGAGCTTGAATTTACATTGAAGTTTATACTTTTTTACCTCAATCTCATCAATCACAGAGTAGACAAAGTTCCAAAAAAATCAAATTTTATTGGTGTTGAAATATATTTTTTAAATTTAAATCAAATTTAAACATCCTAAAGTTATAGTAAATTAAATAGTCCGTTTTATTAGCTCTAAATAGGGGATCTTTTTTTTTGCATTTTTTTTACATTCTATTGATTTTTTATATAATTATTTTTAAATACTCTTAACAAAAAAATTATTATTTATTATTTATTATTTTTAAAAATTTTAAAATAATGTTCTTCTCTTTTGAAATTTAACTCTTCATTTTTACTGTCATTGCATTTTCTTTTCATTGCTTCAAGTTTCGTTGTTCCTTCATTGTCACTTTGTTCCTTCATCATTACTCTCCATACGCTTCCATTATTTTAAACATACTATAAGAAATAAATTTATTGTAAGAAATGACATCTTTCTTAGCCTCTGCCAAGCTATCAATGCTGGTACTTTTTAAGTTTCTAAAATTAGAATTTTACACTCTAAAAAATTAATTTTTAGAATTATTAACAAATTTCAAAATAAGTTTTGAAATTAAGATTCTACATTTCTGAAAAATATTTTCCAGAGTTAAGTTTTTACACTTCCAAAAATTAATTTCTAAAATTATTAATCATTTTCTAAAATAAAATTTTAAAATTTAGATTTTACATTTCCAAAAATTAATTTTTGGAATTAAATTTTTACACTTTAAAAAAGTTCAAAATTATTAACCATTTTCAAAAATAAATTTTTAAAATTAGGATTCTACACTTTTGAAAATTAATTTCCAAACTTAATTTTTTTTACTTCCAAAAATTAATTTCCATAAAGATTAACAATTTTCAAAAATAGAAATCTACATTTTTAGGAATTAATTTATAAAATTCAACTTTTACACATCCAGAATTTTACTTACAAAATATAAACTATTTTCAAAATTAAATTTATACACTTTCAAAATAAGTTTTTAGATTTAAAATAAATTAAAGAAAACAAAGTTACAAATTATATATATATATATATATATATATATATATATATATATATATGTGGGATAGGATCCATTGACACCAAATAATTTACACTAAATTTCAATCATACAAATCAAATAATCTATTGATTAAAAAATTACATGAAATATATGTAAAAAATAATAATAAAAAGAGAGAGCGAAGAAAACAACTCCCCTCTAAATAGCATATGAATTTGTTAATAGTTTTTCAAGCCCAACAATTTTTTATTTTCAATCGATTAACCCAACCATCTGAATTGGACAGTCTCTTCCCAGCTGTGGACCCACCTCTATTATGTTTGGTGATTTCCTTTAACAACTTCCTTTCTAAAATTTAATTCTAAAATTGTTTTTATACTTTAATTAGTTGAATTGATTATTATTTTTCAAGTATTTATTTCTGAAATATATGTAAAGAAGAGGTGGGGTAATTAAAACAAAAGAATAAAAATAATTCACCAGGCCCAATGATATTTGATGAAACTCAATTGTCATATCTCGTTGACCATAAACAATTGTCCTATCTTGGATCTATGGGAATTGAAAGAGAGGGATAAGGTCCAATCCAAGTCCAAAAGTGGGATAGCGTTTTTTTTTACAACAGAAAATGAAAAGTTTTTTTTAAAATAAATAAATAAAATGAAAACTAATTTAATTATATTTTAATTGAATATATTTTATTTTAAAATTTTCATTTAAAATAAAAAACCAGAGTAAAGGCAATGGAAATCATATACCATGTTTGTGGATAGGGAGTAATATTCATGTATATGAGTGCAATTGAAAAGTAAAAAATAAGTGGAAATGCAGAAAGGGCACTGGGCTTCTATCCGTGTTTATGGTAATGTCTGTATTGTTTTTTAAACGGAGCTCACAAACTAACACTCGTCAAACTATATGACACAATCCCACCCAATCCATTAACCCAAACTGGTAAGCAATCCATTGATATTTGGAAGCAATTTTTTAATGGTTATTTAAAATTTTAGATATTTTTGTGTTATTAGTTAACATGATAGCATTAAGTTAAAAATATACTTTTTGTCAAATAAAAAATTACCATATTTAGTTATATGAATCACTAATTAAGCTTTATAATTTTTTTTTCTAACATGACCATATGTCATATATTCAATAACTTGAAAGAATTTAATGTTTTTAATTATGTTAATAAATAATATTTTTTATTAAAATTTTAATATTTAATAATATTATGTTTGAATTATGTAACTTTTAATAAAAAATTATAAATTATAAATTATTGCTATGTGTATTTAAATAACATTTTTAACATGTCAGCTTAGTAATTTTAGTCAAAATATTAGATATTTTGTGATAATTATTTTTTCACTTATTAAAATATCAAATTTTATTTAAAATAAATATTTTCTCTCTCTCTCTTTAGATCCTAATTCCTAATCTCATATATTATAAAGTTCTTTAAATTTTATTAAATCTTCACTAAATTTCTTAATTTTAAACTTTTAAAGTTATCTAATATCTTAATACTACCACAAATCTTTAAATTTTGCATAATTTTAAAAATAAAAAAAATTAATTAACCAAAATAAGTCAACACTAAAATCGTGTATAATTTAAATAAAAAAAATAAAAGTATGATTAAACTTTTTTATATTTAATATCCAACTTTTTATTAGATAAACACTTACTTTAATATCTAAAATATGCAATTTGATTAATGTTAATTCTTAAAATTTTAAATATAAAATTTAGTTCTTAAAATTCACAATTGTTAATCATATTAACCATTGTAATTGTAATATTTAAATTTAAATAACAAATTGATGATGTAACAAGTGACACGTGACATTTAATTATGGATACAAAATGATATTATTTCAAATTTTTTTAAAAATAAGTCATCTTTATTTTGAATTTAAAATTTTTAATTAATAAAATTTCTATGTCGTCTTTTGCTTCACATTCATTTATGGTGTTTGTTTTTTACGTTAGTTAAAATTTTCAAGTTCAAAACTTAAATTTAGTGGTTTAGGTGAAAAAACTTAAAACAAAAATATTTTGTAGCATGAACATTATTACAAAAATGAATAAGGAAGGAAAAAAAAAGACATAAAAAAGAAGAAAATAAAAGACAAAGTAAATACCTTATTGTCAAAAAAAATTTAAAAGTTAAAAACAAATATAAAATTTTAAAATAATTTTAAAACAACTTCATTTTACATTTAAAGTAGATTGTCACATTATTTAATATGATAAATTATTACTTTAATATTTAATTTTAACATCTTTTAATAATAAAAATTAACATGATCAACAATTATTAATTTTAAAAACTAAAATTTTAAATTTAAAAAAAATTTATAACAAATAAAGTGAAGGTTTACTCATTATTTTATTGTATATTTTAATTATTTTCTATAAAGAAGTAAGTATTTATTCTAAATGACCCCAAAGAACTTTAAAAAAATGAATTTTGTTATCATAAATTCCAATAACTAATTTAATGTAATTAAAAGTAAAATATTTAATTAAAAAAATACAAAAATAAATAATTTTTATTGAAATACTTTAATTTGGTTATTTAAAATCAATCTCAAAATTAACGTTAACAAATCTAAAAACATTTAGCAAAATAGATTACTATATGCATTAAAGTACTAATGACCGGACATGGTTTTGATGGTGTGTGATTGGAAGCTCCCAATCTCATATTTCCTTACAAATGGGATTTCATTGAGGCTCTCTTTGGTTCCACATAGGATATGTATTGCACGTGGCAGTGAGGGATTATCTGCAGTGACGAGCATGGCCAACCTTAGTGCAGCCAATTCTGAAAAATATCTTTTTATTTAAGGCTGCTTAATAATATAATGCAAGGTGGGGTTGCTGGGGCTGGTGGTAGTGATATGTGCATACTTGCTCATACCTTTATATTAAATGAGGGAAAAGAAAGAGAGAAAGCAACTTGAAGGCTTTGCCATTATCTCTTCCTTCCTACACTATACTTCTCTCTCTCATCCATAAGGAACTTTGATCTTGATCCACTCACCTCTCAAACCTCCATTTCATCAGATAAAGCTTGAAGCAAGAGATTGAAAAAATGAGGAATTTACATACAACTATGGACAGTAATACTAATGCCTCCCTCCAACTTGAGTCAGAGGCATCTTCAGAGCTCAAATCAGAAACTCAAACATCCAAGAAAAGGTGGGTTAGTGCTTGGAAACAAAAAAAGAAAAAGGGAAAGTAGACAAAATTTGCAGTGTCTACTCAAATTTGGTTGATAACAAGTTTTGTTTTTTTCTTACTCTTTCTAGTTTTGGCAAACTGTTGCTTCTAAGTTTTATATATGTTTTGCATGTCACAGGAAAATGGTTCAGAAAACAGTTGTGGCAGTGAGGATAGGAGAGAATGTTAGCAAGCTGAAGAATGAAGGGTTACCTTCTGATTTTTGGTCTTGGAGAAAATATGGACAAAAGCCAATCAAAGGGTCTCCATATCCAAGGTGTACATTCTTTCTACTACGCGATGTTGGTCTGTTTCTTGATCCACATGGACCCATAATTTTCCAAACCCACATAAAAACTACAATTCAGAAAAATAGAAGTGATAAATTTAGTGCTTAGCTTTTAGCTCTCGTCACCGTTCATAATCAATTGGGTATATCTACTTAACTAGATTCCCAGACCCTAAGATCTTGAGAGGCAGGAAAATCCAAAGGAATTAATTGCATAATTAAATTACGTTAATTTTGAAAAAGAAAAAAAACTTCAAGCTTTCACACACTATTTTAAACACAAGCTAACTCGTGCTAACTTCATTCATATTCTAAGTTTAACCCCAGGTTTTGTCTCCAACTTGCAAGATCTTAAAAGTGTGTTGGTTTTGCTATGATTGTGTAGGGGTTATTACAGGTGCAGCACATCCAAAGGTTGTTCAGCCAAAAAGCAAGTAGAGAGATGCAAGACAGATTCTTCAATGCTCATCATTACCTACACCTCTACACATAACCATCCAGGCCCAACTACAATTACCACCACAAATTCACCACCCCAACAACCAAATGAAACCGAAAATACCGAAGATCTCTCAGCTACATCAAAGGAGGATGACCAAGAACATATAGAAGAACAAACAAATAATAATCATAAGCCTACTCTTATGATCAATGATGAGGGTACAAGTGAAGAAAATTTTCATTACTTGCAATCTCCAATTCCCGAATACATCATTGTAGATCAAGAAGATCCTTTCAAACTAAACATGGAGAAAAGCCATGAAAGCATAGATATCCTCTTAGAGGAAGAGCCCTTTTGTTACCCACAGTTGAAGAGCTTTTCTACTTCCAAATCAGAAGAACTTGACTTTTTCGATGAGCTTGAGGAGTTACCCATGTCTTCATCTTTCTTACACTTTACGAGGAGCGTTTTTTCTGATGAAAGGATTCCCGTTGCCCCTTCTTGATTCAAGTGTTTTCTTGGTGCTTGCTTGCTAGTTAGTGTATGTATTGTTATCATCCATGCTATATATCCATTTCAGCTAGTTTTTCAATTCGGAATTTTTTTCGTCTTTATTTAAATCCGATACTGTGTTTTTTGCAAACAAGAATAGTTCATCACCTTGTCATGGGCAGAGTTCGTGTGTTGACAAAATCATCAGATCTTGAATAAGGATTTATGGTTCACAATCACTGCTATATAATTATTTTTATATATTCAATTTTTCTGCACTATGCATTAGGTTTAGGTGCATGTATGGCTTTATTTTTTAATCTTTAGCCTCCTAATATTACAATAAAAACACGTTTTGTAAGATATGCAATATTCAACAGAATAAAAAATTAAATAAAATAATTTTTAATTAAAATTATAATATTTAATACTATAAATGCATTGAATTTTGTAATAAAAATTTATTATCTTATGTAATGTTACAGGGGTTATTAAAATTGTTTATGTTTTAATGTATCAAAAAATAATTTAGACGGTGGAGATCTTCTGTAAAGAATAGTGATTGAAGCACGTGGGGATGGAGAAGGCAAAGAGAAGAATGAAGATGGAGGAGTGGAGGTTATTGTCATTTACTTCTACTAAAAGAAAGCACGAGGTTCGCGAGTGAGCGCTCTTTTGTCTTTGCAGCACTTAGCATAATGAGGGGTTTCTTTTTCTTGGAAAGTGTTTTATTTATTCTGAGGATATATAATTAAAAAAAATATATGCTATTTTTTTTAATGAAAAATCAAGAATGTTATAAAATAATATATATTAATGATATTAAATATTATAATTTTTAATACAATTTATTATTTATTAATTTTTTTATTATGAATCTTTAGATATATGTTAAAATTATTTGTTTATTTATTTTGCTGGCACGAATCTTGAGTGGTTCGTTTCGTGGAACAGTTGCCTGTGAGGCTGTGCCAAACCATTTTTGGCAGTACTCAAACAGTGATGGAGATCATCCAAAAGTTGAGAGTTCCGTCACACAAGGGGTATGTTTCTAAAATATGATGAATTTTAAAATACAATATGACTAAAATATAATATATAAAATTAATAATCATAACCTCAAAATATTTTTTTAAATTATAATAAAGGCATTAATAATTCATATATTAACTATACATAACAAAATGTCATATATTTAATTACTATAATATCGTGTTTGATAATAAATATTAATAGGTTTAAGTATGTCCGACAAAAAATATGGCTTTTATTTCAATTTTTATAAAAGTTTTATTCCATTTTTTTTTGCTATTAGTTTTATTCCATTTTAATTCTTGCACTGAATCAAAATTATATAAATTTAATTTTTACTTAGGGACTAAAAATTATAATTTTTAAGAACGATAACAAATAAAAATTTCATAGATACTGAAATTTAAAAAATGCACTTTTTATAGATTAAAAATGTTTAAATTGTTAATCATTCAAATTAAAAGGTATAATAAAATGTTTCTAAAAATATAAGTATCAAATATTGTTCGCCGACGTGCAGTCATTTTAAATTATAAGGGCTTCTTGTTCATTAGTGGTTATGTAAAACATTGCTGCACTCATTATTCTACATTTTATTTTCAATAATGGTAACCTTGTTTTTCTTGATTAAATTATGCTTGTTTTTATGCTAGCCTATAAGTAAATAGTTTTATGATTTATCTTTGTTGCATGATTGATTGTTTGATGCATCGGAATTTTTTTTAAAGTGGGTAGACGTAAGTAATCCAACCTAATCCTTTTCTCATATTTTATTATTCTACCCCCTAACTTTAAGAACCGATTATATGAACAGGGACCAAAGAGGTCACAATTGCCCGGTGTCGTTTTCATTATTATTGTTATGAGAATCCAAATGCAGGGATTTTATCCAATAACTGGGAATCCAAATCCCAAAACAAACACGTACCCGGGTGTATTCGACCTGTGCATACACATATACAATCATACAGACGTGAGAACATCACAGTGAAAGATTGAGGATTTAGATTTTTTCCTAGTTAAAATCACGAAGAAGTTAGCTGTTAATGTTATCCTAAAACTACCCTCAAATCACTGGGCGCCACCCAAAATGTTTTATAACAAAATAAAGTTAGACTCAAAAACCCAGAAGATCGTTCTTATTTAACACTATGCTTTAATAATTTTACCCGGCAATGAAGCAATAGTCTCAAGTTCAAACGCTAGCTAGATCTTTACCCTCTGCTGCAGCAGGCAATGGCTGGAGAGCTTTGAGAGGATTCATAATGACACAGTCGATGAGTCCATATTCTTTGGCTTCTTTTGCACTCATGAAAAAATCACGGTCTGTATCCTGGTTGATCTTTTCTAAACTTTGGCCAGTGTGATAGGATAGATATCCATTCAGGTTTGCCTTATGATGCAGCATTTCATTTGCCTGAGGAGGATCATGACTGAATTAGTTTATCTAATAACTTATAATACTTTAAAAGCAATGGAACTAGCAAATCCATCAGGTCCTCCTTGGGTAAAGAAATGGATGGTATCGCTGCTAAATAGTAAGATGCCCAAAACAACGAGGAATTCAGACCAACCAAAATTCTACTAAAACAAAAACAAAATAATGGTAAGGACCGGACAAGAAAAGCAATTTAAGGATTTTGGGCTTCTTTTACTGTCTTTATATTCCAATATACAAAAACTAATTTTATATTGGATTGGATTAATTTATCTGACCACTGAAAGATTGAATTGCTTAGATGATGCTTTTTACGAGTTGCTTAGGTTGATTAATTGGCAAAAATGCAAAAAAATGCATAAAAAAAAAATATAAGCATATAAACTAGATGATAGTCAAGCCTAGATATAGGAGCAAACAACAGGTTTATGCAATAGAAGGTGGAAAATGAAACGTGTACCTGAATATCTATGTCACTTTGTGCTCCTTGAGCTCCACCAAGGGGTTGGTGAATCATTATCCTTGAATTTGGTAAGCTGTATCGCTTTCCTTCAGAAGTGAGGAAGGATATAAAGTTAGAAGGAGCATTTTTCTTTTATGAAAACAATAACAACAATCAAGTCTTATCTCACCATGTGAAAATGAGAAACAACAAAAAATGAAAACAATGAACAAATACATAGGATGATTGCAAGTTGAAGAAATCATACCTTTGGTCCCTGCGCTAAGCAGAAAAGCACCCATACTGTTCACAAAAAGGTCAATGATATAAAAGTATGGAACGGTAATACCAAGCATAGAATCAACTATCAATTAATTTCAGTGGCCTATTATTAAGGCAAACATGAAATAGAGACTGGTGTACAACAGGATGCAAGTGGGGTGGATAGTAAAAAAGTCAAAAAAGAGAGTAAATTCAATACAGCATAGATGAAAATATTGAGGTTGGATGGGTGGACACATTAGATGAGACAAGATTAAAAATGAATGCACGAGAGAGAGTTAGAGTAACACCTGTTATAGAAAAAGAGCTACCATCTCACCTTAGATGATTTTATAAGAATCCTAGAGAAAATTCTCTAGTGAAGTAGTATTACTGAATTCAAAGAAGGTCAGTGAGCCTTACATGGCAACCAAAACCAGATCCTAACGTCGTGTAGTTGAACTGAGCTACTAACATCTGTGACTAAGTTCAACAGAGCTAGTCAACTCAGGTTCTTGGGACCTGGCAACTAGATATTGATGGAATGTGAGAAAAGCTATAAGCTAAACTATTAAAAAGACTTGGAAGACTGATTTATCAATAGACATAATTTACAACAAAACATTGTGGCATCATTTGGTCTATGTACCCGACCCCGTAGTGAAAAAAAGGCTTGGTTGTTGTTGTACTATTAATGCTTATAGGGAATTTAAATTCCTGGAACTATTCCATGTGCATATCATCATAGCACATAACAAATACATTGAGGATGGATGTTAAGATAATAAATAATTGATGTATTAATTCACCTAGCATTCAGCAAAAATAAGCATGAGTTTTGCTGCCACATTAAGATCAAGGGATGATAGAGCTTTTACTAGGGGTAACTTGGGAGAATGTGATCTTGCCCAGAAAAAGAACTATACATTACCTAGCTGCTAGTCCAACACAAACAGTGGACACGTCAGGTCGTATATGCCTCATTGTATCAAATATTGCCATGCCTAACAAAAAGGAGAAGGGAAGCACATCAGTTTATAAATAACATAGTAAGTTGCCTTTTAAGTCTATTCATAGATTGAATCCAGTAAAACTAAAGTGAAGCAGATTCACATTATAATGATTACCAGCTGTAACTGATCCTCCTGGAGAATTTACATACATGACAATATCCTGATCAACATAATTAGTAGTTGATTAAGTACTTTCATTACCAAAATTGAGTTGAAAAGATACTCAAAAAGGTAAAAAATTAGCAGAAGCAGGGTGACTATCATATTATAAATGAGGGGAAACCAAAATATAAACATTAAATTTGAATGTCATTCTCAAGAAATGCAAAGGGATTACTTTACAAGGACTCAAAACACAAGAAGATAAACCGTTGGTTTTTAATAACTACAAATGAAGAACAAACCTTATGAGGATCAACAGCATCGAGGTAAAGAAGCTGAGCAACTATGATGTTAGCCATATCATCATCGACCGCTCCCCCACACCGTATTATTCTCTAAACACCAAAACATATTATTAATAATTAAAGACACAGAGTAAATAAAAGCTGAACACTCAACTTTGAAGAAAAACAAGAAGGGCTAAAGAAAGGACCTACATATTGAAAAAGCTGACTAATTACACTCTGAAAACGTTCCTGCACCATTGGTGGAGGCCCTTGTCCCTGTGCATATGCAGGGAAATAAGGAGAAGATGGGACTTGCACATTATCCCTTAAGACATACATAAAAGCATGTCAATGTATGAGACAAAGATGAAAAGCTAAAAGCCTAAAACAAATGAAAAGAGAAAATAAAACACCTTATGGACCAAATTCCCAGACGGGAAGTCCTCTCTGGTGCCCAAAATTCATTAGCATACACAGCCTTCACTGCCACAGGAGAAAATTTAGTCTTCTTTCTATTTCCTACCAATTTCCTGCAAATCATGGCAGGGTTACATCATCCAGATTCCAGACAGAAACAAAATAACCACGGTAACAGAGAATCTTCTAGTTTCCTTCATGCTAAAAAAAATAATAGAAATTTAAGTGCAAAAATAAAAAGAGCAAAAATAGATGGACGTTGTATTCCCAATAATTCATGTTCATAAAAACCCTAAATCCAATATCTCGTAAAATCCAAGAGTAAACTGACAAGCCTTGAACTTGCATTGCGGATAAGTAAACAAGAGAAGACATTCAAAAGAGCTTACAAGGAGAGGCGAGAAGCGTGTGAAGCAAGCGAAAGGGTATGAGTCTGGGAATGAGAGTGAGAAGAAGAAGGGGCAGGAGAGGAACGAACGAGAGAGGTGAACCGAAGAGAGGGTGCGTGCGCCATTCTTGAATTTGCTTTGCTTGCTTCAATTCTAGTAGTTGTTATCCAAGTGCTTCATCAACAGTACCAGTGGTTTTTGCTTTTTAATTTTTTTTTGTTCACTGGCCTGCTATGGTTTAAGCGGACGCAGCATTTTATTAGTCCTGCTGCACTTGTAATGGAATACTTTTCAATCCTTTCGTCATAGATTTTTTTTTTTTCATTTAATGAAAGGTGGATTACTTCACCTTTAAAAAACTAAAAATGGCATTTTTTATTAAAAATATTTTTTATATCAAAATTACAAAAATAATAATATTTTTTAAAACAAAATGATATTATTTTTAGATTCATGTTATAAATTTATTATAAACTTAATCTTTATAGTTAAAGTAACAAAATCGATAATTAATTTATATATATTATAAATTAAAATCTTTATTTTTGAATCATTTTATTGACCTCGATCACTGTTATAAGCTTGGTTGATATGAACATCAATTTTTAATACATAACGCAGTTGACGGACGGTTTCTATTTTATTTTTATTTTTTCAAAAAGTATATTTAAATTTTAAATCTGGATAACAAATTTCTTGAAAACTCCTCAAAATCACAACTAGTAAAAAACTGTTAAGAAGTCCCAAAAAGATGAAATTGGACAAAAAGCAATAAGTAAAATTAGTTAAAAGAGAACAAATATGAGCACTCAGAACATATTTGCTTTAACCTAGAGCCGCTCCCTGAGATAAACATAGAAGGTGCGACCGAACTAGCATAAGCCAGTAAAACTGTGGTACTGACATCAAATAAAAATAACAATACGTTAATTAAACGCAAATAAAAAAAGTTGCTTTAATTTCCCCTACAGTAAATTACTGCCAAAATGATTCATTGAGTGTTGCTACGAAAAAAAGGCAGGGTAATAAACAGAACAAGTTGGGTCTGTCCATGCTGTATCCATTTCCGATTAACTGGATGATTTATCACAAAACCACCCATACCAGCATTGTAAAATATAAAATAAAACAAAATGGGTAATAGAGCTCTCTACCAAATGCTCAACGCACATTTGCTTGGCTAAAGCCTCTGGTCAAAGATAAAAACATCAATGGTGCCATATAACTGGCAGAAGCCTGAAATAGAAGACCATTAACAACATCAACAGGTAGTTTCAGCCGCCATCTTCTCCTGGACGGCCTTGTAGCATTGGAGACTACAAAGAGGAAGCTTTGATTTAGAATCCCGATACTTGTAAGGGTTCACGCAAGATGGACCGGCACACTTCTCGCGAGGTGGAGGATAACTGAAACAATAGAGTGATATCATTAGCAGCTTTGATGTGTTTGCCAAACAAACAGCACAGGTTTCTAACATGTGATCACTGTTGTGTATAAATCAGGGAAACAGCTAAAGCCAAAGGTAATCTCTAAGATTTCCTTTTTGATGAACAGCACAATTTTTAATATCAAAATTTCCAATTTTCTTTGCCAAACATATCTAAAAAAAGTTCCAGGTAGACAGTCTAACAAAGTCCTATACATCAAATTAACGAAGCTCAATACATGCATGAGTATCTACCTTCAGGCCAATGATTGTTGTCAAATCATGGAATCATCTAGAGCCAAAGACAAACACTAAGATTTCTTTTACGATAAATAACACAATTCTTTTAATCAATTTTCATTCTTCTCTTTTTTTGGCCAAAAATAACCAAACAAGTTATCAAGAAGATGGTTTAACAGGTCTCATATATCGAATTTGCATAGCCTCATACCTGACAGGTTTGGAGTTGAATACGCAAGGGAGACCCATTTCCTCAGGAAAAGTCACAATTGTCCCAGTCGGACCCATCACGTATCTGATGGTATTTGATGCAAGCATTCGTGCATTTGCTGCCTTTTCCTGCAAAGAATAGTTTGATAAAAATTGAAAACAGTGCCTAAAAAATTGAAATGTAGGGTAGGAAATTCCAATACCTGTGCCAGCTCTTCCTGGCGCTTCTTCATTTTCTCTTCTCGCTTCTTCCTACTGGAGTCTTGACCAAGTATTTTTCTGATAGCTTCAGCCTACAAAATTAATTTAAATTGACGTGCTTTTTATGTAAAACCAAACGTAATGAGATTGAAAAAACTGTGATTCGTAGTGAACAAAAACACAAAAACAAACCTCAGATTCCCTGGCAGCCTTCTCAACTTGCATTCTCCGCCTCTGGGCAGCCTCAGCTTTCTTCAATTGTTGCTCTACTTCCGTAAGCTTCTCCTTTTGCTCTGCAATTAAGCAACATGGTTAATGACTCTTGTATCAAATTGATACAAGAAAATGAAATACAGATAAATGCTCACTTCTAGGCGGGGCTGGTGGTAATCCGTTGGGAAACTCAATTAAACTAGTGCCAGACGCAGAGGCATCTTTGCTTGATTGAAGGGCCCGTTGACGTGTTGTAAGAGTCATTTCCCTCTTGCTGTCCATCAATACATCAACAGATTCCTTCCTCTGTTTTTTCTTTTTCTTATCCTCAAGCTCACCATCAGACCCTGACTCCTCTTCACCCTCATAATCTGTGTCCTCATACATTCTATCAGATCTAGACCTTTTCTTACCATCTTTACCTGACCTTGACAAGGTAGCATTTTCCATATTAGAGACACTAGAGAGTTTTCGGTGCTTTTTGCCTACTTCCTCTTCATCTCTATAGACTGCAGAAACTTTTGATGTTTTCAGCTTTTCCAAGTATCGAATCTCATCATCCTCGTCATCTTCATCACCAAATTCTCCATCAAGTACACGTCTCTTCGGCACTCGCTTGCTCTTACGAACTGGTTCAGACTTGTCTCCCAGCTTACTAGATGCATTCTTTCCAGATATCTTCCCCATCAGAGATTCCTCCTTCCCTAGACCAAAACCACCCCTCGAGAAATCCTTCCATGGAACACCCTGTAGACCACTCCTCTTATCAGAAGGAGAATTATTATCATCTGAATTACTCTGTAATAACACAGATTGATGAGAGCAATAAAGTTGGATTCTACAATTTAAAAATGTAATGATAAATCATTACATTTATGGATAAGAAATCAAGACCAAATATATTCTTCTATAAAAGTAAGATCTAAGAAGCCACCACTCTTGCAGATGGGTCAGATAAGATATGCCTTTATAATCTTGTGAAATGACATTCTGTAGACTTCCCACCGATTAAGGATTAATTATGAAAAAGACAAATATCCTATAACCAATACCCATATAAGGCATCAAGGAGCAACTAAGTTTTGGGTGGAAGCACTTAAATGATTTTAAATCTCGAATGCTCTCCTTCATGCAGGTGCTCCTTGGGCATGAAGCATTGACAAGGCAAATGCCCACCTTACCTTTTGTTGAAATTTAACATAATTATGAAGTACTGGGTCAACATGGATCAAATTTGAAACTAATTGATAATAGAGGCTCTGATAACAAATCAAGGACCAATTCTCCTAAGAGTTAAAATTTTTATGTGGAAACAATTGAATAGTTTTATCTCTCTATCATATTATATATCTATAAATGTTGAGGAGTAAGATGACATCATAAATTCCAATATAAGCTACGGTTACATCCAAAACATAAATACCTGGTGCTTTTGGCGTGGTCTGGAGGCATCTGATGAACGAGAGCTCTTTGCAGTTGACCCACTTCCTGAAGCACCATTGGATGCTGAGTTGGCTTGAATAGTACGTGTAACACCGCCAACCTTGAGTTTAACCTTCTTAACCCTGTTCTCACTCCCTGATCCATCCTGAGAAGAACCACCAAACTGCCCCAAACTCAGACTCTCGGGATTCCTTCCGGCATATAAGTCTGGATTTCTTGACTCTGAATCGAAGTTATCCTTCACTTTGCTAGAACCTTTCCAATTTGCCGGGGCAAGAACGCCTTCACTACAGCGTTTATTATGTAAACCACTTCGTCCAGGCTCATTATTATAAAACGCATGGAACCCTCCATCCTTTTTACTCTTTTTATGGAATTTATCATCATCAACGCCAGTACCAGACGAGGTCTGCGAGACGCAATGGTTAAGATTGAATTCCTTTCTCTTGGAATTAGTATCAAAACCAGCGTTCTCATCACTGGAGGCCTTGCCGGCATCCTCTGAAGGCGGTGTGGATGACATGGGAGACAGCTCCTGACCTTCAGAAACAGGCTGTGAATCAGGTCGAGGCCTGCGCGAAGTTTGACTCCTCTTCCTTCTCACAGCATTGCTGAGGCCATCAAATCGACTACCGCCTAAATCTTCCATTAAAAGACTTGTTATTGTACAACAGCAAAGTTTCTGTTGCACTTTCAACTACTCCTGAGGGAAAACCCTCATAAAACAATATTGCTTCCGCTGCAATTGAGTTACCCAAAACCATCAGCATTCACATTGATCATTCTTAAAACCAAACCATATTATTTCCTATCTACCCCAATTGCAACTTCTTTATCCCGCTGTTTTTAAAATAAATAAAAAAAGGAGTTTAACACAGTGAAACCCAAAGTTGAATTTTATTTAAGCTTATTTTTTAACATGATTTTAAATTGACTACAACCTTTGAACTATACAGAAGTCGTGCAGCATTTGTGTATCAAAATCCACCAATACGAAATTCAAAAACACCCTTGTGTTAGGAACGAGAATTTTGAAACCTAATCACATAATAAAAGAGTAGAAGCAAAACAAACACATAAAAATGAGAGATTCAGTAAAATTGAAAAGAAGCAAGGGTGAATCGGGTAAAGACCTCGCAGTTTGTACAAATATTTCCCCAATTTTCCCTCGCTGTTGTTAGCAGTAACCCTTAGCCATAGGCGTGGGATCAAAGGGGAAAGAGTTGTTGAAGCGAAGGGTTATGTCGTGTGTGCTCTCTTCTTCAAATTGAGGAATTTGGGTATCCGAAGAGTGGGAGTGTCAAAGGTGGGGTATTTGACGTGTGCGACGAGGGTTTGGGGAAGATGGCGAAAGAAGAAGATGATGAAAACAGAGACGAGTTTTTGCAATACAACCAAATAGGGGTTCATCTGCTGCTGATTCTTCTGAAAGAGCCATATTTGGAAGACCGATAAAACTCATAAAAGTGCATGCGTGAAAAATTTATGTATTATAACCTTTTTCTTTTTCTTTTTTTCTCATGCGTTGTTTCAGTATTTCTATGTATTTCAATTAAAGGGGAGTTAATTTTACTAGCACTGAGTTTAACCATTTATAATATATATATATATATATATATATATATATATATATATAATATTTGTTCTCAATTTTAACGGTTGAGGTTAAATCTTTTTTAACTTCTAACTTTTAAAACTTGACACTGAATTTAATTATTTATAAATAATAAATATTTTTTAAAATATTATTATTATTATTAGTTTTTTTAACCTTAAAAGTCAGTGTTGATATATTTTTAATATGATATTTTTAAAAATATTAATTTTAATTTTAAAAATAGGAGAAATAATCACGCATGTCAAGAATGGAAATATATATATATATATATATATATATATATATATATATATTATAGGAGGACTGATATGTTTCTAAAAATATAATTAAATTTAAACATAACAAGTACCTTCGAATATTATGAAATCTGAGTTTAAATTTGAATAATATTTTATGAAGGTTTGCCGTTAGAGACGTAAATTTAGATAGTTGTATTACTTTTTTTCGCATACATTTTATAATTAGTTTTTGGAAGATATCTTTTCTTATTAGTATTTTTAATATAAAAGTAGCATTTGTGTTATATAATTTATTCAATAAATAACATGTCAAAATAATATTATATTTCATTTGACTAAAATACCACTAATTGAGTTGGAATCAAGCATATGGGTATTGAAAGATATTGTTTGTGCATACATATATGATTTCAAGCACGGGTGTGTTTTCAGATGTGGGTATGCGTACGTATATTACGAGGGTTTGTGCGATATTGTTTAAATTGGCTAACATTGTAAGTAATTTTTTTAATACGAAACATGACAAAATTTTGACCAATTTACTATCAAAATTCAACATTAAATAGCTTCCATCAAGAGTATAAAATAGTTAAGTAGAGCACTTGAATTAACTCGTACAAAAAAAAGCTAAGAGATTAAATTCTATATTTTTAAATTCATGAGACAATATAAAGTGCAAATTAAGACTCAGTTTAAATTAACTTCTCACTAAGTGCTTATGTGAGACAAAAATAATATGTAAACTGAATTAAATTTTGTTTATAAGTTAAAACCAATTTATATTTTTTTAATAATTTTTTAAAAGATTAAATGATAAATTTTATTTATTTATTATTAAAAATTATTATTTTAATTTTTTATATAAATACAATCTTTAACTTCAATAATCCTAAATTTACTTGGAGGATTTTGATAATCATGCTTGTATCCAGCTATGATCAGTTGGATTGGGCCAAGTTATATGCACCAAGAGCAATTACGAAAAAAATTGAAAATTTTAAATTCAATGAAAGTATTTTATAGAAAAACGATTTTAATCAATATCTTCTAAAAAGGTTTTCATAAGATGATATTTATCTAATTTAAAATTTAAGAAGAGAAAATTTTAACATTTTAAAGGTTTACAGTAATATTTAAACATTTTTTTACCGAAAAGGCGGCAGGTATAATTTTTTAAAAGTGAAATGCTTCAATACTCAATAGCTAGATTTAATCTCACGGTTATATTTAAAAATAGTTTGTCAAAAAGGGTAATAAGTCAAACATGAATTTTTTTTAAAAGATTTTAACATTTAACATACATAGCTAGATCACGTCCTTCTCTCCTTGTTTTGTCCATTCCATAATCGTTTTCGTTTTCTTTGTTCGTCGATTTTAAAAGTGATCAATGCATACTTTCAAATCATTATATAATCGATTTGTCAATTAATATACCTCAGCTTATCCAATTACAATAAATTAAGAAATTCCATTGAACATTAATGTTATGGTGCTTAGTACGGTTTACTATGAGCTCGATGTGGAAACGATCTTTGCTTTAATTCAAAGCTTCATTTCTCCAAAATGAACACAAAATTGATCTAACGCAAATAATTAAGAACCTGACGCGAAGCTCAACAAATGCACACCATCAAACAGAAAATTCCTCAACATTTTAAAAAGAAGTGAAGCGCAAAACCAATGAAGAAACCATAAAAATATAAAAAATGTCCCCTCTACCATTGCATGATCCAATCATATCTACGTGCATTTAACTATATACGTTATTGTCAAATATCATCCCTCAATAAAAAATTTAAAAGGGTGGAGAGCTCGATCTGCAGTTCTTGTTGTAAAACCACACAAAATCTTGGTCACAACATGCAACCAAACAACAACGATATTCCAACAATTAGTTTATAGCAACTACCGCAAGTCCTCCTCCCTCCAACGTTGTCCAACATTGAACATTCACAGTTAAAAGAATTAATTAAATAGCAAACTGGTTATTATTATTAACTATTCCATCTATGATGGTCAAGCAATTGCTACCATGCTGAGACACAGCAAAAGAGTCATCAGCGAAGGGAATGTCAACTCCAGGAGATTCCAGAAAAGCATACTCACAAGCTAAGCTTTTGGACAACACTAAGTTAAACTTGTAATAAGCATCGACCACGTTTTGTTGGTTTAACAAGTCTATGGCTTCTTTGATGGTATACAAAATGGTGTTGTATTGTGACTTGCATAAGTAAAGTGCTTTAAGTGCCCTTTTATTGGTGGTGGGGCTGCTGATTGATTTGGCAATGATACGAGAAACCTTCAAGCTTTGGTTTAAGGTGGCCTTCATTTCAATCTCGAGTGCCTTAAGGGGGTCAAAAGAACTTTGGAAATATGGGGCAATGGTTTCTGCACAAAAGGTTGGGTTCTCTGTGCCTCTACAAAATTCTAATACCTCAGGCTCGGGCTTGAATATGTGTTCGCCAACTTTGATTGCTTCCTTCAAGATAGAGTCTATGTCATTGTTTAGGTTAGTTAATGGAGATACATAGGGCACATTATGAGGTGAAGGCATGGCATGGATGGATAAGAGGAGAGAAGATAGAGACACAAAGACGAAAAGGCTTTTATCGATAGCCATTCTCTCTTCTCTTTGAAAAGTGTTCTAAGAGAAGAGAGAATGGTGAAAAAGGTTAAGCCTCACGTCAAAAATGAGAGCAAGTTGGGTGGGAGGTTTTATTTTGGAGCATGGAAATAAAGTCGGTGATGAAAATAGAATGTGGTGGATAAATTCGGTACAACTTGGTTTTGTGGATTATGGGTTCTCGTTAGACGCTGCTACGTACATCTCAGCGGTAATTTAGATTCCTAATGGAAGGCATATATGTGTTTGTGAAAATAGAATGTTATCGCTCATACATGCGAATACCAAGCAAGTTTACATAATTTAAGAGGGATAAAATTTAAAACTATAACTTATACAAACTTAATTAGTATCTATACTCATTTAATAATTTTTTTCTAACACATCATTTTACCTGTCATATTTATCATTTTAATTTGACTTTTAAGTTTCTTTCTTTCTAAGTATAAACGTTTCTAAAGATGTCTGTAAAACATTTTCCTAAAATCAATGGAGCAAGGAGTCAACATATATTTTGCCCTCAATAGGCTTCTCTCTCTCTCTCTCTCTCTCAACGCTGGTGACTTGATATTGCTTTAAATTCATAGATGTGGGAAGCCTTGGAATGTGTGATAGCATGATAAACACCAACTACCCCTTTACAGTATGATATATGAAAATAGTTATATCCGTAATTTCACCTTACAAAAATACGGAATTACGACTTACACACATATAACTAAGAATTTATGATACACAATTAATTAGCACAATATACTTACTTTACATATAATGTGTTATTAGTTTTCACACCACAAAAAAATGCGCATATCTATACAAAAGCTCTTGTAAACGTAAGCTTCCATGATCAAGTTACGCCTGATCCTTTAAAGAAAGCCACTAAAAAAAGAACTTAGTTAGGCATGACAAGACAAGCAGCCAAAACCTACAATGAGAATGCACTGTTTTTTTTTGTCTTCACAAGGGCCTGCTTTACATTACTACTATGCTATCATTTACGTCATTGTGGGTCTACACTAGTAGGCCCAAATACTATCACTTTCTCTTTTACTCAATTTAACGGGCTTTATCTTTTGGTTCGGGTCGGGCACCGCCCACCCATATCTTGAGACCCGTCGTCATCACCTTCCTGCTTTAACCAGAAATCGACCACGGTGGTGTGCAAAATCACTGGTTGCAACGTCCACGCACAGAAACTCAGTTAGGGTTTTATCTTTCTCTTCGTTTCACAACCATCCATGTCGAAGAGGAAGTTCGGAATCGAAGGGTTCGGCATAAATCGCCAATCAACCTACAGTTTCGAACGATCTCAAGCCCCTCAGCGACTCTACGTCCCTCCCTCCTCCCGCCACGGCCACGACAACTACGAAGACACAGACCTCGACAACATCGAGTACGACGACAACGACGGCGCCAAGGAAGACGGCAATAAAAACAATGGCGGCAACGAGGAGGAGGAAATCGATCCCTTAGATGCGTTCATGGAAGGGATTCACGAAGAGATGAGGGCGGCGCCGCCTCCGAAGCCGAAGGAGAAGGTAGAGGATAGGTATAGAGACGACGAAGAGGACGATCCTATGGAGAGCTTTCTGAAGGCAAAGAAGGACCTAGGGTTGACGCTTGCGTCGGAGGCGCTGCACGCTGGTTATGATTCTGATGAAGAGGTTTATGCTGCTGCCAAAGCTGTGGACGCTGGTATGATTGAGTACGATTCTGATGATAACCCTATTATTGTTGACAAGAAGAAAATTGAGCCCATACCTGCTCTTGATCACTCTTCCATTGATTACGATTCCTTTAATAAGGATTTTTATGAGGAGACCCCTTCAATATCAGGTAATTCCATTCCCTAGCATAGCATAACCCCAAAATTCTGTTAGTTATAACTTATAAATCTTTTGTTATCATTTTTTTTAAGGGTTTAGAAGGTGCTCTATTTGTAGTATTGTGAGTGCTTAGCTTTTTTACTTATACTGCAGGTATGAGTGAGCAGGATGTAACTGAATTTAGGAAGAGTTTGGCTATTCGTGTGTCAGGTTTTGATGTTCCTAAGCCAATAAAGGCATTTGAGGACTGTGGGTTCGCTCCACAGATTATGAATGCTATAAAAAAACAAGGGTATGAGAAGCCCACGTCTATACAATGTCAAGCTTTGCCAGTTGTGCTTTCTGGTAGAGATATAATTGGCATAGCAAAAACTGGTTCTGGTAAAACTGCTGCTTTTGTGCTTCCTATGATTGTGCATATCATGGATCAGCCTGAGCTTCAGAAGGAGGAGGGTCCGATAGGGGTGATATGTGCGCCTACCAGAGAATTGGCACATCAGATATATTTGGAATCCAAGAAATTTGCAAAATCGTATGGTATACGCGTCGCTGCTGTGTATGGTGGAATGTCAAAACTTGATCAGTTCAAAGAACTCAAGGCCGGCAGTGAGATTGTTGTTGCTACACCTGGCAGATTGATAGACATGCTAAAAATGAAGGCGTTGACAATGACGAGGGCAACTTACCTGGTGCTTGATGAGGCTGATCGGATGTTTGATCTTGGATTTGAGCCACAAGTGAGGTCCATTGTTGGTCAGATTCGGCCAGACCGTCAAACTTTACTCTTTTCTGCAACGATGCCTCGTAAAGTTGAAAAGTTGGCCAGGGAAATCCTTACTGATCCTATTAGGGTAACTGTTGGTGAGGTTGGAATGGCAAATGAAGATATTACACAAGTTGTTCATGTAATTCCTTCTGATTCTGAAAAATTGCCATGGCTTCTGGAAAAGTTGCCTGAAATGATCGATCAAGGTGATACCCTTGTATTTGCTTCCAAAAAGGCTACTGTGGATGAAATTGAATCACAATTGGCTCAAAGAGGGTTTAAAGTTGCTGCCCTGCATGGTGATAAAGATCAAGCTTCTCGTATGGATATTTTACAGAAGTTTAAATCTGGCCTCTACCATGTGCTTGTTGCAACTGATGTTGCTGCTCGTGGTCTTGATATCAAGTCAATTAAGTCGGTGGTAAACTTTGATATTGCAAAAGATATGGACATGCATGTCCATCGCATTGGAAGAACAGGCCGTGCTGGTGACAAGGATGGGGTTGCATACACCCTAATAAGTCAGAAAGAGGCACGGTTTGCTGGTGAATTGGTTAATAGCTTAATTGCTGCCGGTCAGAATGTGTCCATGGAGTTGATGGATCTTGCTATGAAGGTTAGAGTGCCCTTCATGACATTCTTCATTTCATCAATGTATTTTGATGTTTATGCAACTTGTTTAATGATTCTAGACTCTCCTATGCAAGGTTTTGTAGAATCTCATATTCATCCTTGTATGATACTCTTGTTGACTTTGTTTGTTCATTGTAATTGTTAATATAATAGTACTATTTTCATGTCAAGAATTAATTATTAATTAATAAATTTTACTTGAAAGAGTTATAAAAGTGGAATTAATACCGGTTGAGGTAACTCTTTAAAAGGCTGAATACATCAGAAACTAACTTTGGTGAAAATTTGACGCCCATAATTAAATATATATTAGTTTTCTTTTGTTTGCATGTTTGAAACTGCCTGTCTTTTTCTAATGGTTTTAAAATCATTGTATCCCTCTTTTCAACTATGGAATAGTTCTTGAAAATTCAAATGCATAAGGGATGGTGTTTAGTAATTGAATATCAAACAAAGGCCTTGGATGTATACAGATAGGAATATCTATTGGAAATGAACAGTTTGGTAAGAGTATGGAGGTACAAAATTATTTTGTGGGTATATTTGTTGGGTGCATGACTTTGAGGCCGATGGAGCTTACTCTGAAGAGAATAAATTGGATTTTGTGACAAATTATCTTGGTCTCCCCTTTTTTCCAGACCTTGTCATCTTGGCTTCTTCATTGCTGATTTGCAGCTATCCATATAAACCTTGTGACCCAAATCTTAGCATGTGCAAAAGCGGAATAATATATTAGTTCTCATAACTATTTAACATAGGTTTAGTAGCACTAACAATAAACAGTTTATCATGGTGGTGCTTTTCTCATTAATAATATATTTATTTGTTGATATACTTATCTGTTTCAAAAAACTTGTCTTTTAGATATCTTAAGATGATTTGAAAGAATCATGATCACTTCTCTCGTATGTATCTTGAAATTTTTCTTGTAATTCACAGGATGGGAGATTCAGATCGAAGCGTGATGCAAGAAAAGGGGGTATGAGATGTGACCTGCATTATAATTGTCTGTAGAATAATAATTGGCTGGGCAAAAACTTGATAAAAAAAGGATAAGATCTGAGAAGCACCCCAGCTTATGACCTTGTCATGAGCCGAATTGTTAATCAGTGGATCTTTGATATTTGTAATTACTTGATTTCAGAATCTGCCTCTTAACATGTCGCATGTTGTGCAGGTGGGAGAAAAGGCAAAGGCAGAGGTGGTGGCGGGGGTGGCCGAGGTGTGCGTGGAGTGGATTTTGGCTTGGGCATTGGATATAAACCAGAGTCAAACATCGCATCATCTAACACGGTTCCAAGTCGATCTGCCGCTGTAAATTCATTGCGAACAGGAATGATGTCACAATTTAGGAGCAACTTCGTTGCTGCTTCATCGAACACACAGAATCAAGAATTCAGTAACAATACAAGCATGGCTGCAAATAAGAGACCAGCACTCCCTGGTTTTGTATCTGGTGGATCAATTGGGGGTGAGATAAATACTCATCAACATACTGCTTCATCAAGTCCTGCTACATCAGCAGTAAATTTCTCTAGTCAAAGTTCTGGAGTAAATCCTGGTCAGAAGAGCACCAACAGGTTACGTTTTCAAAGCTGAACTTGCCACATTAATATCTTGATAAATACTTTTTTTGCTGCTGATGTTTTTGTTTTCTTTTGCTGCAGTTCTAAACCTAGAGAAAGGCGGAGGCCATCAGGTTGGGATAGATAGTGCCCCATGGAAAGACACCATTGTCAAATGTATCAATGTTCCTATACTATAGGTCAAGTCTCGAGTTTGTTTTCTTTGTATTATTAAATGCTCCAGTTTTCAATCACCTATTATTTTAGCTTCTGAAGTTATAAAAAAGGTTTGAGGTTTGTTTGGTTCTATTTTCTATTTTTGATTTTAAGAAGCCGTATAAACAATAAAGTAAAGCATTATCCTACGAAATGTCAATGTGGTCGTCCGCAGGGATCACTGAATCCATAGTTTCGGGTTCTGTAAAAAAAAATGTAATTAATCGTTTTGTATATTACAACTTTAAAGCAAATTTTTAAAACAAAGGGACTAAAGATGTTGGATAGTTTATTTCCCAACAAGTTTAAAAGCAATTAAACAAAATGTGTTGGAGATGTGATTTCCCTCTATCATGTTACCTATCCCCATCTGTGTTTTGTGTTTAGAAGGTGTTAAATTTGATATTAGTGTTATATATTCCTGAAGGTTTGGCTTAATGGTAGAAAGTATGTAATGTTTAGGTGGATACATACATAATCATATGTTCGAATTTTAGTTATATCAATTATATGTAGTTATGTCCTAAGAGTAATTCTGATCTAGACAACCTCACATTCACTAGATTGGAGTGATGATACAATTGAAACTTACAGAAGTCTTCTAAGCATTGCCAGTTGTAATTTAAAATAATAGTATTCCGATGATTTTTAATGATACATCATTAAATAAATTTAACTTTTTCAGTAACACTGAAAATTTATAAAGGCATTAATCATTCGATTATCAATTCATGAAATTTAATTCATACTAAAAAGTTTTACTCATCAATTTATTTGGAATTTTTTAAAAATAAAATACATTTTGTTTCTAATCGATTCCCAAACCTTATTTTAAGGCTCCATTTAAAAATCCATGACAATCGTTGTCTAGAATAAACAAAATTACCGCTATTTCATCTATTTTATAATTCGTATCCGTTTATTTATAATTGTTTTTGCTTTTGGTTTAAAACTCTATTGTGTTTAATTAATTGAAAAAATATCGGTTTGAATTGAAAGTTATTTTGAAAATTTATAATGTTTTATATTTTTTATACATATAAAACCTTGAAATTTATTTTAATATATATTTAAAATTAATGAATAATATCCTTTAAAAATTAATAGACAAAACTTATATGCTATTCTTTAAATGTTATTTTTTAGTCAAAATTAAAATTTTATTTTAATAAAATATTTACATTCAATGCTATCATAAATCATTAAAATAAAACTTTGATTTTAATTAATAAATGATACTAGCAGTCTTAAAAGAAAGATATAACTATACTTTGAACAAAATTGAATAAGATCACAAAATTTTTGTTTTTGAAATAATCATTTTCTTGCAATTAAATTTTTTTAATTCCATAATATACCATCCCTTGAACGAGTTTTATTTGTTAATGACAAATATTTGTAACTTGGTACTTTTATTGTTTTGTTCTAAAAACCCATAAACCCTCTGTGACTCGGGAGTGAAGTGACTCTATTAATGAAAGAAGAAGAAATATAAGTACTTGTATGATTCCTCAGATCTGTTCATCCACCTTCGGTTGAATTCATCGCCTAACATCAGATCCAAAATGTCGATCAGAGATGCGTTTCTATGCTTCTTATTCATCGCAACTTATTCGATTTCAGCTGCTTCTGCGGATTCCATCTATGGCTGCGGTGGATTTGTCCAGGTAATGTAATTTACCTATCTATCAGCCTCTGTAATACAAAACTCGCCGAAATAATTGAAACGCAGATTTCGCCCATCATCAATTTTACGCTTTCTCCTTAGAAACTGCGAGATTGAGTTTTAGCCATTCGGATTGGAAAAACAAAACATGGACGGATCTAAAATTTCTGCTCTAACTCTCAGTTTGTTTGTCGTTTTGTGGTCTCGATATTTCTATTACATTTATCTTGGATGAATCGGTTGTTTATTTTTATTTCTTGCCTTTTTTGTAATATTCGCTCGACGCTTATGATTGCTTACAAATTCGAGTTACGCAGGCGAGTTCTTCGTTGGTAAAGTCGAGGAAACAAACTGATTCCAAATTGGATTATTCAGCTGTCACGGTAAGTACGTGTAATATGAGACTTATTGCATCCTCACTCTATTCTCTTTTTTTTCTCTTCTTCGCGTTTTGAAATACTTTTTAAGTATTTATAATTTATAAATGTTTTAATTGTTTAGCTAACCAAAAGTAAAAGAAAAATGAACACATGTCAGTTGTAAACATACTCTGCCATTGGTCCGCATTTGACTTTGAACTCTAATTATTTTGCACAGTAACTGTAACAACGTTACTGGTTTGCCTGGAGTCCTTGCGTTCAAAATGGCATATTATAGAAAAACAAGACATGCATAAGAAAGCCCCTTCATGTCCCTTTTTATAAGCTATTTTGTGGTAAACTACTGGGAGGAGGATGCGGTGATACATGCACAAGGGAATTCCTGTTTTTTTAATTAGATAATGATGCACTCGTCTCAATTTGCACTTTTATGGCATTTAATTGATCCATTTGTTGTAGGTTGAGCTACAAACAGTGGATGGACTGGTAAAGGATAGAACACAATGTGCTCCAAATGGATACTATTTTATTCCAGTATATGACAAGGTAAAGCTTACTTGAATTAGTGTATATGTAAGCATGTTCTGGGCATCTTCTGTTGTTTACATAAAAACAGAATGGCATATATATATATATACAGACACACACACCTTAAGTTCTTTTCAATGCAATTATTTTCATTACAGGGTTCCTTTGTAATTAAAGTCAATGGTCCTGAAGGATGGACATGGGATCCAGAAAAGGTTAGTTATTGATGTAATTTTCTTATGAGGATTTTTGTTTCTCTTTTTTATGTGACATCTGTATGCATGATCTGTATTTTGTTTCTTTTCTCCTTGATCTTGACATAATCTGAAGTATTCTCCCTACAGGTCTCAGTGGTGGTTGACAATCATGGTTGCAATGGCAATGAAGATATAAATTTTCGTTTCACAGGGTGGGCTATAATATTTATTTTTTATTTTTAAACTTTACCTCCTTCTGCATCCTATGCTTGTGCATGCTCTGAATTTTGAAATTACCGGGGAAAAGTTTTTATATTGTAGGTTCACTATATCTGGTAGAGTTGTGGGAGCTGTTGGGGGAGAAAGCTGCTCAGTTAAAAATGGAGGTCCTTCCAACGTTAAAGTTGAACTATTGTCCCTTTCTCAGGATCTTGTCTCTTCAGTCTTAACTTCATCAACAGGGAGTTACTTGTTTACAAATATAATTCCTGGTAGGGAAGTTTGAATCCATTAGTTGTGCACTTCTGCTATTGTGGAATTTATTACTGCAATAGCATAAGTAGTTGTCCAACATCTGTGTGTATAATATTTATATTTACGTGACACTAGATACAATGAAGTGGTATTAAAGGTACAAATGATTTACAGATAGGCAAAATTGATTTCAAGTTTCCACAATAAAAAATATGATTTCACTGGAGGTGAACAAGATTAATTGCTTGAGAAGTAGATGAGGATGAACTAGATTAACAGGAGGTGAACAAGATTGCCTAATTAATAATATATGCTGTTCACAGTTAGGGTTTAGATTCAAAAAGTTGGAATGAAAGTTTAGTCAGGCATTTAGGTTGAATGGAGAACAAATTTCTGTGTTTACACTTTGCAATCAGTAATACTGTCAGATAAAAGAATTCAATCAGGTAATACATTCATTCTTTTGTAGATTCATGTCTAGAATTAGTTCTTTTGGTTTATTCCATGGGATTTGGCTTAAAAATCATTTATTGTTGCCATGATTTTCCTTATTTGCTAATCTCCTCCTCAAAATTGTTGAAACAATTGGACAACATTCCTAACGTGTAATGTGCAGGAAAATATGAACTCCATGCTTCAAATCCTGATATGAAAGTTGAAGTTAAAGGTTCTACACAGGTCAAAATATTGTGTTTATTCTGATTTCAGCATTTTTCTGTGTTTGTACCGATTTCTTGTTGTCTTTCTTGTGCCACTTTCTAGTCTCATTATACATTTAAAGAACTTGCATATCAAGCTTGCTATTTTTCTAACATAATGCTTCTTGCAGTTGGAATTGGGCTTTGGAAATGGGGTAGTTGATGATGTTTTCTTTGTCCCAGGGTATAGTATTAGTGGATTTGTTGTTGCTCAGGTAATGTTCGTTGAAGAAACATATCTTTTTTACAATGTCACTTTCTTTTTGGAATTGCTATATCATTTTCTTTGTGGAAATATTATGTTATAATTTAGTGAAAGGATCCATATTTGTATGTCTTTGATGTATAGAACAAAAGAATGAATTCTTATTTGCCATGGCTGCTTTATCTATTCATGGTTTTGAGTTTGTTGAAGTATGCTTTGGCGCTCAATCAACTTAAATTTCCAAAATAGTTTGATGTAGTGTACTTTTTAATTTGACAGTTTAATTAAAACTTTTTCCATGTAGTTATGTCTTTTATTTTGGTTCTTCCTTTTCCAGGGAAATCCAATATTAGGAGTCCATATTTTCTTATATTCGGATGATGTTTCTGAGGTAGAATGTTTGCAAGGTTCTGCTAGTGGTCCACGGCAAGGAGTAGCCCTCTGCCATGCTGTATCAGATGCGGACGGAAAGTTCACATTTAATTCAATACCTTGTGGTAATTAACTTTTTAAATGCATATTCTTTCTTTTATCCCCTTTCGATGTGTGTCAAAGTGTGTATGTTTGTGTGTGTTTTGGCTGAAGTGGAGCCCTCTTAAGAACTGCTGAAGCATGTTATTAACATGTCTGATTGGGAGCATTGAGTTTCTAGTGGTTATACATCGATAAAAAATAATATTGTTTCCTTGAGCTTTTTGTCATCTTGTTTTTAGTGTGTGCATTTAACTTTTAAACAGACACCCCCAACTTGCAATTTATATATGGAACTTTGGGGCCATTTAGTTTGTGAAAATGTTTTATATTTTTACTTTTAATTACAAAAATGCCCCTTTATTTTTATTTTTATTTTTATTTTGTTCTCAAAGATTTGTATAGATAATAAAAAATTGTTTCATTATTTTCTATACAAAACAAGATGGTATTTTTGTAATTGAAACTTGAAAGTGAAAACAGAAATCATTTCTCAAATAAACCACCCCTCAATATTCTAGATTCCAGGAACTTCACCCTTCACATAAATTTATAATTAGTTTCTCTTGGTTCTTGATCATGTGAAATTTTGCTTCAATATGGTTCTTGGATTTATGCCTACTTTACTATTGCTATTTGTTTTTCTCATCAAATAATTATACTCTTTTCTGTGGATTGAGCATTTATCCTTCTTCTGTGCTTTGAGAATTGCTTCTTCGGACATACTGCTAGAACATATTTGCTTGAATTTAGTGGTTGCTCCTTTTATCAATCTACAGGAAGTTATGAACTTGTGCCCTACTATAAGGGTGAAAATACAGTATTTGATGTTTCCCCGCCCAGTGTCTCAGTTAATGTTAAGCATCAGCATGTAACTGTGCCGCAAAAATTTCAGGTACATTATATGGATGAAAATGTTTCATACACTTACCACCTTCATTTTCCTGTGACATAAAGTATAAATATAATTTCTGTCGATGTAGGGTACATTAACAAATCTAATTATGTGCACAATTGAGTGCAGGCCTTGCAGCAATACTTTTGTTAAATGAAATCTGAATGCTAGATTGCACTATCACATTTCATAAAAATCCCTTAGAAGAAAATAGATTAGCTTTTTCTGCATCAATTTTCCACATAGATGTTGTATTATTAAACATATGTCATCAGATTCAGAGGCATAGTAAATCAATTTTTTAAAAAAAATGAGATTTCACTTCTTGAATGGGCTGCTAAGTGCAGTATGATTATACTTTATTTGGCATCAAACTACTCAGGGATAGTTGTGTCCCCACTACAGTTAACAACTATTGGGTCATTGCTATGATTAACAATTTACATGTTGATGGAAGAAAAACTGTTTGCTGTCGGTTGCTTATATTTGTGGTTATCATTTACTTTATTTAAATTTAAAACTGCATATGACTGTTAAAAATAGACAAGAAAAAGAAAAAAAAATACAAAAAAAAAGCATATTAAGGTTGGAATTGCAAAACGTCTTGGTATCTAATATAGACACAACTATTTGAAAAGTTATAAACATTTAGTATGCTGAAACAAGTTTGCCGTATTAATAATTCTCATATTTTAATTTTACTAATATCTGTCTATTATTGCAGTTATGTGTTTAGTCTCAAGTATCTGCCATAAATGTAAATTATTACAGGTAACTGGATTCTCTGTTGGAGGCCGTGTAGTTGATGGAAATGACATTGGAGTGGAGGGTGTCAAAATCATAGTTGATGGTCATCAAAGGTCTATTACTGACATTCAAGGATATTACAAGCTTGATCAGGTATTAATTTAGGAGGATGTGCTTCATTTAACTCATCCATTAATTTGGAATTCCTTTTTTTTCCCAGTGTATGGGCATAAGTTTCTCGATTTCCATTTAACTTATTTGGTCTAGAATCTTTGTTTACTTTTGTCTCAATAATATTTCTCTCCCCACTTTTCTTCCTTGTTTGGATAAGTGGCCTTTTTTCTGTCAATCTGAGTATGTTAGTTTTTTCAATCTTCCTGGATACTAATTAGGGCCTAGACCTGTATATTTTTTTATAATCATTTTAGTTGTAATGATATCTTTCAATTGATTGTAGTTTCTTTTACAATTACATTTTATTTTACTCTTTCTTATTTTTATGTTAAATTTATTAGGTTACATCCAAGCATTATACCATAGAGGCACAAAAAGAGCATTACACATTCAAGAAATTGGAGAATTATATGGTAAAATATATCATACAAAGTTTATTATACTGCTCTTTTAGTATGGTAATAAAAAATTGTTAGATGGTAAAAAAAGCTTTGAATTTAGCTTTGATACCTATTCTATAAGAATGAAAAATGCTGCTGCATGGCTCTTGTTTTCAAACTTTGTTTGCTTGCTCAGGTATTGCCAAATATGGCTTCAATAGAAGATATTAATGCCATTTCATATGATCTTTGTGGTTTGGTTAGGATGGTTAGTGGTGGTCTGAAAGCAAAGGTATGCATTTCCCCTTTGTCTAATTATTTTGGTAATGATTTCATGTTAAAGTGAAGGTTGATCTTTTGTTAATCTAGGTGGCTTTGACTCATGGACCTGATAATGTGAAACCACAAAAGAAACAAACAGATGAAAATGGAAACTTCTGCTTCAAGGTATGTTAGCTTAGTGGAATAAATCAATGTTTTTGTTCCTTTTTGTGCTCAGTGTCTCTTCTCTCTTAATATCATGTGGATACAAGTAGCTCAGGCTGAAATAGAAGAGGTGGTGGATTAGGATGTTAAATAAAGATTCTACCATATGCTCTGGGAGTTTTTGTTTTTACTGTTGCTAGCTAGTTTAATAACTATCTTGTTACCCACCCTTGAATCTATCTGATTTATTGTATCTTTTTAATCTTGTGGTCTCAAGCTATGACAGGAAACTTCTGAACCATGGACTACACAATTTATGATGTACTTTTATGCCTATTGACAATTGATTTTTTATGAACTACTCTTGGGATCTTAGAAAGTGGTAACCATCTATCAAAAAGTAGGAATTTGGACTGCAGCTTTGGACCTATGACATAGGTTTTCTAATAAGTCATTTGTTAACAGTTTTAGTAGAACTAGTAACCTGTCATGATTCATGTATCTTGGAAGTTGGAATCTCAATTTTTATTTTTAAGTAATAAAAATAATTCTATGGCTACTTTCTTTAGTGATGTATCTAGAGTATCTGGTGAATTTTGATTGTTCCTTACTACTGATGCATAAATATTTTGTTTGATGTCTAGGTTCTACCTGGTGAATATCGCCTGTCAGCTATTGCTCCTACTCCTGAGGATACTGCTGGACTCATGTTTTCTCCATCTTATATTGATGTTGTGGTCAAAAGCCCGTTGTTGAATATTGAATTTTCTCAAGTAAATCTTCATCCATAGTAACTATAGGTCATCTTGTATGCTTCTTAGTTCTTTCTTCCTTTTCCTTTCATTTTTTTCTTTTCTGCATCATGCTTGCTGAATTCTTTGGGGTATCAAAATTAGAGTCCTTTGTCATCATAGTTGAGCAAGAAAGATCAACCTTATATTGTTGTTTGATGATGACATTAATATAACACTTTTGGACAAGAGTTTAAGGAGGAAATGTACTTTTTAAGAGGATTTAAAATGATTCATCATAAAATACTATTTTTGGTATATTTAATGCAAGAATTTTAAAAATACATTTACATCAGGTAATTTTTCTTTCAGAATGAAGAATTTCAAATGACATCTCATATGGTAGAATTTAAAAATTCCGCATCTATTCTCTCCCAATTTCAATAGATTCCTCAACTTTAGTGCGTCACCATCATTGTCAAAGGAGAGAATGGTGAGTTATCTCAGAATGCTGTTGAAATGGTCATAGAAGGTGCTGTCATCACAGGCAGCCTTGAATCAAGGTGACAGAGATCAGGTTGCTGTCCTTGCTTCAGCTTGTTTATGACAAAGATGCAATTGTCCTTCAAATTTTCTTCCCTTTTCCTGTTTAGTCTCATCAAGGATGGATGAAACAAGATGACTCTAAAATGATTCCACAAAATTTGGTACTTTTGTTTCGTGCTTCCGTTTCAGTGGGATAAACTTCAAATGATTGGCAATTATGTTTTCTTTTGCTAGACTGTGGATCTTCTATGGTGTCACTGTTGGTTTGAGGGTAGTTCATAGGTGTGGATGTGGTGGATGAATGTAAAGTTATTGTGGTTGCAAATTCGTCAGCAAAGATTCAAAGAAGATAGGAGATAGATTTCCTAAATTGAATTTCATATACAATTATCCAAACATTAAGTTTTACTGATGATGGATATTGAATTACATCAATTTTGTTTCATTGCATTTCAAATTCTTTGAAATTTTAAAACCCTCTATTTAAACACAGTTCTTTTGATTCGAATAGAATTAATAACCTAGATTTTATTTTCTATTTATTAATATAATTCCTGTACGGTTGAATTTTTATTTGATTCCTCTAAATGCCTTTTTCTTCTTATTTTCTTAGGGAATCCTATTGATCCTTTCCCCATAAAGACCGGGAGATAACACTGATAAGTCAAAATTTCAAAAATATTGTTCTATTCTGATTGTTTGCTTTATGATTGTAGGCTCTGGTCAATATTCACGGTGCTGTGGCCTGCAAGGAGAAATGTGGTCCGTCTGTATCTGTTACCCTTATGAGACAGGTTGATAAACATAATGAAGAGAGAAAGACAATTAGCTTGACCCCCGAGAGTGATGAATTTCTGTTTTCAGATGTTATTCCTGGAAAATACAGACTTGAGGTTTGCCTTCTTTTTATTTCCAATTTTATTTGTGGTTTGTTTAAGTAGAATTTCTTTGACTGCTTTGAGTGTTAGTTGTTTACTGGAATGTTCTAAATTGTTGTATTTTTCCCCACCATGTAATAATATTTGTTTTTAGGTCAAACATAGTTCACCTGAATCAGTGACCTTGGAAGATAATTGGTGCTGGGAGCAGAGCTTCATAGATGTAAATATTGGAGCTGAGGACTTAAAAGGAATCCTTTTTGCTCAAAAAGGCTATTGGGTGAATATTATCTCCACTCACAATGTTGATGGTTACATGACTCAACCAGATGGTTCAACTGTGAATTTGAAGATTTTGGTATGACAATTATAGTCCATACAGATATATCTGGAAATTGTAGCTTCACAAAATTCACTTTTGTTCTTGTCTTATCTGCAGAAAGGTTCCCAGCGTATATGTGTGGAATATCCTGGCGTACATGAATTTGTTTTTGTTGACTCGTGTATTTTCTTTGGGAGTTCATCAGTGAAAATTGATACACATAATCAATTGGTATGGATAATTCAGATATCCATAATTATATTTTTAAATTTATTTATGTGTTATTGTATTTGGTTCTTTCAAGGATTTTATTCCATCTGGTTTTTTCTTCTTTGGTAGCCTATCCATCTAAAAGGAGAAAAGTATCTTCTCAAAGGACAGATAAATGTGCTGTCTGGTTCACTTGATGCATTGCCTGAGAATATAGTTGTTGATATTCATCATGATGGAGCTGGTGATATTGATCATGCTACAGCTACATTAAAGTCCCATGAGAAGGATCAAACAGCTATATTTGAGTATTCTTTTTGGGCCAATCTCGGAGAAAAGCTTACCTTTGTTCCATGGGACTCAAGGTACATTCGTAGTTCAAACAATTTCAGATAAATGTCTATTTTAGTGACAAGGCTTTTATAGAAAGAGATAGGATCAAGGGAGAAAAATGGACTGTGTGAATACACTAGTGATTATCTCATTACATCTTTGCTTATTTATCCTGAGAGGATTGAATGTACAGCTGTAATAATACAGTACAGTATAGTGGATGTTTTGGTTGACCACACGCACACGCTATATCTAGAAAAAGTATTTATAAATATCAACACTGTATTGTATGTTTCCAGTTTTCATGTAAGGTTAAATGTTATAATTAACTAATCATTTTTGTATGATTCCATGTTGTTTATTACTGTCTTGTGCACATAATGCTCACAATTTTATGATTTTTGGGAGGTTTGTGTCTGGTACTTTTCTTTAACCATTTAATTACTGATCTCTTTTCTCCCAGCCCCTTCCCTCCATAGCTTTGAAAGAAAACCAATTATAGCGTTACTGTGCCACAATTTACCCAATTTATACTGTTGACGTATTCTTGTTTGATTACAGGAACGATGGGCAGAAAAAACTTCTATTTTATCCTAGGGAGCATCATGTAAGCATAAGCATAAACAGATTATTTGTCTAGTTATGTTTTTCTGGGACTACCACTGAGTTTCATTTGCAAAATCCATTTCCTTAGGTATCAGTGACAGATGATAATTGTCAAGCTCATATTCCAACATTTTCTTGTCAACTGGGTGTATATTTTGAAGGGTCAGTTTCACCTCCTCTTTCTGGCGTTCATATCAGGGTTTTTGCTGCTGGAGACAGTAGCATTACTGCACTTAAAAGTGGTGAATTAGTACTTGAAACAAGCACTGGGACCGATGGTTCTTTTGTGGCAGGTCCTCTGTATGATGATGTTGGTTACAATGTTGAAGCTTCAAAGGTAGGACTACTCTCTTTCTCTCTCAAACAAACATAGTAAGACAAAATACTTTATATAAAATACTGAAATGGAGTTGTACTGTTTATCTGCTTATCCATGATGTTTTTGTGTTTGTACCTCTTAGTTCTCATTAAGACCAATGGTCAACAATCTTTGGTTGCGTTGTCTATACCAGTTAAATATGAGGAGTCCAAGAGACAGAGAGGGATAAAATACTGGCGGAGAACTACAACATGGTTTTCTCATTATATTTTGTGTACACTTATGTTTATATACCTACTCTCCCAAGCCCTATAGCATTGGGAGCTACTTACATTGGAGTGGCCTTTTTTATGAATCTATTGCTCTTTACCTCTGCTTAAGAGTATCACTTGATGAAAGATAAATCTAAGTATTCAATTCAAAAGGCCATTTTAAGTTTTTCTTTTTTCCTTCATGTGATTGCCTTAATGTTTTCTACATTGTTTAATTTTTTTATTCATTTTTATATTTGCAGCCTGGATATCATTTAAAACAAGTTGGGCCTTATTCCTTTACTTGTCAGAAGCTTAGTCAAATTTCAGTACGTATACATCACAAAGATGATGCCACAGACCCTATTGCTTCTGTTCTCTTATCTCTGAGTGGTGACAATGGTTATAGAAACAACTCAGTATCTGGGACTGGAGGGACATTCCTGTTTGATAATTTGTTTCCTGGAATGTTCTATTTACGTCCTGTTTTAAAGGTACTATACTGGACATAACTCTTACAATGTTGCTGTCTTCTAGTACTTGTTTCGTCCTTGGCATGCCTGGATTGTCTATCAATCATCTCTGGTTCATGCACTGCTGCACTTGCAGTAAACAATTTCACTTATTTTATTGTGCATCCAAGATCATCTCTACCCCCCAAAGGGTGTAAGAGAGCCTACTTGTGATTGATGAAAAGAAACAAAGTGTGAAAAAGAAAAGGACAGCTGTAGCATTTCACTTTTATGTTAATTATTTAGCTTACTTATCCAGAATCTTCCTGCATTTCTTTTCAGCTTGAACAGGTCACCTATTTTTATACTTGTACTGAATTATTCAATATTTTTTTAGCTTGTGCACAACTCAACCATAACTGATAAGAAGTTGCAAAGTTTGTAAATATGAGGATTTTTCAGAAAATGAAGATGATTAAAATTGTGTTGGTCATTGCTGAAGCTAGATTTTTTATCAGCTGACTTAGCACATATTATCTTATTTCCTAGGAGTATGCTTTCTCACCTACAGCACAGGCAATAGAGCTTGGAGCAGGGGAGTTTAGAGAAGTTATTTTTCAGGCCACGCGTGTAGCTTACAGGTTTCATATTTTTAGCTTTGTGGTCATGATTTTTCTCGTAGATTATGGTTTAGTAGCTCATGTTGGCTCTTATCTTTTTTGTGTGAAAAAGAATAATGGTTTAACTTTTTAGCTGATCTAATAGATTGACTTGTAAGCATATCTATACAAGTATACATGATAATAGTGGAATGCAATACTGCCACTTCTGCATTAGGTTACCTCAGACTTGATGCACACCATTGCAGGGTTACATGAGACTAGTAATTTTTCTTTGGATTTAGCTCTTCTAAAGTGAGTAGATGCGGAAAGTGAGCAAGTGAAGACTTGCCCACTATTAATTCAAATTCAAATATTCTTTAAAAATATAACCAAGTTTAAATCAGATATATAAATCCTTACTTTCCCACTTTACATATCTTCTCATTTTAGAAGAGTCAAATCCTTTTATATATATAAAAAGGGCACTTAAACTAAGTTTGTGAATGGGTTACAGACAATATAAAACTGATATCCAGAGTAATTATGGACCACTATACTACTGAGCAATGGACATGCTTGCATTATTTATAAGATTCTCTATGTTGAAATTATATTAAATTGTTGTTCTTTTCTTCGCTTGCACATTTTAAATTGAGCATACTTTACTCTGAAAGATGCTGAGGTAAATCAACTCATACAGTGCTACAGGCAAAGTCACCTTGTTGTCTGGCCAACCCAAAGGAGAAGTTTCAATTGAAGCCCGGTCAGAGTCAAAAGGCTATTTTGAGGAAACTCTGACAGATTCTTCTGGAAATTATCGTCTGAGAGGATTACTGCCTGATACTGTCTATGTTGTTAAAGTAGCTAAAAGGGATGTTGTGGGCAGTTCTAATATAGAGCGTGCATCTCCAGATTCTATTGGTGTCAAGGTTAGTTCTGGGTAGCTTTCTGTTTGATTTGCTGTGAATGTATTGATCCTGGTGTGAACTTCTTGGTTGTTGTTCCCAGGTTGGAAAAGAGGATATCAAGGGTTTGGATTTTATAGTTTTTGAGGAACCGGAAATGACAATTATAAGTTGCCATGTCGAAGGAAATGGTACAGATGAACTGCGTAAACACCTGATGGTTGAAATCAGGCCAGCTAGTGACACAACCAGGGTAGAGTCAGTCTTCCCCCTGCCAATTTCTAACTTCTTTCAAGTCAAGGGCTTATCAAAGGGCAGACACCTTCTACAGCTTCGATCTGGTCTCCCATCAAGCTCGCTCAAATTTGAATCTGATATTGTTGAGGTCGACTTGGAGAAAAATATTCAAATCCATGTGGGCCCACTGCGATACAGGATTGAAGATCAGCTGAAGCAGGTTGCTTCCTGACTCTACCCTTTAAATTTTTGCCTTACTGCCTTCACTTTTCAAAGTTTGCCATTAACTATTTCTGCTCTCTTCTGTTGCTTTGGCAAATTATATCTTTTTATTCTTAATTCTTGTACATGCAGGAGTTGACTCCAGCACCAGTATTCCCTCTTATAGTTGGATTTGTAGTTGTTGCACTATTTCTTAGCATGCCAAGGTAAGTGTGATATTCCTAATTTTTCTTCCCACTTTAACAGCAACTAGTTTTGAATTTCTATTGACCATGTATCCTTATCGATCTCCTCTCCCTACCCTATACGAAGATTGAAGGATTTGTATCAAGCCACAGTAGACATACCCACGCCAGGACTCAGTGCGACTTCAAGAAAAGACGTGAGAAAGCCAACGTTGCGAAAGAAGACATATTAATTCTCCTTTCCGACCAAAGGAGGCATACGGTAGCATAACTTCTCTTAGTTGAGTTACTCTGATAGTATTCACGTTATCTGATAGGTTCGTATGGGCAGAATGCAAAATAGAATGTAATTATTAAATCTTCCTTGACTGTTTGTATCATTTTTGTACTTCACTTTTTGGCTGAGGAGCAAAGGTAAATGGAAGCAATATGTATCTGTTGCTGGTCAATTTTTATTTTTTCGCATCCAAGGTATTAAGCACGAACGTTTTGACACTTTGGAAGTGCCGGTTGTTTATCATACAATGAAAGAACTGGGTTTTGCATTTTATTAAGGGAATGAATAATGCTATTCGGTTAATTAATGAAGCCAAATTTTTTTTACTATATAAGCTGTATGCTTACCGTATTTGATACGAAAATATTGAGATAAATATGTTGGTCATTGTAAAATTATATAAATTTGATTTTATTAGTCTTTGATTAAATTTTATTTGTTTTTAGTCTTTGTATTTTATTTACAATAATATATTTTTGGTCCCTCATTAGGAGTTAAGAATACATTTTTTCTTATTTTGTTGGGATTAAAATAAATAAAGTTTAATTAGAGACTAAAATCAAAATTTAATGATTTTCGAGGGATTAAAAATATCATTAATCCGAAAATATTATAGTTCGTTAGTTAAAGTTAGATTGGTATTTTATTCTAGGTCGCCAATGGTCAAAGCGGACTAGAAACGTGGATGTTATTGAATAGTAGTAAAATGGGATTAGGCATCTAATGTTAGGAAAAGGAATAAAGTCCAATTTTAGTTTTCGAGATTCTTAGGCGTTAGTCAGTTTGATTCGGAACTTTTACTATCATTCTGTTCAAACTGAAGTGAAGAATAAATAGGAAATTAAAATGAATATTTTATAAAATTAAGGATGCTCGATGCTCGCAGTCTGTTTTTCCTTTAAGTAAATTAAGATTTGCTTAAATAAATAATGATAAAAAAATATATAAAAAAAAATGTAAAATTTGTTTAAGTAAATTTTTCGTAACTAACAGATACATCCTTTCTAGCTATAGTAAAAATTAATCATTTTTTCTATTTTTTAAGAAAAATAGAACTTAAAACACCTCGACACAACCTCAATATAAGAGAGTCCAGATCCTGAGATAACTCAACAGGAGGGAAATCATAAACTACTGGAGGGATTTGATATTTTTAACCAAGCTGCAACCTTGTGCCAGTCCCACCTGAGAAGTTTTTAAGCATTATAATCTATAACCGTTATTCAGAATACAACAGACCTATACACAATCCACAATTTCACAAGCTAAAATGTGAACCATCCCAAGCAAATAGAGACAATCCACACAACACAATAAAAACTTGAGCAACATCATGATTGAATTGTGTGTAGTGAAATGCGTTACCTTTCTGACGAGTTTCTGAGCATGATCTTGTGAAATGGGAGGTACTGGGGATGAGGATTTTGTGTTCGGTTTTAACTTTTCCCAACACTTTTTCTCCGAACCCTCTCTCCAACTCAGCTGGGAAAGGGTTTCTCACCCCAAAATCGCCCAAGAAATCAGTGCCCGCAGCTCACGCGATGAGGAGGGAGTGAAAGCCGGTTCGAGAGAGAGTGAGTGATGGTGCGAGAAGGAAAAGCGGGGTGGTGGTGATGATGGGGTGCACCAGAGGGAATAGTACAAGGTTGCTTGTGGCCAAGAGTCTCTCTTTACTGCAGATTTGTTTAAGCAAATTTTGCATGTTTTTTAAGCAAATCCAAGATTTTATCCTAAGGAGAAATGTACCTTGTTGAATTCTTGCGACGTGGAAAAAAGTGTGTAGTGTAGGAGGCACGCTGTAAGAATCAACGTTCAACACCACCCACTTTGCTGATCAAAAAAATTAAACCCTGCCCACATTAACTGTCAATATGGCTGTTTGGGTAGCCTTGCTAAGGGTGCCTTGCTAAGGGTGGATTGAAAATGTGAACGGAAATTCCATGGGCGACCCCGAATGTTGGCATGGTTAGCAACTTAATATCTAGGGCCAACTTGTTTGTGCTATTTTTTTTCAATGGATTTTGTTAATTACTATTCTAATATATTGATTAAGAAATTATTAAATAATTTTTTTATTAAAAAGATGTAATGATGTATTGGAAATTACAGGATAAGTGCATTTTTAATTAAAAAATTATACTTTTAATTCCTTAATCAATATTTTTTAGGACGTTAGTTTTCATTTGCCCTTTTCATTATAATTATATAATTTTTTAATATGTTTAATCACACACGATAAAAATTTATATAAAAATTTGTTATTGAAAATACATGATTTATATATTAATAATTAAATGTTTTAATTTTAATAATTGACAAAAATGACACATGTAATATAATATATATTTTTATTTTATTTTTACTCCTTGAAATTATCATTCGTTAGACATTTTAGTTCTTGATATTTTTACTCTTTGGTTTTTCAAATATTTTATCTATTAATAATTTTTCTTTTTCATTTTTTATCACTGAAAAAACTATCATCGCCAACTAATAAAGTCTAGGTTCTTTGCTAGCAACCCAAGCTTATGTTTGTTACGAACTTGGGCCTTACAATTCCCTTCAAACTCCTCTCCACAAATTATTATTTGAGGATAATTTTTAATAGTAAAGCTTAAAGAATATGAAAAAATGAATATCAATGCAGTGGTTTTAATTATATCACTTATAGAAGCAATAGTTGCATGGAATTAATCAACAATTCACAAAGTAAAATCATGATGTCATGCCACTACCATTTGAGGCAAATGGAAATGCAATTTGAAATAGTCAAATTCAAGAGCACTTTCCATCCCTTGAAGCAATCATAGATAATTTTTTTATGTATACCCCAAACTCATATATAAATAATCTTTAAAATTATGATATTGAAATTTGTCAAAATAAGATATAAAGCAATGACTCTGTTGCCAACAAAGAACGCAGGTGGTGGAGAGTAAGAGTAGTTTCCAGTAAAAATATTTGTTAGTGAGAATTTAAGAAACTAATATATATGACAAGTGATAATCTTAAAGAATAAAATGAAATAAAAACATATATTATATCACATACGACATCATTTTTGTCACGTAATTAATTATACATGTCATTTAACGTGACATGTCAGCATTTTGTTACTATCTATTAATAATGTCTATATCTAAAAAATTAAATGTCTGAAAAAAAAATCAAAAGCTAACATAATATTTTTAAAATTTAAATAACTAGAATATCAAAAATTAACGTAACATTTTGATAACTACACCTTTAATTTTTTATATAATAATGACTTGATTGATTTAGTAAACTCAAAATATTATATTAAATAAGCCTAAATTAAGAAATAATATTTTTAAAATTATGCAATAAATTATGAACGTTTATAATTCAAGTTAAAATTAATTTTAAAAAATCTTTATTAGCATATATTTCAAAAATTAAAATAAAGAATGTTTAAAAAATAAAAATTAAACAAAAATATTAAATAATTAATGCATGAGAAGCTATATGATATAACGAGAAAGAAAATGACTCCTTAAAATATTAAGATAACTCCTATAAAAATTATTTTTATTTAAAAATAAAATCTGAAATTTAATATACGAAAGATTCACAACTAAAAAGTTAGATTGATACAATGTTTTTGTAAATAATTATATAATAAAGAGAAAGATAAAAAAAAAAATCTGAAAAGAAAAATAAAATAAGACAATTATTATGATAGAAAAAAATGGAAAAAAAATTATATGACGTTATGAATTTGTTGTTAGATAAATAATATAATTATTGACAAAATATATCATCAACTGCAAAGAGAACGACTTGTCTCCTTTACTGAAAAGCTTCATTGGATTGATAATAAAGGGTGGCCCTCGGACTCTCGGTTGAGGAACTTGCAATAATCGACCAATGTTAACGATGTGGCGATAGCATACCGATGCATATCCTACCTGTACGGTAAGCAAAAATTATTGATTATTGATTCTTTTTAATGATTTAGAAAAAATAATTCGAAATATTAATTATATTTAAGTAAACAAAAACATAACCTAATAAAATGTAGTTATATTTTAAGAGTTTAATGATTTTGTAACATTAGACTAAAAAATTAATACATTAAATCTTTTTATTAGATTTATTTATTTGATAAGTCGCTTTTAAAACTCTCTTAAACAAAATTTGTTGAAGCTTATGGGGGCACGTTTTATTAGGTAATTTGTTGAAGCTTATAATGGAGAATCAAACGTGCTAGGGAGTTGTAGTAGTAGACATGGTAGAGAGGGAAATGACAACCAGCTATACATACATAAGGATGTATTGACACGTCTTTTTTTGGTGTATATAAATGCTTGCCGGCAGAAGCACTAAATCTGGCTGAGAATTTTAGTGCAATTAGAGGGGGCACCCGTGGCCATCAACTATCCGTAAAAGCTAGTAGAAATTTCGGGCAACTTTAGTGCTAGTCGCCACATCATTAACATTCTATTTCAAACGCATGCTATAAATAGTATGTTAGACTTACCCATCGAACTACAAGCTTTTGCCAAACTACTTTCTTTTTCTGAACACTGTCTCGTATATTTTCACTTTCGAACAAATATGGCTATTTTTTCACCTATTTTTAAAATGCATTTTGTTTTATTAATGATACTAATCATTGGGATAGTAGAAGCGCGGAAAGTTCAAAATTGTGGTAACGGAGGAAAGGGTGAAGTTGGAGGAGGTTTCAAAAATGGTAGTCAAGGTGGAGGAAGTGGAAGTAACTTTAATATAGGTGCAGGAGGAGGTGTTGGTGGAGGAGGTAACATTGGTGGTGGTGGTGGAGGAGGAGCTGGAATTGGCGGAGGGGGAGGTGCTAGTGTAGGAGGCGGTGGAAGTGCTGGTGGAGGAGTAGGTGTTGGTACTGGAGGAGGAGGTAGAATTGGCGGAGGTGGAGGAGGTAGTGTAGGTGGAGGAGCTGGCGTTGGTGCTGGTGGAGGTGTTAGTGCAGGTGGTGGCGGAGGTGCTGGTGCGGGAGGGGGCGCTGGACTTGGCGGAGGAGGAGGTGCCGGTGGAGGAGGTGGTGCTAGCGTTGGTGCAGGTGGAGGAGGAGGTGCTGGCATTGGTGCCGGTGGAGGCGGTAGCATAGGTGGTGGTGGAGGAGGGGGGGCTAGCGTTGGTGCAGGTGGAGGAGTAGGTGCTGGTATTGGTGCCGGTGGAGGCGGTAGCATAGGTGGTGGTGGAGGTGCAAGTGCAGGAGGAGGAGGTGGTGGAAGAGGTAGTATAGGCGGCGGTGGTGGTGCTAGTGTTGGTGCAGGTGGAGGAGTAGGTGCTGGCATTGGTGCCGGTGGAGGCGGTAGCATAGGTGGTGGTGGAGGTGCAAGTGCAGGAGGAGGAGGAGGTGGTGGAGGGGGTAGCATAGGCGGTGGTGGTGGTGCTAGTGTTGGTGCAGGTGGAGGAGTAGGTGCTGGTATTGGTGCCGGTGGAGGCAGTAGCATAGGTGGTGGTGGAGGTGCAAGTGCAGGAGGAGGAGGTGGTGGAGGGGGTAGTGTTGGTGTCGGTGGAGGAGTAGGTGCTGGCATTGGTGCTGGTGGAGGTGGTAGCATAGGTGGTGGTGGAGGTGCAAGTGCGGGAGGAGGAGTAGGTGCTGGTGCTGGTGCTGGAGGAGGAGCTGGAATTGGCGGAGGTGGAGGTGCTGGTGGAGGTGTAAGTGCAGGAGGAGGTGGAAGTGTTGGTGGAGGAGGTAGCATTGGTGGTGGCGGCGGTGCTAGTGTAGGTGGAGGAGGAGGCGCTGGCATTGGTGCTGGTGGAGGTGTTGGTGCAGGTGGTGGTGGAGGTACTGGTGCGGGAGGAGGTGGAGGTGCTGGCATAGGAGGAGGGGGAAGTGCCAGAGTTGGTGGAGGTGCAAGTGCAGGAGGAGGAGTAGGTACTGGTGCTGGTGCTGGAGGAGGAGCTGGAATTGGCGGAGGTGGAGGTGCTAGCATTGGTGCTGGTGGAGGTGCAAGTGCGGGAGGAGGTGGAAGTATTGGTGGAGGAGGTGGCATTGGTGGTGGTGGCAGTGCTAGTGTAGGTGGAGGAGGGGGTGCTGCTATTGGTGCAGGTGGAGGAGTAGGTGCTGGCATAGGAGGAGGGGGAAGTGCTAGAGTTGGTGGAGGTGCAAGTGCGAGAGGAGGAGTAGGTGCTGGTGGTGGAGGAGGTGGAAGTGTTGGTGGAGGAGGGGGTGCTAACGTTGGTGCAGGTGGAGGAGTAGGGGGAGGAGGGGGTATCAGTGCTGGAGGAGGTGGTGGTGTTGGCGCAGGCGGAGGAGGTAGTATTGGTGGTAGTGGCAGTACTAGTACAAGTGGAAGAGCTAGCATTAGTGCAAGTGGAGGTGTTAATGGAGGCAAAGCTACTAATGAAAGGGCTGGTGTTAGGGTTGGTGGAGAAAATTAACATGAAATGAAAGAAAAAGGAATATGATTTATTGAGGAAGTCTTTAAACAAAAGCTACTGATGGTATTATAGTTGATATAAGTGAAAATAAATAAAAAAATTGTATTAGTTGTAATATGTAGTAGATGTATATGTAATGATAAATAATTCTAAATTATAATAATTAAATATTAGTATTTTTTATAAGAGAATTGTGATCCTATGTCATGTTAATTTCTATAAAAATTTATTATATATAATCTTATACAATATTTTATAAGTTGGAAAAATCATTATTAAAAATATTTATTATAGTTACCTTAAATAAAATTATTGATTAAAGTTAATTCTTGAAAATAAGATAGATTATAATTTTAATAATTAACATAAATGAATATTTAATTAAGCATAGGCGTATCATAAAAAAATTGTGGCATGATAAAAAGGTAAATGATATTTGGATAAACACTTCAAAATATTATATGTATTAAAAAAATTAATTAGCAATTGTTGTAAAAATAACAATTACTTAAACCATTCACCTATTAAAAATAAAATGTGAATATTAATTCTTAATGACTATTACTTATTCATGCTAATATTTATATGAATTAAATATTTGTTAGTATTTATATTATAAACATTATTTTTTATAGTATTTAAAAAATAGATTATACATTACTTAAAAAAATTAATTAAAACAATGTTAAATAAATTTTAAATTATATAATTTTTTGTGAATGTAATCTTTAATTTTTAATCTAACTATTAAATTAATATAATTTAATGCATACATTTTCCCACTCTCAAGTCATCAGCTTGAAAGCATTGTAATTAGGTTTAAGTTGTCAGTAAAGTTACTATTTGTTTAAAGTGTTTGTTATTATGTTTATAAATTTGAAAGGATATTTTATATATTTTTAAATTGATAGTTATAATTATTTTAGTGTATTAAAAATTAAAGGACATATATCTTATTTAGATAAGTTAATAATCTCTATTATTTATTATATATATTTAATATAACATTGAAGTGATAATTATTCTACACTAAATAATCTCTTGATTTTTAAAGTATTATAAAAATCACCTTTATTTATTTGTGCAAAATAACAAAAAAAATTATTAATGAGCTAGTTTTCGGTAGTTATACTACGTGGCTGTTGAAAATTAAAATTTTACAACCGATCAAAAAGTTGTAAAAAAATTACATTTAATATTATTTATAATAAATAAATATTTAATTCATTAAGATCAATAAAAATTAATTATAAATTTATATTTTATTTTAAATTAAATTAAATAGTTAAATTAATATAATCTATATTAAATAAATACATTTTTATAAATAAATGAAAAATATTTTATTAAACTAATTTTATAATAAATATAAAAAATATTTTTATACTTAAAATTAATAAATTATTAATAGTTATTTTTATAAATAAAACTAAAAAATATTAACTTAATTTCTTGTAATGTATCAGCCAAGGTGTTGGACTGAAAGCCAACTAAATGCTCGTTTAAAGGAAAATAATTGTAATTTTTTATTTAAAAATTATTCTTTTGAGCTAAGTTTGCAAGTCTAATTATATGCAAGAAATGATGAAAACTTAATTTCAATATACTCCTAATACATTTATTTAAAATAGTTATCTTAGCATGCAATCATTATAAAATTTTAAAAAGATCTGTTTTACTCTTTAAGTTTAAAACCAAAATAATATTAAAAAATTATTTTAACTTAAAAAGATTCAACTCTTTTAAAAATATTATCAAATATAATAATTAAAAAATTAATTATAATAAAAATTTCACACTCAGACTTTGAAATATAAATTATATTCTTAATATAAGTATATAAATATATATATATATATATATATATATATATTGCTTAAAAAAGTGATATCGCATTATGTTAGAAAGAATAAATTTATAAATTACTACACTTTCATAAGTTAGGACTCACAAATTTAATTATTTTTAATTAAAAATTAGTTAATTAATCTTTTATTATAATAAAATGTTTTAAATATTTCATTAATGCAATTTATTACGAGTCCAAACACACAGAAACAGAAACTACATTAGAAGTTGAGAAAGCGCATGACTAAGTTTATATGAATACTAAATACTATCTTATTTATTTTGTAATTTTTATTGTACTTATTTTATTTTATTTTTCATTTATTTATTTTAATTTTAAAATTTATTGTAGATTTGTAAAAAAAATTACAAAAAAAAAGAGACATTTAAACAACAAAAAAAAACAAATAAGAAACAATTTTTTTATATAAGATAAAATTAAAAAAGAGAGATATGAAAATACAAGTAGTAACTACTACAAGTGAACTTCATCAAACCTGCCTTGGTACTTTAGAGTAAAATAATAATAGATGGATGATAATATAAACATTGGATTCCATTTCAAAAGGAGAATGAAGAAAAGAAAGAACATCACAAGACTGATAGTGAGGATAGAATTCAGGTACTAAATATAGAACAAGAATATATAATCAAGGAGTTGAAATTGTCGCTCAATATTGCTAAAAACTAGGTTATCTTAAACTCGAATCTTTGTTTTCTAAACTTTTGTTTAGACTTAAGAGTATAGGAACTTTATCCAGTCATCAGAGCTCATAAATTGCAAGTCAAACTCATTAGCTCCACTTTGAATCACTTCATTGTCGAACACTACAGATATTGTAAATTTGATTTCCCTTCAGTACTAAAAGAATAATGCACACAAATTACCTATAAATTGCAATAAGTCAGCTTTTTATTTGAACATTAAATTATTCACCACATTCACTTTGTCAGAATCGTTATCATATTCATGAAAACTAAATTTTAACAACTTAACATTTTATAAACTAAATCATAATAAAAAAATTTATAAGAATTTATTACAAAATATGCTATATTTATAAAGATTAATCATATATTTAAGCCAAAAATTATACGATTTTTTTTAAAAAATTCAAAACATTCTTAACCATTTTTTAATTTAGAACTCTCGATTGTGTCGTCAAGATTCTTTCAATTCAAACCCTAATTGAAAAATAAAATAATAATAACGAAAAATTAAAAGAGAAATTACGGATAACGTTACATGAGACGCAATGTTGTGACAGTGTGAAGGAACCTTCCTCTCCTCGTATTTGAAGCCACCATGGCATCTGCCATAGTCAGCCAACGCCAAAACATGCATGCCCCATGCAGCAGCCTCTTTCTCACTGTGTATGCATTTGTTGTGCAAAAGTGTCACTGTATGTTCGTTGCATCATCGTTTTTATTTTGTGTTAGTTGGGCTTAGGATGTCCATTTACTGTTTTTGGGTCCGCAAGGTTTTGGACTTTTTTGCTCGGTCCAGAAGGCTAATATTTATTTGGACTTGGGTGTAGTTTATATCATTAGTTTAGCTATTAATTAGGCTCTTTCCTCCATTGATGTTAAAATAATTACGGGACTGATTGATAAAATAGTTAGAAGTTGAATTTCAACTACCAGATGAAACGATAATTTTTAGTAAAAGATAGTTAAATAGATATAATTGCTAAAACAAAGATAAAAAAAATATTCGAAGAAATATTTATGCATTTTAAAATTAATTGGTAACAAAAAAAATAGTAACTTAATATTAATATAGATAAATTATTGTAGATAATTTTATTGTGAAATATTTAACTTAAAAAACTTAATTATAAAAAAATTATCTATATAACGCTGCTTCTTCATGCTTTCTAAACTATTTGCAGAGTAAAAAAATAATTAGTTTTTAAATTCAATCATATTGTAAATATAATTTTCTTATTAAACTTTATCAAATCAGACTTTCTCCGTTATTCACATCAATAAAAAAATTAATGAAATTACAATTTTAAGAATTCATTTTATTTATATATTTTAAAATATAATAAAATTATAAAGTACCCATTGCTATTTTTAAGTCTCTTTAATTGATATAATACAATAAAAAAAAGTTAACGTCCTACAATCTCATAATAGACCCATAATAATTAAAACTAGAAATAAATTTTAAGAAAATATAAAAATTAAACAAAAAAAATATTCAAACGAAGTAAAATTACAAATTCACTAAAATATATTTAAGCCTAAAAATGTTTTCAAACCTTTGACTGATCCAACTAAACTGAAAACACCTAAATTAAATAAAGAAAAACAAAATTCAAAAGCTAGCCTTGGAATATTCTTAGATTAAACTACAGCTTTATCTTGAAAACAGGTATAAAAAGTAAAGAAAACGATGTCCCGAATAGAGAATATATTCCCAGGTGTTTGAAGTTGTGTTGATCCCAAATAAGAAATACCAAAGATCTACCTATTTTCTGGTACAACGAAAACATCTAATTGGGTCCTGAAATGGACCTCGTTGTCAACTTTAAGGATAATCTCAAATCACAAGTGTCTTTGTAACTAATCCACCGACTTACAAACCAACCAAAAACTAATCCACCGACTTCTCTGGTGATTGCCCCATTTGTAAATTTTTGTGCTTTTTTCATTATCTTAAGAAACCAAGCATTTTATTTGACAAAAAAAAAGCATTTTAGACCAAAAAATAAATAATGATGTTGGTTTCTAAACCGAGTGAGAGAGAAAAAAAGGAAGTACAAAAATATGGGGGTCCTTTTCTTTTTGTCACCTGTGAAATGAAGAAGGTGCGTTCTTTACTTAAGAAAAAGAAAATCACAATATATATTTTTTTCGATTTTACTGTGAAAAGGAGATAGTATGACAGATAAAAATACTCAAAATAAATAATATTGTAAAATAGCTCATGTTTAATAATGATTTATAAATACCTGTGCATGTCAGTGCTACAAAAGGAAAAGCAATAAACAAAGTGGATATTATCAAATTGATCAATAATAGTCATGGGATTAGGAACATATAAATCACGAATATGTATGTAATCAGATATTTTATAGATTCTTCATCCACCACCTTCTCTGAATGATCCAGAGAGATCAGCCAGCATCATGTCCTCACTCCTTTTATTGAAAAGCTAATTAAGATGTTTTAGAAACTTGTCTCTAAGAATGATCAATTGAAATGTATGTTTCTAAATTAAGCGACTATCATTTTTCTCTTAAAATAAAGATGTACCATCTTCATTAATAATTTATACTATTGTCTTAACTCATATTTACAAATATTTTTATTTTAACTTTATCTTTTAACATAAAAAGATTAATTCGATGTTTTTCAAATTATTTTATTTAATATATTGAGATAATTTATTTAAAAAAATTCAAACATGGTACTAAATTGATAAACTTTTAAAAAATTAAGAAAATTGATAATTTTTTTAAAATAAACTAAACAGACTAGCTTTAAGCTTCATATTCTTAATAACAATATAATCCAAGTTCATGCTTTAAGGATTAGAATGTCTGTCACCTTCCCATAATAGCCCAGTATGCCCCGAATCTTACGAACTTGACCACAATCGGTCAAGCAATGCACCAAAAATTTTGCAATATGTTGACAACAATGACATAAGGCATTTTGAATCCCATGTCTCTTAAGCCACATGGCACTGCATCAAGCATCACAAGCCAAAGAAAGTAATTAACCTCGACAATGTGAAGCTTCCAAATGTTGGAGCAACCAATTGTAAAGCAAGGATAAACTCCAAAGGTTTCATTTAAGCCCAAACAATAATAATTCGTCAACCTTTTCTCGTCCACATAAAAAGGTTTAAATGACCAGTAATCGTAGATCATATACACCCCAAAGAAAGAAGGATCACAATCCAAACCCGTGGCAAGTTCTCTCATATCAACTTCTATTACTATGAAAAACATCAAGAATCTCTACATCAGAATCTTGAATGTCCACAAGAAACCTAATACTAAATTCTTCAACCACTTTACAAATGGACCTCCACATATTTTAAAATGACGGGAGCACTCAATTAAGCACCAACATATTTTTGAAAAATTAAAGCAGTTTCTCCTATTGAATTTAACTAAGCACATAGTTCAAATTGATGTATTAGTAAGCATATTGTTATGATAAATTAATCCATTGAAAACCCAAACAGATAAAATTGGTGGAATTTCTTTATTTTTATGGCCTTTACAATATTCTTGACAAAATTTGCGAGGTTTTATCGTGAGAAGTTGAAATTTTATGTGAAGTGTTTCGTTTTCTGTCAAGAAAGAAGCTAGGGCCATCCTATGTCTGGGACCAAAAGTTTTTATGCAATCCTATGAAGCAGGTTCCAGACGAGAAGATTTGAGGTTTCAAGGGACTTGCTCCACAAGGAATTAGGATAGCAATATCAATGTTCCTGACCCACCATAAGAAAGTAACAAGCATTGAGAAAAAAATCTAAATTAACAATAAAGAGAAAGGAAAAGAAAGGGATATCAAAATCCTTGACAGATGAAGGAAAGGAAGAATCTATGAAGATCAAATTCCGTAATTTTGTGGCTTGTTGATTAGGGTCGGTGGTTTTGTGTAAGAGAGAGTGAATTTGAATGGACTTGGAAAAATTTGTTTGGTAGCTAGGAAATAAACTTTTAAGACTTAAATATTTTTTTTTTATCATATATAGCTTTTCATTTCGATTTTATACTTTTTTTAGTCAATTTATATATTTTTTATTTTATCAAATGAGCTATTTTAGTTTTCAAAGAAAAATAAGAGCAAGGATTAAAATAACTCGCTTCTATAAAATGTAAAATACAAATCGATAAAAAAAATATCAAGATCAAAACAAAAGTATTTTTTTAATTTTTAACTCAAAAATATATTAACGTCGGCTTTAAATATGATTTTTTTTTTAAATTGTTGTTCGGGTTCCACATTTTCGGAGTCGCAAAATTTTTTTTTTTTTTTCAGTTTATGGTCACAAAACTGTACGAGGACTCACAACTACACGTTGCTGAATTATAATAAAAAAAACTTTCCTCACATAGTAAAAAAATCGAGTTTTTTTATTCCACTCTGAATACTGATGAATCTGGTAAAATATATTTTAAATAATATTCTATGGAGTGCGTCAAGTAGTTTGTGTCTTTGTTTTCGAAAAGTACTTTTATTTTATTTTTTTTATTTTAAAGTAAATCAACGGTCTAAGTTTAAACTATACAGTAATTTAATTTTAATAATACTATCTCAACTTGATTTATTAATGTAATACGCTTAAAAGTATATTTAGAATTTTTATTTATTTCAAAGTTAAGAATATTAAAATCAGTTTTAACTAACAAAGTAATAATTGAATTAAAAGATACACGATTTATGAAAATTATTATGTGATACTAATTATTTTCAATTATCTGATCATCTATTCTTGCTATTAGTTTAGGCCCTTAATGATGACTTAGCTGAATTTAGAGCATCATAGTGAAATGAGGTGTGAACTCTCCCCTAAGAACTTTGTAGTTCTTAAGAAAACAACCGTTAAATATAGGAGTCAAAATTCTTGTTTGCTTGTTTGTTTGTCATTTTTTTAAGGAAGAGCCCCCATATGAATCTTTATGGAATTATGGATAGCCGGGAAAAAATGGCCGCATGTGTACGTGGAAAAAGAAAAAGAAAACAGACACTACATATAATTATGGATAATTATCAATAAAAATATAGTATGAACATTAAGTTTTAGAGACAACGTTTGATTTTAAATTGTATTTCATTCGATAGATACACTAATTAACGTGGTTATGTATCTGTCTCTCTATTAAACGAGAAAACAAACATAAAATTAAAAAAAAAAAAGATTAAAGAAAAAAAAGAGCGTTAGAATGGACAAAGAAACAAACAAAAAGCAAGAAAACTGAGACTTGAGGCGAGTAGAAATCAACTATGGCAACAACCGCACTCATATATATCTAGTATCATCTCTCCTCTGTTTTCAATTAAATTCCGCTGACAAGGCATTTCCATTTTTGGGCTATATATTCATTCACACAGCTCTTGCTTTCTAGTGCCCCACTTCAAACCAAGCTTTTCTGCGTACTAGCTATATCTGTGTCCTGTGGCTGTGATACCCGCCCTTCGCCAACTTGCTATAATTACTCTCATATTCTTCGTTGCAAACGTATGACCTCAAATCACTGTGCTTTATAACCTTCTTCCATTTAAATTGCTGAAATCTCTCTTTTTAACAGCTTCCATACTTTGAAATATCGCATGTTACTATAACCCGATGAATGCCTATGATCACGGAATCGTCACATATCAGTGAAGTACACTAAATTGGCACATCCTATATTTTTTTTTCCTTTTACAGTGTTTTAACTTGATACTCAAAACTGTTATATATATCCCACTAGAGTGCTAGTTTTCTCAACTTCTCAAAGCAAGGTTTATAGTCTTTACAGCTTTGAATCATTTCACCCTTTTCCATCTTTTCTCTGTTCTTTTTCTCCATTTTCCATGGCTCCTCCAAACGATCCAGTGAATTCCACCTTGGGACTAGAGTCATTTGAAAATGTTTTTGATTTATCTGATGGGAGGTTTACAGTAAAAGGTGTGCCATTACTCTCTGAGGTACCTATGAATGTCTCTTTCAGTTCCTTCTTCTCTGTCTGTCAACCCTCCGAAGCCCCACCTTCCCTCCTTCAGCGTGTCATTGCTGTGTCTCACAAAGGTGGTTTCTTTGGGTTCTCTCAGATGGAACCCTCCAATAGGTTGATGAACTCTTTGGGTAGCTTCAGTAGCAGGGACTTTGTTAGTATCTTCAGGTTCAAAACATGGTGGTCTACTCAGTGGGTGGGAAATTCTGGTTCAGATCTTCAAATGGAAACCCAATGGGTCCTCATTGAAGTTCCTGAAATCAAATCCTATGTCATAATCATTCCCATCATTGAAGCAAGTTTTAGGTCTGCTCTTCACCCTGGCTCTGATGGCCATGTCATGATTTGTGCTGAGAGTGGTTCTTCCCATACTAAAGCCTCAAATTTTAATTCAATTGCCTACGTGCATGTGTGTGAAAACCCTTACAACTTGATGAGAGAGACTTATAGTGCGCTTAGGGTTCACCTCAATTCCTTCAGATTGTTGGAAGAGAAAACGGTGCCAAATCTTGTTGACAAATTCGGTTGGTGCACTTGGGATGCTTTCTATTTAACGGTGAACCCTGTTGGAGTTTGGCATGGACTTAAGGATTTTGCAGAGGGTGGTGTGGCTCCAAGATTTGTTATCATGGATGATGGGTGGCAAAGTATCAATCTTGATGGTGATGACCCCAATGAGGATGCTAAAAATCTTGTTCTAGGTGGTGAACAAATGACTGCAAGGCTTCATAGACTTGATGAAGGTGACAAGTTCAAAAAGTACAAAGCTGGACTCCTATTGAGTCCTAATGCTCCTTCTTTTAACCCAAAGACGGTTAAGGAGTTGATTGCAAAAGGTATTGAAGTTGAGCGTTTGGAAAAGCAACGTGATGAAGTCATACAATCTGGGAGTTCCAATTTGACCGATATTGAGTCAAAGATCATGCAGGTCAAAAAGGAAATTGATGATCTCTTTGGGGGAGAGAAAAAAGAAAGCAATGCTTCAAAAAATGAATGTGGAAGGTGTTGTTGCAAAGCACAGGAGTATGGGATTAAGGCTTTCACAAAGGACTTGCGGACTGAATTCAAAGGTTTGGATGATGTTTATGTGTGGCATGCGCTTTGTGGCGCGTGGGGTGGTGTGAGGCCAGGGACTACACACCTAAATTCCAAAATTACCCCTTGCAAACTCTCCCCTGGTCTTGATGGAACAATGCCAGATCTTGCTGTGGTTAACATTGTGAAAGGGTCAATTGGGCTTGTTCATCCTAATCAAGCTTATGACTTGTACAACTCCATGCACTCTTATCTTTCACAATCTGGTATTACAGGAGTTAAAGTTGATGTCATTCATGTGAGTTTTATACTTTTGTTTTCTTTATTTTTCTTAACATGTTTTAGCTTTTGTAGTTTTGTGTCTGTTTTAACTAAGCACTCATTAACTTCAACTATACACGCCTTTTTGTGACTGCAGAGTCTTGAATATGTGTGTGAAGAATATGGAGGCAGAGTCGAACTTGCAAAGGCTTATTACGATGGTTTGACGGACTCTATTGTCAAGAATTTCAATGGAAATGGAATCATTGCTAGCATGCAGCAGTGTAATGACTTTTTCTTCCTAGGAACGAAGCAAATTTCAATGGGAAGAGTTGGTTAGTGTTACAATGAATTTTGTTGATCTATTAACTTGGACCTAAGAAAATCAATATTTAACCAAATTCATCAAAATTTTGTTGTAGGGGATGACTTTTGGTTCCAAGATCCCAATGGGGACCCAATGGGAGTCTTTTGGTTACAAGGTGTACACATGATTCACTGTTCCTACAACAGCTTGTGGATGGGGCAGATGATTCAGCCCGACTGGGACATGTTCCAATCAGATCACGTGTGTGCCAAATTTCATGCAGGTTCAAGGGCTATTTGTGGTGGTCCTGTCTATTTGAGTGACAATGTTGGCTCTCATGACTTTGATCTGATTAAGAAGCTTGTGTTCCCTGATGGTACTGTACCCAAATGCATACATTTTCCCCTTCCAACAAGAGACTGCCTTTTCAAGAACCCTCTTTTTGACCAAAAAACAGTTCTCAAAATTTGGAACTTCAATAAGGTATCTATCATTCTATCTCGCTGACATACAAAACTTCAGTAGTATGGTCTATTAAATTTGGCTTTGGTTTTCATCTTTGAAATATTTGATTGTGTTACTATGTATGGTCATACAACAGTATGGAGGAGTTATTGGAGCTTTCAACTGTCAAGGGGCTGGTTGGGATCCTAAGGTGCAGAAGATCAGGGGTTTCCCTGAATGCTACAAGCCAATATCTGGTACTGTACATGTAACTGAGGTTGAATGGGACCAAAAGAAAGAAGCATCCCATATGGGTAAGGCAGAAGAGTATGTAGTATACCACAATCAGGCTGAGAAACTTCATTTGATGACCCCAAAATCTGAACCAATTCAATATACCATCCAACCTTCCACTTTTGAGCTCTACAGCTTTGTCCCAATCACGAATCTTGGGGGTGGTAGCATCAAATTTGCACCAATTGGGCTGACAAACTTGTTCAACAGTGGAGGGGCAATTCAAGAATTGGAGTATGTTGAGAGTGGTGCTAAGCTTAAGGTTAAAGGTTGTGGGAGTTTCCTCGCTTACTCAAGTGAATCTCCAAAGAAGCTCCAATTGAATGGTTCTGATGTTGCTTTTGAGTGGCTGCTTGATGGCAAACTGACTCTCAACCTTGCTTGGATTGAAGAAGCTGGAGGGGTTTCTGATTTGGCAATTTTCTTCTAGATTTTATCTTGTGGTTCTCACATTGATAGGCTTGAACTACGTTTTGATGTGATAACGATTTTATTGTCTATTACTTGATTTCTTTTTGTTTTTGAGTTTTAAACCATACTCGTGTAATTAAATCTCTTTGTTCTTTACGTTAGTATGTGTATTTGTTGCTTACATGCCAAGAAAATGAATCAATTTATGGCGTAACCTGTCTCCTTGTAAATTAGAAAATCAAATTGATCTCTTTAACCATGGAAACTGTTTTTCCGATGCACATTTGTTAATCGACGCTAGTTTTATTATATTAGATTCTTAAAGCACTATATGTCTTGAGACTCTTTCCGTTCCGTACATACTTTAGAACAAACTTAATTGATATTCGACTTATAGTTTCAAATCACTTAAAAATGGACAACGATTATTAATCTGAGTTAATCGGTATATCCTACTCAAAATAGTGCTGTGAAAGGATAATCAGATCCCTTATTTGATTAGAAATCACTCACTTGGTAATGTATGGATGTCCTTTCCTCCTGATCGAGTATAAACTTAATTGCACCCAATATAAAATGATACTATATAGTATAAAATTTTATAATGTATGATTGAATTTTATTATTATATATTATCATTGTACACTATTATTTAAATATGTTCTTATATCAGTTAATAAACTGATTATTTTATGTAATTATTATTAACATAATTGATTTCTCTAAACTGCAAATACAAAAATGAATTTCTTTCATATGAATACTCTATCGTGAAATTAAAACTTTGTGACTTCATTTGCCATTAATTTCATTTAGATTACTGTTTGTTGGTACGTACGAGAAAGCACGAATTGATAAAACCAAATCTTTCGTCACTGTTCTAAAAACTTAAACTCATCCCTAACCGACTTTATAAAAGGCATGTAGGAGTGTGATTTGTCATTTAATTCTTTCGTTTATAACCTGATTTAACAATAATTGATGATTCAAGTGATTTGGTTTTCTGCAAAGCATTATTGAACTTGGAATGGCCATTAATTACAAGAAGATTATATTTCTACGACCAAGATATATCGAATAGTTGCACTCTTTTGTTGCCATTTGTCGCGGTGATTGAAGGTACGTGTTGCGCTGAGATATCTGATACTAGTGCCACGCAAAATTGAAAGAATTGAGGAAATTTCCTTTAACTAATTAGTTTCTTGGAGCTCACGACATGAACATTTGTTGCGTTGATATTTCAAGCAAGCAACACCTGTGACGTATGCAGTAACGTGGACAATGGCCCTGTGAATCAACCGTTTTGAGTGTGCACTGCGATGTTTTATATGTGTCGGTGGTTGTTCTTTTAATTTCGCGAAAGAGGAATCCATTAGAAGGTTTGGTCAAGCAGGATCATCCCCAAAAGTTAAGACCAATAAATAGTGAAAGTGATATGAGACCAATTGAAAAGTTTAAATTATAATTACATAAATTATCCGTTTCTTTGGTCGGTTTTATTCTGGTTTAATAAATCCTAGTCCTACTAACTTTATGACCAAAGTAATGACTATATTAATGAAAAAGTAGACTTGTTACATCACCAACGCTAATCAGGCGTTAACTAGTAACTACCAAACTGATTTGAATAAATAATAGATTGTCCGCAGCTTAAAAAGTTGAATGGAAACGAATTTTTGGTCGGAAATTAACGGTAAGGGTGTTGATCGGATAGAACTAATTTGAAGAATATGATGAATCGAATTAAATTAATTATATATTTTTTATAATTGAGTCTAAATTAACTATATTGATTTTTTATTTTTGTTTGTTTTTTTAAGGAGCACAAAATTTATCTTTCTGATTAGTAAATAAACAAAATTTCATTAATTGAAGTGTGAATTTTTTATTGAATACCCTCGCCACAATATTTAATTTTTCCTATATCCTCTGGCTCTTACAGTTATTTTTTATTCACCCTTCTATCTTTCACTTTTTTTTAAATCAAACTTTTTTGTTACTTTTTTTTTTTCTTTTTGATATTTCTTTTCTTTTAGCCTGTTTCACGCCACGTTATATGTTGGACTGAATATAAAGATTGTTGATTATGCTCCTCATTGTGCAATGGAATATTCGTGCATCGGTGGTCCAATGGAGCAGGTAACCCTGATCTTGTGACAGGGTTAGATGGTAATTGGGTCCATTATTGTAGTTGGGCTTGGGCCTCACATCAGCTCGGTTTAAGTGGATCCAAGAGATTTATCCAAAAAACAAAAGCACTAGTTATGATTTGTTTTGTTCAATGTTTTTTTTTGTTGGATTAGTAGCTTGTTTTACATTCAAAATCAATAATAATTTTTTTTTATGAAAACTACTTTTTAGTCCAAACTAAACATGCACTTCTCTTAAATTTGAGTATAAACTTCAAAAGTTGACCTATAAAGTGAGAAATGTTTTTGAGTCACAAGAACAAGTACGTTGTACTGCAAATTTTACGAGATTAAGTTAATTGCAGTGAAAAAAATTGTGAGGCTAATTTATTTATTTTTCAATCAATCATAGTGCAATATCCGATCTACAATGAATTACCGTACCACCTTAAATTTAAATTTAACATAATTCAACTTTAAAAGTTAACTTATAAAATAAAAATTATCTTCATTTTTATAGTTCTATTATGACGATATTTGTAATTAATTTGGAATGTATGAACTGATGATTTTAGTGAAAGTTTATACAGTTCATTCCATTCCCAAGTCTTGCTGGGGTGTATCCAATTTCTTTCTCTAGTTTTTATCCTTTACTTCGTCATTATTTAAAAAAAAAACAGACTATTAACTTCTAGACTTGGCTTAGTTCTTTTCTTAATGTGTTTAAAAAATATTAAAAAACTAATAAATAATATATTTTTATTAAAGATTATGATATTTAATTTTATTGGTATATTAAATTATATAGTTTTGAAAAAAATTTCCTTATGTATGAATTTTTTTGTGTTTGTAAGTGGAATGAAAAATTAAAACCCTTTTTCTTATTATCTCCTGGATGATTGCATCTAAACTAGTCTATGGTCAAAGTTTTAGAAAGTTGAAAGTTGCTAAACGTGTTCTTTATTTTTCTTTTTCGGTGTGCTGTTTTGGTTGATCCCTTAGTTACGCCTTCTATATTGGAAAAAAAAAAGATAGGATATAAAAATTGAATAATAAAAAAAACAAGAGTATGATAAGTTCTTATTTTATTCAACACTTGATACGAATTAAAATAACAAATTAAATGTACTGTGTTATTATATTTATCTATCTTTAATTCAATTCTTCATAAAAAAAATTACACTAAAAGAAAGAATAAAATAAGTTTGTAATTTTTATATCTTGTTAATTAACGAAACACTAAAACATGATAAAATAAAATAAAATAAATCTTATTCTATTTCTATCCCGTTTGTCAAATGAGTTCTAAAAAGAAAACAAACGTGATGCGCTAAACATGTTCGAAGGAAAAGTTGATTGTGGGCAGTTCAACGACAGAAACAAGGAATAGATTTGGAGTAAATATTACAGTACAATATTTGTTATATTTATTCTATATCCTTTCTAATACTTCTTAATTATTTTATAAATAACAGTTAAATAAATATATAATTTTAAAACATAAAAAAATATTTAACAAATTTTAATCTAATAATTAAGGAATTTTACAAACTTAAAAAGTAAAACAATTTAAAAATTGCTTCGGCATCTGTTAAGAACTGGCATTGTCCACAGCTCAAAGAAAAGTGCTTCGTTTAAAACGGTGAAGCGTAAGTCATTAAAATTAATTTTAAGTAGGGTGTAAATCAACTAATGCAATCCAATGCAAAAATCAAATTGAAAATCAAGAATCAAATAATAGATAAAATACTTGTTTCTTATAAATATAAAATTATATTGTAAATGTAAAATCTCTTTCTTATATTTAATTTAAATTTTTTATTTAATTTATATCTAATAAATTATAATTCATTGTTTTATTGACAGTTAAATATAAGTTAAATAAAAATATTCAGATTAAATATAATTACACATATATTAACGTAAGAAGATCTAAATGAGAAGATTTTTTATATATATAAATATAAATCCAGGACAAGCTTTTAACAAATTTACGGGCGACCGAGTCACATGATATGTGTCTCTTGAGTGTTAATTAGTACTGTCTACTCTTTCCCTAAAAGCCATGGACATGGAACATTTCCAACGCCATTTTTGCATTTCAAGTGGGACTCACAACACACAAACATAATGATACCTTTAATGCCCAATAACAAGTCCAACCAATCAAGAAAAATACGAAACTATCTTTGTTGTATACATCAAACACACACATAATATACCGTTAAATTCTTATTACTATTTTCATTCCTTTTATTCATTTTAAAAATAGCACATGGATTAAAAATATAGTTAATATATTTATTTATATCAAATTTTGTTTTATTTCTTAATTTGACCTTTATTAATTATTTTCATACTTATAATAAACATTTAAGAATTAAACAAACATAAAGGAATAATTACAAAGATAAAAATCTAAAAAAATATTAATTAAAAACCTAAAAATAAAAAATGGATTATAAAATCACGTGACGGATACAATATATGTTTTTATTCTTAACAATTTATATTTACAGTTATTAATAAATTGTGTAAAATAAAAAAAATTAAAGATATACTTACAGTTATTTTAATTAAAGCATTTGTTAAATTTAACTCAATTATTAACTCGTATAAAATCGTTCATAAATATATTTTATTTCTACTATCACGTTATAGAAGAGTAAGATTTAATCATGATATAGAAAAACCATATAAATAGAATCCGAATACAGCCAATTTATTTATTTTTTTATAAAAGTTCACCAAAATTTTATAAGCTTAACAAAGGGGAATTCCATCAGGTAATTTTTAAGAAACTTTCATGGTTCACTTAAAAAGCATCATAGATTTTATTTCTTTATTAGTAAAAAGATATACATATATACACAAATTTTAAAATTATTAAAGTTTCAATTATTGTTATTTAATTAATAATTATAAACGTATAAAATACACTCAGTCGTTTAAGGACAGGAAAATTCTTAATTTGTGAAATGAAAGTCGAAAACTACACCACCATGCAGTTATTTCCAACTTCAGGGAACTGTAGTCCAAAACGAAGGCCACCATTGACATGGCATCAACGTATTAATAATTATACTTTTTACACCTTTTCTATATTTATTTATTTTCTATTATAATTTTTT